GCCTATACAATATCATAGATTTGTGCCATTCCCATATTTACTTACTTGGAAGCAGAAATGCTCGAAAAAGAAAGCTTATACTGAGTATTGGTGGAACGCTTACAATAGTTTCAGAAACTTAAACAAATCTAGTAATAAAACAAGTTTTTAGAAGGAGAACAAGGAAATCTTACTCAAATGTTGATTTAACCAGTGGCACAAACATTTGATTAGCGCTTTTGATAGGCTGAAACTTTTTTTCTCACTGCCCATCGATACAGAAATCGTCATTCCTATTGATTTCATTCCATAGCAAATTTTGGGATTTTAAGCTGTTTATGAGAGAACAACATTATATTGCTTTACATGGGAGTTTAGGCTACGCTCTGGAACTCCGTAATTAAGAAAAAGCATATAAACTCTAACATTTCGATAGTGTTGGTTGTTATTTTTGTAGCGATTTCGAGTCATTCCCCCGTCGGATTTTAGCCGAGCTCTCATTCAACCACTGCCTACAGTCAGAAGAAGGAATTCGAAAGGAAGGAAAGCTTTTTCAGAACAACGGACTGACTCTCTCTCGAAAATTGCGCGATTCTCAGACTAAACCACGTCTTTTTACTTCAAGACACTGCATCACAAAAGCTATAGATAGTAGTTTTTTAAGTTTATCTTAAAATATTTCATAAAAATTCTGCCGTCGAGGAAACAATCCAGCGAAAATCTCTAAATAACCGGTCATTGCGAAGCCAATCGAGCCCGCAGCAAGAACTTCTTGTGTAATTCGGAGACCGTTACGACACGGTCTACCTGGACATGAGTCAAATTTCCATAAGGGCAACCCCATGGTTTGACTTTCTAGACCAAGTACATTACATCACTTATAATACATACTTATGATAAGCATTATAAAATTATCCTCTCATAAAGAACTTGGGCCCCTGTAACTGAAGGCCACAGAAAGAGGTTTCCAAACGATGCTATCAGGCTTTATAACAAGTTGAGTTGACATCATATTCATGAATCTTTGCCAAATAAATATGGGGTGCTGTTCGTTGTTAGTTGTTTAAAGTTTTAAAATTTTGTTTTCCTTCCACTTTCCAGTCAGTTTCGTTCCATTTTTAAAGATCATTCATGATGAACCTGGACCTTTTCACTCTTTTGTTTTTGTTTTTGTTTTAAATTTTTGCTCTCATTACACAGGAATAAACGTGACTTACAAGAGAGCTTGGCGTTAAATCCTTTGGATGTTGAAGCCCGGCTAGAATTTGCTTCGAGAAATGGAAACGGGATTGAGAGGCTCCATAGTGAACCGTTTGTCCAACAGGAGGGCGTATACACCGCCCTGTCTCCGGAGTCAATGATGGTAATTATACTTACAACGAACTTGAAGTTACCCAGTATGAGCCTTATAAAAAAAGGGACTAAAGTATGTGCCTTACTTTTTTTTTTTTTTTTTAACTTTTTAGCTGTTCCTCTTTGTTCTCTGCATGTGCCCCTTTCCCTTCAGTTATATTGTTACTATGACGCACCTTGACTGTGGTCTTTTGACATAAAACTTTCCATATTATATAAGTTTGATTGTTTTACCATTTACCATTATTATTCATAAAATTTTATTCTTTCATTTATTTCCCTATTTTCCGTCTATATCCCTTTCAAACTTCACCTATTTGATTAAGACCTTTTTAGGAATGCCGGGTAAAGGGGTCTCTTCTGGAAACAGGCCATAAGTTTTAACCACGTTATCTAACAAAACCTTTCTTAAAAATGTATTTGAACGAATAACTTGGTAGTTTTTATGGTTTCGTTCAATTTTTTTTTTCATTTTCATTAACGAGGTTAGTCGTGTTTTCCAGTATTACCAAGCTAACCAAGTAGATAATATAATTTTTGTAACGAATAATACTGAATATTTTGCAGACCTCTGAAAACGATGGTTTACGAACGTACACTTCCCTTATGAAGTCAACAGGAGAAGACAGCGACATTGAATATGTGAATCAAATACCTAGTTCAGAGTATGTTAATGCTTACTAAGTGGAGTGTTCGTAAGATGATTAGCGCTAATCCTAAAAAGCTGAGGTAAACAAAATATCGATGGTATGTGTCTCTGCAGAGCCACAATTTTCCCCCCTTTATCTTGACAACGCTTAAATAAAGATGAATATGTTATGGTCTTATCTTTCAGAGGTTGTGCTATTTCAACATCTCTGTATGAATCTGTACCTGTTCTCAGGCATATTTCCTGTGTCTGCAAAGTGCTCAGTCCGATCGATTGTCTTACCGTCGTACCGTAACATCATTTAGACAATTGAATAAATTCGACTTCGATTTTCCAATAGTGGATAAGAGAAACACGGTTGAATCTGCCGTATTTTTTCCTAGTTCTCTTTAAATTGGCGGGAAATGAATGGAAAAAAAAAACCGGACCAAAAAATAACAACAGTACAAATCTGTTTACTTAATTAGACTGAAAAACTATGCTCGACTTCCTCATTCTATACTTCCCTATCGATGCAACGCAGCAGATGTAGATACACAAGACCTAGTTTACATTAACTCTGTGCAATTTTTTTTTTAACAATAAAGACAAATTTCCTTCAAAGTTCGAAGCTCATCTAAGTTACTTCTGAAGGAAAAAAAGGAGTTTGAATTACGAAACTGAAAACTCATCCATTCTACGAATATCAAGTGATGTAAAATCATCCTACAAAGCTGGTATACCTGCCGTCAGCTGATTTGAGATTGTGTCCACGAGAGCACCAGGCAGTCGTGCTACACGCCATCTCACCAATTTCAATGAAACTTTGCCTACCTTAACAATCAAACAGTCAAAATGGTTTCTGTTCTATTCATCTCAGGGGGGAGATAGATATTTCCGGTTTTTTTTGGTTTTCACGAAGGAAATCACTTCAAATTACGTAAATATATGAAGCTCTCACTTTAATGGCATTGTCAATCTTCTTGTGTCGTCATCGTACCATCTCAACTAGCGAATCACGCTTGACTACGTATTACGGTTCCCACATACTGAGTATGCACCTTCGAGTTGTTTACGCAGCCACAAAATAAATTTCTACCTTAATTTTCATATCTTTACGGTTGAGATCGGCCAGAACAGAAACGAGATCGATAATAAAATAACCTTGGTTCAACCTGAAAGGGTATTTTAAGAGAAAATCACCTTTAAAGATTTTTACATAACAACATCTTGGTCACAAGAGTTAAAGAAGAAAGGCGCTCACAAGTACCGCCCTCAAATTGCTTTTGGTTGCGAAACATGAGGGGTATCACCTGTTTACACCTTGAATTACCTCTTGGGACAAGAAGGTGTCGAACGCGACCTATTACCAGGGAGATTTATTCTTCCTGGACTGGCAAATTAACTTAATTAGGAACATGGCTTATCACGAGTTCCATTTCAACCTTACGATCACAACGAGGAAAACATGATTAAACTCACTAGGAGAACGTGACCAAACTCACAAGAAGAACGTGACCAAATTCAACCTTTAAGATACGACGACCAAGAAGGAGTAAGAAGTAATCAACCTGCCCTTTTTATAATTTGCATTAAATGACTTAAAATAATATAATATTTCCATTCCTTTTTTCCGACACCAATACAAGGAAACCCTTACGATATTGTAGATGAACTATAATTTTAATTTTATCATTCAACACTATGAGTAAACCTTCAGTTAATATTTGTAGACGGACAAGGGATTCCTCAAACACAACTTCTCTAAAAAAATATTACTGGAAGTTTCATTGAAATGTTCAACCGAAACATATTGTAATTTGGCAGCATTTACCTTTGATAAATTTTCTTATTTGCATTGTCGTGTTTACTCGTGTTTATAAGTATAAAACAGTTTACAAGGGAATGGACATCATATTTCGATAAACCATCCACGCCTGTCAAATTGATGAACCATCATTTTTCAGACAGATAAAACTGAATATTTTGCAGGCTTCTGAATGTGATGGTTCCCGAACTTACACGTCACTTGTGAAATCTACAAGAGAAAACAACGAAACTGAATATGCTTCAGCTAATTATTCATATGACGGTTGGAGCTCATCCATGAATGTCATGCAATGTAAATATTTTTAGTACTTTTCTTTTCAGAGCCTCGAAAGTAAAACAAAATTTCCATGAACCCTGAGCTAGTTTAATCGTGGTATGAGCTAATTGGTCTTTGAACTTATGTCCAATGTATATGGACGGCAAATTGTGCTATTTACTCTTCGATACAATCTCCTCTTCACTCATGTTGTTCTTCTCTTATGGAACTCGAGGCCACTATCGCTTTGAACTTCTAACACCCAGTGCATTTAAAAATTGAGAATTTGTTCATGCTTCGCGTGCGTATATCGAGTTATGGATGCACGCGGGAAGTTTGGAGAGTACGAAAAATGCGTAAGAGTAGGTCGAGGCGCAGCCGAGAACAACTCTAGCTTTTTGAGTTAGCGTTAGCCCTTCGTCATTTATTTGCCCGCGATTTATCAGGCGAAGACAATCGAGTGTCAATCGCTCTGAAGAAGGGCTAACGATCGAAACGTCAGCTTTTAAACTCTTTATATACAAAGCTATCCGAAATGCCAATGACTTTAAACACGAGTGAGAGAGACAGGAAGATGGGTGAAGGGGAAAAAATCTTCAGTTGAAGCTTTTTCCGTAATTGTGTCGCAAAATTGCCAAGACAATGCGTGACCCTGACGACCGCAATCCTGTCGGGAAAGCTTTTTAAAGAACATTCTAAAAAATATCCAACAAGTTTGCATAAAATACACCCCTGCTTTATCTGAAATAAACCAGAACCCTTTACTTCCCCTTAACTGAATCCAAAGCTAAGAATAAAAGCTAAGAGATTGTGTTGTTTTCTAATCCTAAATTTCTTTATTTCATTTTTTTTGTTCTTGATTTAAATCAACTTGACGTAAAGCTACTTCTAAAGTTTCCTTGTGGCATGATCTATCGTAGTTCTTCCGCTGTATCATCACTGGTCCCACCTAGAGCGATCGGAAATTTCGTCCATATCTTAATTGGTCGTCCAAGCGTACGTGATCCGCTTTCGTGGCGTTTCAGACATCCTCATCCAAAGCATTGAACGATGGATTTAGCGAAGGTACTGGTATTGATACTTCTTGGAGTCGATTTGTTACTGTCGAGAGCAAGTAAGTGTAAAAGGAATCGTTGATAATTCTAAAGTTCATGAAATGCTAGCTCTTGATCGAATGTCTGGTTTCATTATTTACTTGTTTTCTAGATAGTGGCGATTGATTTTAGATCTATTTTGATCATCAAACTGATTAAAAATTTCATTTTAGTGATGAATCCAGAGAATTCCGAGATAAACCTCGGTGTAGAATGCGTTTTTATCGATTTTAACGAGTATTTATCGAGAGCGACCGACAAGGTGGGCATAATATTTTCCTTTGAGAAGGAAATAGTAGACGTTATTGTTTTTTTAGAGGGCACGGTAACGAATTCTGCAATCTGATTGGTTCTTTACCCGGTCAGTATTTTCCTATCTCTGCCCACGGGCCACGGTAACGCTTTCGTGAATCGCCGAGTACATCCCAACTTTCGTTGTCATTTTTCATAAATATACCTCGTTTTCCGGCTGGGCAGTATTTTAAAGCAAACAAGTCGGTCACTACCTCAAGCCGATAAATAACTTATGAATCCTCTCTTTTCTCTCTCTCAAATCACTTTGGTTGACAGAAAAATATTGGTTTCAGAATGAATTTGTATAAACAATAGTGTCATTACGTTGGTTGACAAGCGGCCTAAAAACTGTCTGCAATTAATTTTAATCGTTCACAAAAAGTACCCAGAAAGTTAAAACGTGAGGTATTTGATTACAGTTAAACTGAACGATGGAACTTTAATTTAATATCTGAATTTTCTCGAGAAAATTGTTAGTAGAGAAAGAGCGAGCAAAGTTTTAATTTAAGTTCTACAACAAATATAGGCTCCCGGTGAGTCTTTCCAATTCTGTTCAATTTGGACATTTGTACCGTAAATTACACAACAGAAACTGAAGGAATTTTTTGAGAAAAGGCCGCATTAAATTCCCTTGTGTCTCGTTGGAGTGTGCCGTTCGAATTTAGTTTTTGTGAAGGAAAGACCAGATTTACACACGCCATTGCAGCAAACAAACGAGCGAACTCTCACAACTTCAAAATAAAAAAGTTGAATTTACTCACAATTACTTTCCTCGCCGTTTACTTAATGAACAGAGGTAAATCTTCGTACATGAATGAATCGTCGATGAGAGTGAATAATACTTTCCGTTAGATTATTGACTGATTTTGAAGAAAACATTGTCGTGACAGTCCTTGCCAAACTAGTTCCGTTGTTTTTCAAATGCTCTTATGCTTTTTTTTTTCTTACGCGCTCTCTAATTGACAGGTGTCAGATTGTGACAGATACTTGTAAAAATAATGTTTCAAAGTTTGTTTGGAAGCCTTTTAAATCACCTTTATCGTTACGGAAATGAAAATGTTTCGCTGAGGCATCTCTCTTTAATTTGCTTCACCTCTATTTTAACTGCCATTTACTCGCTCAAAAATTGTTCAGTTTATGGAAGATCTTGCCGTATTAACAGCCCTAAATCATTCGGGTTCTTTCGGAGAGAATTTCGTCAAGTTTAAAAACAATAAATATGTTATTTAACGGCAAAGGGTCGGTCCGTATGGTGAAAAACTGTGACCGAGGTCTTGAAAATGCTGCCCTCGGCCTACGGTGTTGGCAGTATTTTCAAGACCTCGGTCACAGTTTTTCACCATACGGACCTCCCAGCCGGCAAATAACATATATGTAATGATCAAATTTATGTGTATTGAATAATTTTGGTTTAACAATCATATCAAAGAACCCCGCATCCTTCACTAGCTTTCATCTAGTTGAAGCTTTAAGCTGTTTCCCTTGAGTACATCGCGTCATTTTGGCGATCCATTTCTAGATTTACTGCTTTTCTTATGTACGTAGTAAACCTGGAAATGGACAACTCACCAAAATGGGTTCTTTTCAACATAGTAAGCGGTCAGGTAACAAGCAATGCACTGTGGAAGTAAGGTGAGGTATTTATATTGATAATTTGACCGTATTTTTCATTCCTAAGAGCGGTCGTAAATATTCCCATACAAACTCTTATAATTTCACCATGACTCTTATTTCGCAAGATGAATCATCTCGCAGCTTGAGCTTGGGCCGCCTATGGTTCAAGAGAAAACTAAGTGAATTGAAAAGATTCAAAAAGGTTTTCAGACAATTAGTAATATAACTTTTAGCGGCCGACAGTGGCATTAAATATGCGAATCAAATACCTACTACTGATTATGTTAATGCTTGAGTGGGGCCGAATCCGTCCGAACTAACTGCAGTCAGAATAAGTCAAATCTATCCAAAAGGCCACATACCATATACACGAATAAGAAAGAGAGAGAGAGGAAGATGGTTGAAGGGGAAAAAATCTTGAGTTGAAGCTTTTTCGTTAATTGTGTCGACCTCAATCTCGCCAGAAAAGCTTTAAAAGAACATTACATAAATATATCCAACAAGTTCGTACGAAATACACCCTGCTTTATCTGAGATAAAGCAGAGCACGTTTTCTCGCTTTTAATGATCTAAAGCCAAAGAGAAAAGCTAAAAGATTGTGTTGTTTTCCTCTTTCTTAATTTCTCTATTCCATTCTCTTGTTCTTGACTGGATTCTTGATCTAATACAACAGCTCTGTATTAATATTATACACAGTACATAGTCTCTGTGTCTGCAGAATTCTCAGTCTCGTTGATTTTTCTGAATGTCGTGACGTAGTAGAAGACTACGGCTTCAATTCCCTTATAGTACGTTAGTACGTTCCCGTATAATACGTTATTACATCGATATTAATTAAGAGAACGATTTAGTCTATGTACAAAAATCTAAACAAATAAATGACAGATAACATAAGTGTTCTTGGCCTTGTTTATCTTATTCACATCAGTAATTATTCATCCATCCCTGAAGCCTGATCTTTTGCCAAACTTCCGCTGATTCCTCCTAAATCACACCTTGAGTGAACGGAAATATCTTTTAACTGGTCGTCCAAATGCAATTTTTACTTTCGTGCCGGTTCAACATTTTCATCCAAAACGTGTAAGCTTAGGACGATGTCTTGATCATGCTTGCAATTGATTTGTTACTGTCGAGAACTGGTGAGTGGAAAGAAACTGAAGATAATCCTTAACGACTTCATGCGTTTTGTTTGTACGAGACTGATACTTAAAGATCGAATCTGATATCTTACGCATCCGACGCTTCAAATTGCAAAATTTACTTGTCGTAATTAAAAATAGGTCCGCAATGCGTACATGTGTGGCTTACGAAATTGAAATGTTCCTTCTGAAGATGAGAGTTATTTTTATTTACTTTGTTATGGAGGTCTCATTTTGACAACAAAAGTTGCACGTGTAACACGAAGATTTAAGGAATTGAAAAAAATCAGCATAATCTCCCATAGTGGTCTGATAGCTTCAGTCATTTATTTATTACAATTTAATGGCACATATAACTTACTACTTACTTACATACTTACATTAATAGATAATAATACAAAAGAGTAAAAGGAAAGGTGCCATAAGGATGGTCCGCAAAAGAGATAAATCCCCATGCACGGCAGACCACCTTTAACAAAAAAAAAAAAACAAATCCAAACTAAAATCAATCAGATCTTGCAGTCAAGTAATCCCTTACACCCCTTTTAAAACAAGAAACACTTGGAGCCTGACGGACCGATAGTGGCAGCCCATTCCACATGTGGACAATCCTATTAAAATAGCAAAACTTAAAAGTATTAGTCCTCGCGTAGTTCTTTTTTAATTTAAGTTCGTCCTTACCCCTCAACGAGTATCTTTCCGAATGCGAATAAAATTGGATATAAGAGGATATATCTATATTAATATACCCATTAAGAACTCTATAAAAAAATAGTACATCAAAAAAGAAGCGTCTGTCCTCTAGAGATAACAGGTTCAGTTGTTCTTTACGAGTGTTGTAATCATCATCAGTTTTTAGAATAAACTTGGTGGCTCTTCGCTGAATCCTTTCCAATCTGTTAATGTTTCTAGCCGTGAAGGGTGACCAGACAATAGTACAGTATTCCAATTGGGACCTTACCAAAGCACAGTACAACCTTCTTAACGTGTTAACATCTTTCATACCCTTGCATGTCCTTTTAATAAGGCCAAGAATCTTGTTAGCCTTGCTTGATATCTTATCAACATGAGCATTCCAGGACAACTTGTTACTAGTAACTAATCCAAGATCACAGAATTCAGATGTTTCTTCCAGAGAGCTCTCATTCAGCTTAAGGTCAGAACGAAAAGGCATACTTTTTTTCGTGATACGCATCAGTTTGCATTTCTTTACATTAAAATCCATTAGATTTCGCTGACTCCAGATGTGTAGATTATTCAGGTCAGATTGAAAATCATGTTGGTCTGATGTACAGTTTATCAGTCTTGATGTTTTACAATCATCTGCGTACAGTGCGATTGTGTTTCCAGGCATAACCACATTAGGCAAATCACTAATGAATATTGCAAAAAATAATGGCCCTAGTAGGGAGCCCTGTGGTACACCGGATGGGATGACAGACCAGGCAGAACTCTGTCCCTCAATAACAACCCTTTGCTCTCTGTGGGTCAAATAATCCTCGCACCATCTTAGTAGGCTACCAGAGATGCCGAAATTACACAACTTCAGAAGGAGTATATCGTGTGATACTCTGTCAAATGCCTTAGAAAAATCTAAGAACACAACATCCACCTGTAGTCCATCATCCAAGGCCTTTGTCCACTGATGGTGTGTTAATACCAACTGGGTAGCACACGAGCGACCCCTTATGAAACCATGTTGCCAATCTGTCAGGTAAGGGGCCACATGAGGATATATGGCATTATATACAATCTTCTCTTGGCATTTACTTGGAATCGATAACAGGGATATAGATCGATAATTCTCTACCACATCTTTAGCATCTGATTTAAACACAGGAGTGACATTAGCTCTTTTCCATGAAGAAGGAACTCTCCCACACCTGAACGACAAGTTAAACAGTAGAACCAATGGGTAAGATAGCTCCTCTGCACAGTCCCTCAATATCCTCGCAGGAATGCCGTCTACTCCAGTTGCTTTATTAATGTCTAAGTTGCAGAGGATATTCTTTACTTCACTGTACGAAGTGAATACATCCATCAATAAGTTAGGGTTGATCACATCAACATGAGAGCTGTCAGAGTTTGATGTTTTTGTAGAGAACACGGAGCTGAAGAATTCATTGAACAGGGAAGCTTTTTCCACAGGATCTTTAGCAGACCTGGCTTTGCCAGAGTAAGTTATTACTTCTGGCAGTCTCTTGCTCTTGGATTTAAGAGAATGAAAAGACCAAAACTTCCTTGGATTAGTCTTCAGCTTATCCGATAGAGACTTTAAGTACTGGAAATACTTAAAGGAGATAAGACGTTTGGTCTGTTTCCTAAGAAATTTAAACTTTGTTGTCACCTCATGAGAAGCATTGGCCCTTAAACGCTTCCACAAGACTTTCTTTTTCCTCACTAACTTTAAGACCTCTTTATCTATCCATGGAGGTCTTGGCTTGCGTCTAAGCTTCATCTTTGGTACATGTTGATTGACTGCCGCGAGAACAAGATCTTGGAAATTCGCCGTACCTGAGTCAATGTCCTCACAAGATATATAGGAATCCCATAAAATGTGAGAGAATGTATTTCTTAGACCATCAATGTCAGCTTTATCATATCGGTAAACTAATCTTTGACTGTTTTTGGGCCTGTTGAACTTTTTCTTGATCGCGAAACACTTATGTTTACGTAACAAAGTGGAATTGACTTCTGAAATATGTAGGTTGATTGTCTTTTCCATGGCAAATGATGTGAAATGAACTCCAGGGAAGAATTTCATATGAATATTTTTGACACTTTGTGAACCAGTACACAAGGACAAAACTTTGGAGACGGGCAGGGACATTTAAGAAATGATGTAATCTACACTAGAAGCCATTGGGAGCTTGATTTGGTTTGAATGTATGACTAATGTTGGACAATACCTACATGTAAAGTAACACAATGCTGAGTGTAGGTTTCTTTAGTCCATTAGGGCATAAAGTTAAACTTTCAGTTGGTTGAGAGCAAAACGTTTACTATAATTATTGTATTAAGGTTTTGTGGAACTGCATGTATTTTCAATAAAGAACACAGAAAATTTTAGTACAGGTAGGTAGATATGAAGTTGCAAATGGTAGAGTCTAGGGAAAAAAGATAGGTGCATTACAAGATCAGAACACAAGCAATATTTTAATGAATCATATTTTGAGTTAAGTACTCTGAAGTAACATTACATTAAGGTTGCTAATAATTTTTAACCCAATATGATTTACAATTTGACCTGGAAGTTTTATTTAACAGAAAGTTCAATAGAAATAGAGTGTTGCCATAATAGATTTCAGGAACAGTAATCAGAGGCATAACTTAAACACAGCAGGTTCAGTGTACAGGCAAGTGCATGATGGTATCATATGATTTAAACGATCAGAAGCTTTCAAGTTTTCTTATCATTGAAATTGTAATTTCATGCCAGTGAGTCTACCAAATTCAAGTTATGTGGAGAAATGAATGGGTGAATTGACATCATCATGCAAATGGTCGACTTAACATCATCATGCAAATGGTCAACTTAACATCATCATGCAAAGTTCTAATCTACTGTACAAAAGGGTCCAAAACAAACAAGGTAAGCAACTGAACTTCATGTATCACTTTGTGTTAGAGCACACAAGAGGACTTGTGAGATCTGCTTCACTCTCATTTGCCAGAACAAGATTGAACTTCTGGTACCAATCAAAATTCAGAATGAATGTGACAGTTTGGAACTGATCTGTTAAGACTGTGCTTTTAAGGGGTCTACAGATGTGATTAGAACCCTGGGTCTCCGAGGATACCCAGGATGGTTATCTAATCCACATCAAATAGCTCTAACTTTTAACTATAAATGTAACAAATGTCAGTGCCATTGAACTGTCTTCATAAAAACTTAACAAAGTCTAAGCTAAGTTAATTAAAGTGTACTTAGGTATTCTAAATAAGCAGAAGTATATTTTTCACAAATAACAAATGTTGAGCTCATAGCGTGTGTGCAGTTTAAAGTATTTGAAAAATTTACAGGTGCTTATCATATGAGAAATCATGTTATTAATAATTCATAACGTATACATGAAAGATACACATTCACTGGAAATCAACAAACTGATGGCAGATAAATTTGACAGTATTGAATAAATGAAGTGTGTGCCATCAAAATTTGTCCTTCAGCTGAATTCTTACTCAGGAATGCAATTTGTTGTTTGATAAAAAGTATCCAAGCTTTTGTTTATTTTTGTCAGCTACTGCATGTATCAATCAGAAAAACCTACTATGTGTAAATCTGATTGGTTTCTAATATGATCAATTGTTGCTGAGCCTAGTTTATATTATTTTGTACATGAGTTATTACTTTTTCACTCATGATAAATGAAAAAGGCACCTAGCTATTTTCAGCCAATCAAAAAAGTGTCATTTTTCATGTATATCAGTATTGTGATGAATTCACCAGACCAAACAAGTAACTGAAAAGGAGTTGCAGTCTACCAAATAAAGGCCTAATGCACATGTATTGCCACCAAGTATAGATACCAATGCTTATCTGAACCATTATGAAGAGAATCTAGAAGACTGCCAAGCTTGAAGGAAGTCATGAAATGTTAAGGTCTGAATAATTCTGGCCATAACTTGGAAAACATAACACTAATCACATTTCAGTTAACATTAATGCACTAGACTCCTATTCATATTTTGATAAAAGCAAAACCACTTTGTTACTGAGTTTCAATGGATTACTCCCCAAAGTTTGGAAACAATCACAATAGACATTTAGCACCATGTTAACAACAAACTGCAGTTTCAGGTTAGGCGTTAGATGTTTGTGACTTTTATTGGTTTAGCTATGTAAACATGAAAGTATAATTTCATTTAAAGAGGCTGTCAAATTGAATTTCCAGAAAACAGCAGTGTTTGATTTTCTAATGGCAACAAAAAAGTCCTATTTTCACTACTGGCTAAAAATGGTTTATTCTATTTGTATTCAATGACATGTAATGCCATGGGTGGCAGAGTATTCTGCAGTTTGACCAAAATTTCATCTTTCCATGTACTAAAAAGACTGGTTAAGTAATTTTCTTAATGAGCATATGGTATAGACAGAAATTCAGGATTAAAAACAAAAAAAAAACACACAAAAACAGTTACAGGATAAACCAATAATTGCATAAAAACTTAGGCAAATGCTAGCACAAAAAACAAAGTTTATTTCCAACAGAAAGCCTAGGTGAACACAATTATGCATCTAGTTTCATTCTGATATTGGTGTTGGTTTAACAGTCTCCTCTCTCTACATTCTGCTGATTCAATTGCAATTTTTTGTCTCTGATACTGAGATTGGGTTGCCAGCCTCTTTTTTCTTGATTCAGAAGATTAATTTGCACGTTTCTTTTCCCTGTTCAAAAGCTGCTGGGCCAGCCTCTTTTCCCTAGATTCCTCACTTCCATTTACCCTTCTTCGTTTCTCATATTCATGTCTAGCAATCAATTGTTTTTCTTTTTCTTCTGGTGTTTCAGTTAAAGACTTTTGCTTCCTTTTCATATGTTGTGTTTAGTTTCTTTTATTTCTGAAAGGCAAATGTTCAATTATTGGACTCTCGTGAACATTTTGCAAATCAAGTTCATTATCTCTGACAAAGACACCTTTAATTTCAAAAGGAACAAACCCTATTTGTAAGCAGGAAATGTTCAAATATGATACAAGGTTTTCAATTCCTTCAATGGAAAGCAAAGTACATTTCATAAATGAGTGGGGCATCCCATGGAAATCCCTGGAATGAGCATCAAAAATTCAGCTAAATAAAGCTTTGTTCTGAATTCTTAGTCACTGCAATAGTATTTATTCCAATCGTTAACAAACAACAATTGTAGTTAAGTTGGCAATTTGAAAACACCTCTGTCAGAGAATTTTGAAGAGACATGTATGGCCCATTATTTGATGTCATGAACAAACTTCCTGTTAATGACTCGCTATATTCTAATGTGAATACATTATTGTAAATTGAAACAATGCATGAAACATCATTTAAAAGCAAATAATCATTTGTCTGGACAGAACATCTAATAGAAGTATGCAAATTATTTCCAATGGTAAGAATATTATTCAAAATGGAAGAAGTCCACAAATTGATATCTTCTATGTGATGGTAAATAATAGCAGTAGGTGACATTGCTACACATTGCTTACCAGCATTTTCGCCAAAGAGAGCTTCATTTCTTTGACTGTAGTCAGCACATATTGTTCTTGTTGGATCTATGACATCAAATATTGTAGGGCCTGGATTTTCCTCTACATCATTTGCCTGCCTTATAAGCAATGGAATAAAGGCATTGTAGAAAATCATTTGTGAAAACCAAAACATCACATCACTCCACATTTTGTGTTGTCCAACAACTTGTTTCACTACTGGCAATTAAAATAAATTTAAATAGAACATCACAAACATTAACCTCCAACAATGATCATTAAAACTTGATAAGACATCCTTGGTTTTCACGAAATTGTCATGAGAGCCAATACTTGACCGGTATTGTGCAATCGAGATTCCCATACTTACATTTTCGTTTTGAGATATGCCTCCGTGAATTCCCAACAGTGCAAGGAGAAAGCAACTGCAATACAACTTATTTCACTTTCTGGCACTTTCAGGTGGCTTCAGACACTTTAAAACACTTTCGGACACTCAGTGGTGCAACCCGCACCGATAGATCAAGCCGATAGTTGTTGGCTTGTGAGAGTGCAATAACTCCTTTCAGAGTGGTACAACCCGTACCGAAGATTCACGCAGTAAAATATTGTACGAACGAACGTAGAAGCTCTTGCACAAGCTGCACTTATAACACAAGCTGGGTCTGAACGTTTTGGCTTGTGTGAGGGGAACTAACTCGTGATACGATCACCTGAAAAAAAATTACTCGAAACCACGCTTACAATCAAGATGGCTGACTCAGATTAGTGGGGAGTTACTACATCACGGGCGACGAGCGGGGATAGAAAAAACGACCCAAATACGAGTGGTCAGCGGTGAAACAACTTTCATACTTCATATATAGACAGATCATTTGTAGTATCAGGAAACAATCGTGTTGTAAAGCCGAAGTGTAAACAGTTTACTTCGCTAAATAAAATGTTAAGCAATTCAAAAGTGTTGATTGTACATATATCTTTTACTGCTTTAGTAAACAATGAAGACATCGGTGGCATCCGAAAGGTACCAAGAAGAATTAAATGTACGTTTTGTAGTTGCAGAAAACAATCGTGTTGTAAAGCCGAAATGTTACCAAGTTACACTTCGCTACTTAAAAAGTTAAGCAATTTTCCTCAAGCTTTAACTGGAACAATACTTTTAATGCTCTATTAACCAACGGAGGCATCGGGAAAGGCATTGGTGACACCGGGAAAGGCATCAAGAAGAATGATATTCACGTTATGTAACTTGTTGTGTGACGAAAAAAACGTATCTTGACTTGTTCAAAGCATTAATCACAGTTGGCTTCCTTTTCACTTGAATTTTGTATCCACAGCCTAAGATGAGAAATTTAAAATTTCTATCAGCTGAAGTTCTTTTACTGCATATTATATCTATTCAATCGCCCCCAATTCACGTGGAAAAAAGGAAAGTAGGAAAACACTGAGCTTCGAGAAACAGCCATGTTAAGGCTAATGTATTTACCATTCCTTAAATATTTACAATCAAGACCACTCAAAAGATCCACACGTGCAAATAATGCTGTTTTCCGTTCGAAATGTTTTTCTTCCTATTCAATTGAACAACTGACTTAGCGTTTAAGCCGAGAAAAAAATCACAAAGTTTGAATTCTGGGATGTTGTCCACTGTTGGCTCCATCAAGTTACGATTCTGCACCATTGACGCTCGTGAAAATCTATCTTAACGTCACGCACGTCACGCAGCTAGCTACAAACCATAATATAATTATTCTTGGTGCCTTTCCAAATGCCACTGACTCCCTCTCCGAAGCCTTCATTGTTTATTAAAGCAGTAAAAGATATGAGTTCAATCAACACTTTTGAAAAATTGCTTAAACTGTGAAGTAAACTGTTAACATTTCGGCTTTACAACACGATTGTCTCTGGAACAACAAATTATGTCTATATATGATGTATAAAAGCTGTTTCACCGCTGACCGCTCATATTTGGGTCGTTTTTTCTATCCCCGCTCGTCGCCCGTGATGTAGTAACTCCCAGATTAGTGCGCTGTACAATACTACGATACTAGACCACGTGACAGGCGCTCGACTCTCGGGTACAAATAAATAAATAAATCCGATCGTATCATAATGTGGCTACACACTTTTATGGCGCGCCTTTCCGGTCAATATTCAAACAACCTTAATATACAATACATCCATTACATTCCTTTGCCATATTTTTTATTTCCTTATGTGGATATATTTTTTAGCTACTTTATTTTTCATTTTCCTTCTATATTTTTTAAATCTCTTCCTATCAATTTAGATGTACGTGTTTAACGCATCTATTTTCTATTTTTTCTCTTTATCTTATACGCGTTCTATGTTTTTCATATTCATTCCATATGTTTTTTTCGTTCCGAGTGGGATTTGTTATTTTCTTTCCAATTAGTATGCAACACGTGATCACATGAGCACGTTACACTTTTTCCATTCCGCCATTTTGGCGTTCGGCTATATGGAGGAAGAGCTATCGACTGCTTGTCGTGCGGCCGCGGATGCTTTAGAGATTTTAAGTAATTTGAGACCTGGTTTTACGAGAAATGTAATACCTCGGATGAATTCAACGGCAGTCTCTGTCAGTCAGCCGAACAACGGGGATCGTAAGGTAAACAACGAGGGGGCTGTCCTGGTGTACCGGTACACGGGGGAATTCCTATTGTTTTCATATCCATACATGGAGTTGTGACGCAGATCGTTAATGTTTCGTTCCTTTGTGTACCGGTACACGAGGACACAACCACAACGAGGAACTTCAGTCGAACGAACTTGCCATTCAGTCCTCGACGTCGCCAGCCTCTAACAGTTCTATTCAAGCTCGGCTTGCCACTCTCTTTCCGACAATTGGTTCGAACCGAGCTAGTGGGAAAAGCACTAGTAGAAGACCAGCAAGGTCAAAGCAGACCATTAAGTCGACCAAAGTTCGCCCACCCAAGACACTTGTTTGCAAGGATCTAGTCCTTATTCCCAGTCCCAAGAACAACAAAGTGCCTACACCTACAACCCGACTTATGTTAGAAGAGAGAGAACTTGTCTGCCACTAGTTTCCCTTTGACAAGAGCTAGGATGCACATTCCCTCAAAGCTGCTATATTGAATCGATCTCCAAAGCTTTTGCTATTTGAATATGTCAAGGTGGGTAACTTTGCGTTGTGATATAAGTTTAAACATTGTTCTACGTTTAATGCATTAATAATATCATTGCTGTTCAGTTTGTACATTTGTTGTGGCTGCACTATTTTTAAATACGCATTTATACTATTTTGCCAAAAATTTAACCACATAAGAGGATACCTGCAGTGACGCGAGTAATGGACTTCGAATTTTTGGCAGAATTTGTTGGGTTATTTTAGATTTCCTCTGGTACTGCCCCGCTCCCACCCCTTTCTCCTTCCTTGTGATATAAGTTTAACTTAACTACTCTTTCATTAGATTTACCCTTGACTTTTGCAAGAAGCGTGCAAGTAATGTGTGTTTTTCTTAACCTAGCCATGCTATGGAAAGCTAATAACTCCTAAACTGACAGAAGGCATAACTCTGGGTGCAGAAAGAGTGACCAGGATGGCTGGTCAAGGAGCTGTTTATGTTAGATCACTGGTGCCTTTGGAATCTGAAGATGAGGGTGAAACTGAAGAGGAGCTAGAGAATTCAGCATTAGATAACAGTCCAAGGTGAACTTTTTCTTGCGAATTTTTGCATTGAACAAGATCAAACCTGTATAGATTTCTTTTAGCTTTTTTGCCTCACTGCAAAGGTAGCTTCCCGATGCAGTGGAATCATCTTATATATGATAGACTGGCATCCAAGATCATGCTACTAGGCATGACAATGCTTTTTGTTGGAAATATTATTTAGTGTATTTTATTGGTTATTTATTTATTTATTTGTCTGCTCAGATCTTTATTCAATTGTTTAGCAGGATAGGACATAAATTAATGTGGTTTATTGCAACTCCATGTGATTGTGGATATTTGTATAAAGATGAACCTTCATAGTCTGTTACATCATTGCCAATTAGTTCCCTTTTTTTATGGTTTGTGACAAGTTGATATTTCCTTTTAGTGTTAGTGGAGCACAAAGAAGCTCTCTGTTGCTTTCATTTGGGGAGAGTGAAGGGAGGCCAGATGCAGCTGTGGTGTCCCACCCCTGCCAGGATGCTGCACAACCTTATTGTGTACCATTTCCAACTGAAGCAGAAACATCACATCAAAATACAGAGTTAAATGATGTAGAGACAGGCAGTAACTCTGATATTGTTCATGCATCATCTGAGCATGTACCTGTGTCTGTATCAGTACCTGTACCTCAACTGTTACCAAAATGTATCATCCAAGTGCACAGGCTAAATATTAAGAAGGATTTGATTGACTTATTCCGAGATCCATTAATTATGAGTCAGGACATAGAGATAATTGTTATTGATGCTAGGGGAGTTGAAGAAGTGGGCAGAGGTGTTGGGTTGCTCAGAGATGTTTTCTCTCTTTTTTGGAAAGAAACATATGTACCATTTGTAAGACATGATTATCAAAGGGATGAATGGGTTGCTGTTGGCAGAATTTTGGTGAAAGGATATTTAACCTGTCAATACCTACCAGTCCTTCTGTCTCAAACATTCCTTGCCTGTCTTTTTTGGGGGGAATCTGCTGTAACTAGTGCTATGCTGACTCAATCCTTTAGAAATTACATTTCAGTTGATGAAAAATGTTTGATTGACAAGTGCCTTACTGGTGATATGAAGTGGGATGATGAAGATGAAATGTCCCAGCTTTTAGAAGTTTTTAGTAACTATGACTGTAAAATTATGGTAAATTCTGAGAATGTTATTCAAGTTATTGAAGAAATAGCCCATAAGGAGCTGCTGCAGAAGCCACATTATATTGCAGACTGCTGGGAGGATATAGTTTCCACACTCCTTCCTAGTTTTCCTGATTTTGCAGCAATTTCCAAAAGGTATGAATTGTTAATACCATCCACAAGCAAGATCCTTAGTTGACTAGAGGCAAACCCTGAGAGTGATGGGGAAAGGGATAGCCTTAAGTTTCTCAAACGGTATATTAAGGGCCTTGACACGCCTCAGAAATTATCAAAGTTTGTAAGGTTTATCAGTGGGTCTGAGTTGATGCTTTTTGACGCAGTCCAAGTAAATTTTACCAACTTATCTGGTTTGGGTCACTGACCAATTGCCCACACTTGTAATACTGTGTTGGAGCTATCCTCGACTTATCAGTCATTTCCTGAACTTAGAGAGGAGTTCAGTGCAATACTTGCATCAGATTATTGGGAAATGGATATTGTGTAATATGCCTTGTGACAAAAAGAAGACCATAATGATGGCAAGCTGATAGAACAGACTGTGAAATTATGTTTTCTACCTTGGATGGGTATTTACGATTTTAAAACATCTAACAACAGTGCACATATTATTTTCCAGTAAATCAAACTGGGAAATCGTTAGCTAATATATTGTTATCTGTTCAAAGTTGACATTTTCAAGTGAGCGCAGTTGTTTAGAACTTTATTGTTGAGATTTTAATGTATTTTTTCTTGACTGTTGTAAAGGTTAAGTTGCATTCGTTGTTCTATTCTGATTGATACAATTTGAAGGCAATTAATAAATTTAACACTGTTTACGTTTTCAATCTGTAATAGTGGTACCTGTTTGATAGGCGTTAATTGATCTTAATTCTCTTGGGCCTGTTTTCACTCTCTAAACAACGAATTTCAGGTTAATTGAATGCAGGGAACACCTGTTTTGAAAGATAGTTACCAGCCAAGTTTCTTATATGTTGAACTGATTCCTGAGGATGTCTATGCATCTCAAATATTGAGTTCTAGCATGTTCACCATCGTAATTCAAAGGGTGACAGGAGACTTCCAAGATATGCAGTTGTTGTGGTGTGAGGTGAACATCAACTGCTGGTATTGAGACCTGGTAATCGTCGTCGTCTAACGGGATAGGTCCATCTGGATCAAACCCATACAATGGAATTTCATTTGGATGTAGAATACTCTCAACTCCAGAGTATCCAGAGTGCATGTTTTCCAAAATCCCAGAGGCAAAAATTTGTAGGGGAGATAATTGATGTTCACTGGAGACAGGGTGATTGTTCCATTGACTAGTAGTGTTGCAATGCCCTATTTATCCTTGGTATGTATACAAAGTGCAATGAAAATAAATGTACTTCATTTAACGGGTCAAGAAGACCCATGTCTTCCATTCCACTAAAGATATTGGCAAAGTGACAAAGGACACCAGCGTAAACATCCTTGTGAGCACGCTCAACGCGGCAGTTGTGGACAGAGCTTCCCGTTATGATACTTCCTCTGTTTAGTCCTCTATTTTACAACATGTACTGTGCCACTCTAACATTTTCCAGTCCATGATCGCTTCTTACTCTTGAAGGTAAGCCAAACTCTTGCACTCCCTTGATGAAGAGCTCCAACACTGTATCTGCTCGGTTGTTATCAGTTAGGGTGGCATACACAATAACCCTTGAATACCCATCAACACAGCAATGCACAACAAACCTGTACCTGGTAAGCTTGTGGTTTCCGTCTATGTGCCACAAAGCGTTTGGCGTTGGTACAGAGTACTTTCGACGGTAAACCGGAGTACTCCAGCGAAGTGCTGTCCCAAGCGGGTCTACGAAGACAGTAACGAACCCTCCATAGCTGGATTCGAAATCCCCTTGCTCGGAGAGCTCCAAGCAATCTTCGTTGTCCAATGTTTGGAGTAATGCTTCTAATTTCTTTGACAGCGTCTTCAATCTGAGAATCTGAAAAGAAGTTCTAGTTTAATTCATAAAGTTTGAAGTGTCGTACATTATTGAGTGAGATGGGGAACCTAAAATATTTTGATGAAGGGTATGGCTTCTAAGATTTATTTTACCCGAAACTATATCACCCTTGTCCAAACACACCGATAATAAGCATTAAACCAAATAAGCTACTAGTATAGATAACCTTAGTCTGTAAATTACTGCGCACCTGACAATGCGGTCCAGTTTTCGCTGTCATCATCCAAATTTAATTCCCGTCTTCTTCGACGTAAAGTACTTTCACTGATACCTAACAAACTAGCGATTTTTACCCAGGAGAAATGCAGTTCGCGTAAGAATTCGATCTGCTCTCTTTCGATGACGATTACTGGTCTTCCTGCACTTGTTAGTTTAGTGGTAGGACAAGCGAATGAATTTGATATCGTTGCTTCAACGGAATTTCTTTCCTCGTACTTTGTCATTGCACGAAAAACAAAGCGTACTTTTGTCAAAACAGCTTCTATTATTGTCTTGAAATCTTGAAGGACAGAGTCCTCACTTTGCCATACACTATGCAATAGCAACTGTAAAGTTAAAATTGCATCTTCCAGACGCACGTTAGCTTGTTCAAAGTAATCAGCGGAGACATCTTGTGTGTTCAAATTCTGAATACCAATCAACAGGGTACGAAGAGACTCTACGAAGTTGTAAAGGCCTCTCTCTTTGCCACCTCTTAAAGTTCCATCCGCCATTTTGCTTTTAAATTGTCGGAAAAGTGCATCGCGGTCATGTGATCACGTGTTGCATACTAATTAGAAAGAAAATAAAAAATCCCTCTCGAAACAAAAAAAAAATATGGAATAAATATAAAAAATATAGAACGCATATAAGATAAAGAGTACAAAATAAAAAAAAAAGATGAGCTAAACACGTATATATAAAATAAGAGGAAGAGATATAAAAAATATAGAAGCGAAATGAAAAATAAAGAAGCAAAATAAAACAGCTAAAGAAAGGAAATAAAAAATATGGCAAAGAAATGTAATGGATGTATTGTATATTAAGGTTGTTTGAATATTGACTGGAAAGGCGCGCCATACTCTTTGTGTAAGCCACACAAAAATGATTGGTAAATTATATTTTGATGTCTACAGAAGAGAATTTTCACGCAGTTTACCTAAACACACTTCACACTACACAACGATGGTCGCTTGGATTGAAAAGGAAGTAGAGGCTTCCATTGTGGGAATAGATCCAAGTTTTATTTATCTGTTACAACGTGTTTGCTTTAAGTTCGACTTTCTCGAATTTTGAACTGTGAACAGCTTTCATTTAGTTGTCGATATGGAGCTGTATGTCATGTATATCGCGACATCTTCCTTTACTGATTGAAAATGTCGTGCAACGATCGTTGTCGAACATAGCATGACAAATTTGCCATCGATCAAATGTGACATAGAAATTTAATCTATCCTAATTGCGAATTTTTACCAGACTTTTCGGAAAAAATACTTTTCACGCAATTGGCCTGAACACAGTGCATGCTGTACAAGGATTGTGGATTGGAATGAAGAGGAAACACAAGTAATATGGATCAAATGCAACGTGTCATCCAGCAAACCCGACCAGCTTTCAACTAGTTGCCGCAATGAAGTTGTATGTCTTATGCTCCTCGCAACAGCTTGGTTAGCATGTGTTAAGAAAATTGAGTAATGATTGCTCATATTTCTGGCGTGACAAAATAACGTAACGTCAGTTAAACGGTGGGGTCCTGGTTTGAGATTTCTGGCGTGGGTATGGAGTAAAGTTGTACTATCGCCGCGATTTTTCTGCTATTCCCTCTAAATCTAAATAAACACGGTCTTTTTGAGACCGGAGGTCTTCTTCCAAACATTAAGTCTTCCTTAAGACTACAAATGATTAACGGGATAAAAAATTAAGTAAAAAAACATGGATAGATAAATGTGTAATTACCTTATTGATTAAAGGGTGAATGAGGATAGTGATCACCCTATATCAAGTCACCTGTTCGTTTATAATCCTTGGCTTCAGAAAGTTCAATCTGTAATCCATTCTCACGGACTCCCCTCGCCCCCTCCTGTTGTTGATTATTGATAGAGCTTAAAACAACATATTTGAAATTTGTTTTGTTTTTGCTTCTTGTTAGGTGGAGAGAGGCTTTGTTCGTGTTATAGCTTTAATAACAAGTCAAGTGGTTACGCGTGGCCACAAGCAAATGGTCACTGTAGGTATCACAACAAACGCCTTGTGGTGATGGAAACAGAGAAGGAATGGGAATTTATCAAAAACGCGATTCAAAACCGAGAAGGCAGTAAATATGGTGAATGGTTTATTGGTTTGGAGATAAATATAACAACAAGAAATTGGACTTGGATCAATGGCAAATCCCTGACAATTGACAAATGGGAGAAGTCAAGTCCTGACCCAGATGACTTTTACGTGATGATTCACGAGGAATTTCCACTTGGATTTAAAGGATCTTTTGTCACCATTAAAGGAAACGTACAAAGAGGATGGATTTGTGAGAAAGAATCAGGTATTGATTAAGACCAGATAAGAGAAACGATTTTAGCTTCATCAAGCATTATTGTTATGCATGGATCTGAATTAACTATAAGCTACTTTTGCCCTTCCTTTCCCACCCCTTATCTCTCCTTTTTCCCATCTTTCCCTTTTTGCCCATTGCGACCACCTCGTACGAAGGCTTTTCATCTTCAGGGGAACAGTTCCCGTAATACCAGCCACTTTGATAAAAGTTAATAGATAAATTATTGGGAACCCCTTAAGAAGAGGTACTGATTCGTGGCTGGCTATGGGCAAGCTCGAGAAATAATGCATATCCGTCAATTCGAAATGCCACGCCACAAATGTCTACCTGGTAAAAGTGTCAATTGTTATGTTTTTTTTTAACAGACAATTGTCAAGGAGTCTGTTTCCTCCATCCTGTTCCAAGAAGTACAAATCCTCCTGGAACCACAACTGTAACAAAAATTGTTACAACAAAAGGGAAGACGTCAACCGAACAGGATATCGCTGCTGTATCAGGTAAGATCTCTGATTGATTGACAATTTTGATTGATTGAGGATATATAAAAGAGCAACTTCCTAAGATTAGCCCTAATTTTGTTTCTTTGTTTTTGTTTTGTTTTGTTTTTGCTTTTGTTTTGATTTATTGTTAGTTTGTTTTTTGCGTTTTTGTTTTTATCCGTTCCTGTTTCACTTCGACTTGTCTTTTCATGCTTTTGGTTTTTGTTTCATTTGGTTGTTATTTATATTTATTTATTTATTTATTTATTTATTTGTTCTGTCTGTATGCTTCTTTGCTCATTGTTGATGTTGTTTTGTTTTTGTGTGTGTGGCAGAGTTTAAGGGATCTCTTTGCATTTGATATTGGTTTTCCTTGTTTTCGTTCTTTTGTACGCTTGAAGGTTGGAGAGTCGGTAAATAATTTTGCCGGATCATTCAGGGGCACTATTTATGATAGGTATTATAATCTCTTGATATATCACGACTAATATCATTAGAAATTTGAAAATACAAATGCATTTAATCCAGGATCTTCAACAACTGTCTTCATACCAACCATGGTAATCACAGATGACAACAGCAGTTCTTTCCCCACAGTAATGATAATAGCCCCTTCCTCGGCAGCAGTGTTCTTCGTAATGTTGATCATTCTCGTTGCATTTATGTTACTAAAGCGAAGGAATCGCCAACAAAAAGGTAAATACGTTCGATTTGTTGCAAAAAAAATACGGATTATTACTTTTTACTAACCTGAAATTTGTTGCAATGATACGATTATTTAGATATCCGTCGCTACTTCATGGAAGCCATTTACTGGCCTTCTTTCACCTAGCGACATTCATTGGGTCTGCGAAAAGAAAACTTAAGATAAATCACAACATATAGTGGAATCAAAATAGGGATTTTTTTTTGTCTACTCTACATGCAAAGATAATCAAAGTCATGTTTCCTAAATGGACATCTTTTTAGATGCAGAAAGCACAGTGTCGAAAGAATCATCGTAAGTGTCTATTTCTTTTTTCTGAAACGCTTTCCTACTGGTACTTATTGACTAGTTTCAGGTTAAACTAACATTCGAGCCAGCGCTGAAAGTCATATCCTCTCGTTGTTATGATTATTGCTGCTTCCTCCTTCCCTAGAAAAAATGCAAGTCCATAGAAAGGTTATCCCTTCCCCCTCAGGTTCCCCTTTTAAACGTGATCACACCAGTCTATACTCCTGGATGGATAAAAGTAGTCTAAAGGATCTCTGCAAGCTCGAACCCAGACCTACAGATCCGAATCCTTCAGCACACAAACCCCGTATGCTCCACGTGTAATCAAACGAGTGTGCATGTTATACTGACGTTTACCTGAAAAAAGAAAACCATAAAATTTGAGTCGAATCTAGGTTCAAAGTTCATTGCTTGGAGGCGTTACCTCATCTCATAACCTTGACAAGGTATTGGGGCTATCGCCAGGTAGAAGATAACACAATTGCTCGTTCAAGAGTTTTTATGTGGTCTATTTTTTTTTTCAAATTTTATAGAGCACCAAACATCATTTAACAACAAGAGGCACTTGTAAAAACAAATTTAGACCGAGTATCTTCCAACAAAAGTGATATTCAAAGAGATATGCAAACAGCATCCATCACCGTTGTTGATGGGTAAGACTACCTCCCTCACCTACGAGCATGAGACAAAATGAGGAAATATCAACTCTGCATGAACCACGGCGTTTGATAATAACGGAAACAAAACGTCTCTTTGCATTTTCGCTGATATGCTTCCCATAGATTTTACGGAAAAGAAAATTTATGGATTTTTTTAACTTTTGTTTCGTTGTCTTACTGTTAGCAATCAGTGTATTTCCATTGTCAGATGCCATTTATAGCTAGTTTACTTTGTTTCTTGTTCTCTTTTTGTATGTTTATTTGTAACTTCTCTCTCCACAGAAATCAACGCGACTTTCAAGACGGTTTCCCGTTGACTACTTTGAATGATTGTGCTCAGCCTAGGTTTTCCGCGGGATATGAAACCAAGAATGACAGGCTCCAAAGTAAACCGTCTGTCCTACGGGAGTGTGTATATACTGCACTGTGTCCTCAGTCAATGATGGTAACTGTAGATAAAATGAGACGAAAATTATCCGATATGATCCAATTGTGATTTTTTAAAAACAAACAATTGAATAAATATTTCCAAACCAATAACACTGTCTGTTTCGCAGACACCTGAAGGGGACGGTTCACAGACGTACGCGTCGCTTGATGAATCTACAAGAGAAGCCGAAAACATTGAATATGAGAATTTATTACCGGCTCATGGGTATGTTAATGCTTCACCATCAGAAAACTTGTCAAAAACTAAGGTGGATTGTTTGTTGGACATTTAGCGTTAATTCAGGATCATAAAGATGAAGTAAACGAAGTGTTGATAGCACTTAGATTTTGAGAGGAGTTTATTTCACGAGTGGCAATCGAGTCCGCAGTTTTTCCTCCCTGCTCAAAAACCTATGTAAGCTTAAAATTCCGGTTGAAATCATTTCTCAAATTAGTCAATAGCTAACCTACATTTGCTTTTTCTTTTATTTATTTATTTACAGTCCAAAATGATTAAAATGAAACACGCATGATTCCCCGTAACTCTGAGTTTCGTGCTCACGCACTCGTCAGACAGATTTAATGAAAAACATATTTGTAGGCTAATATATATATATATATATATATATATATATAAGATAGCTGCCGATTACAATAGGTTGTTGCTATATAATAGGTGAGAAATAGCGAAAATTACAATGGATGTGGATGTGTTAATGAAGGACAATAAGGCAGTAGGTGTGAATATATTGACAAAAGTCTATTGCAGTGGGGAAGCGTCAGATGTTCTTTAAATAAAACTTGTTTTCGTGATGGCATTTGGATATAAGTTCGAATCGTTTATTTAGTAAGTTGTTGCTGTTGGACTTAATAATCATAAGTTTTTCGGTCAGGCAAAGGTCGCATCTTTTCGTCGTGTTGTAAGCACGAAACTCAGAGTTAAAGGGAATCATGCGTGTTTCGTTTTAGTCATTTTGAACTGTATTTCGCTTTACACCCATGTGTATTGAGCACTCTCCAACAGCATTTGCTACAATTTCCCACAATTATTTATTTATTTATTTAGGTTCCAACGTAAACGGTTTATCCCACGGGAAGACGTACGTACCGAGCTGAGTCCAGAGTCAATGATGGTAATTACGCATAAAATAAATTCAAATCACCTAATATGATCCCCATATGATGATTCAACATTAGATACGTAAAAATTGTTTTCAAACCACTTTTCTATATCTATTTATATATCTATATATATTCCTTTATATATATTATATATATATATATATATATATATATATATATTTAAACATCGCAATTTCTCTGGTGAAACATCACATTATTGCCAGTTAGAGGTATCTCGTTTGGAAACATGCATAACGTCTAAAAACCATGTACTATTCTAAACTTTTAGCCGTATTTATGCCAGAAAATCTTTATTTTCACAAGATGTAGTATATTAATTGATGACCTTGGTGGTAAGCACAGCATGTCACAGAGACATGAATAGAAATATTATTTAAATACATATATGTTATTTGCCGGCTGGGAGGTCCGTATGGTGAAAAACTGTGACCGATAGGCCGAGGGCAGCATAAGACCGAGGTCACAGTTTTTCATACGGACCGACCCTTAGCCGGTAAATAACATATTTATTGTTTTTAAACTTGACGAAATTCTTTCCGAAAGAACCCGAATGATTTATGGCCGTAAATACGGCAAGATCTTCCATAAACTGAACAATTTTTGAGTGAGTAAATGGTAGTTAAAATAGAGGTGATGCAAATTTAAGAGAGATTCCTCAGCGAAACATTTTCATTTCCGTAACGATAAAGGTGATTTAAAAGGCTTCCAAACAAACTTTGAAACATTATTTTTAAAAGTATCTGTCACAATCTGACACCTGTCAATTAGAGAGCGCGCAAGAAAAAAAAAAAAAGCGTAGGAACATTTGAAAACCAACAGAACTAGTTTGGCAAGGACTGTCACGACAATGTTTTCTTCAAAATCAGTTAATGATCTAACGGAAAGTATTATTCACTCTCATCGACCATTCATTCATGTACGAAGATTTACCTCTGTTCATTAAGTAAACGGCGAGGAAAGTAATTGTGAGTAAATTCAATTTTTTTTATTTGAAGTTGTGAGAGTTTGCTCGTTTGTTTGCTGTAATGGCGTGTTTAACTCTGATCTTTCCTTCACAAAAACTAAATTCGAACGGCACACTCCAACGAGATACAAGGGAATGTAATGCGGCCTTTTCTCAAAAAATTCCTTCAATTTCTGTTGTGCAATTTAAGGTACAAATGTCCAAATTGAACGGAATTGGAAAGACTCACCAGGAGCGTATATTTGTTGTAGAACTTAAATTAAAACTTCGCTCGCTCTTTCACTATGAACAAATTGCTCGAGAAAATTCAGATATTAAATGAATGAAAGTTCCATCGTTCAGTTTAACTGTAACCAAATACCTCACGTTTCAACTTTCTGGGTACTTTTTGTGAACGATTAAAATTAATTGCAGACGGTTTTTAGGCCGCTTGTCAACCAACGTAATGACACTATTGTTTATACAAATTCATTCTGAAACCAATATTTTTCTGTCAGCGAAAGTGATTTGATAGAGAGAAAAGAGAGGATTCATAAGTTATTTATCGGCTTGAGGTAGTGACCGACGTGTTTGCTTAAAAAGACTGCCCAGCCGGAAAACGAGGTATGTTTATGAAAAATGACAACGAAAGTTGGGATGTACTCGGCGACTCACGAAAGCGTTACCGTGGCCCGTGGGCAGAGATAGGAAAATACTGACCGGGTAAAGAACCAATCAGATTGCAAGATTCGTTACCGTGCCCTCTAAAAAAACAATAAATACATGTTTTGCACGATCTGGAGAAAATAATGTCACATAATTATACTTGACACGACCTAATTATTGCTGGGCTGCGTTACTGGTTTTGTTCAATTTTGTTTATTGACAATGGAGAGTTTAGTCAAGCAAACAGCAAGTTTCAAAGGAATCGAGGGCACAGCTCGATAAACCTTGCCTGTCAAGTCAATAAAACCATCAGTTTTCTCACAAATAAAACTGGTTATTTTGCAGGCTCCAGAGGGCGAGGGTTCCCGAACTTACACATCTACGTGGGAAGACAGCGACATTGATTATGTCAATCAAATACCTAATCGTGAATATGTGAATGAAATACCTAGTCCTGAGTATGTTAATGCTTGAGTGGATTGTTAGTGAGACGGCTTGCGTTAATTTAGGATTACAAACCTGTAGTAAACAATGTAATAATAGTACTTGTCCCAGCAAAGCCACAAAGGGAAAGAATTCCTGTTGACACTGGGTTAATTTAATCGTGGTTTCAGAAACCCACTTCGAAATGGACTGTAAATTATGCTCAAAATTGGCGTCTTAACAGTCTTCTTTGTTCGTGCATGCTTTAGAAGTTGAGCTCCTTTTTCATGAGTGACTATTTAGATGAAGGATGATGGAAAAATTTCTATAATAGTCTAAATCAACCTATTCCTTAAAACTTCAAATCTGGGTTGATTTCGTTCACTTTGCTTTTGATTTGTGGCTTGATACAGAGGGTGGACCAGATCAACATGATTTCTATTAATGAAATAGAGAAATCCTGCTCCCAATGATGTGTGGCCTAGGGGGAAGTCATGAATTCATAGTATGCCTTTAATTTGACAGCAATTTTTCAAAAAAATCCCTCTCAGTTCCTAACAACATCTGTTGGGCTCATTGAGAAAAAGTGAAATGACAAGTAATCAATGCAGGAATAAGTAAGGAGAAAGCAATAAAGGGTGAAAAAAAGCACTTAAAAATACATGTGCTTTATTATCAGTATCAGGCATTTTTGCACTTCATAAAATAGCTCTATTGAAATAAAACTTAAACTAACCACCTATACTAAGTGGTTTTAATAAATGTTAATAATTTATTGACCTAAAATGTCTCTTGCACAGAGCATGGACCAAAGCTATTATTTTCCTCCTGTTCCATGCAAGTGCATGTTCTGTAAACAGTTCATTGTGACCTAGAAGAGTTAATGAGCTAATATACAGTTCTACAGTTCCCTGCAATCATAAAGAAATATTAAAGTAGCAACAGCAGAATCTTTACCCTCAAGAAGCATGTATTTAGTTGTGTTGTTACATTGAGACATGTATGAATTTATTTCTTCAACCTCTTCCCCAGTAGAGCAGGCACTGCTTAAGTTTGCCACCTACCACCCAAAATGACCTAAGGATGAAAAAAAGTCACACAACTTGTCATGAACAAAGGGAAATTAAAACTTGCATTTTATACTCTGAATGGACTGCTTTAGTGGTCAAAAAATTGTTGGTAAATATTTGACACAAGTAAAAGCATCTAACATCACAGAAATATTTTAAATTGTGATACTTAGAGTCTTTTCATTCATAACAAATTTGGTTTAACAATAACTCTGTCAATAAGTGTTGAGTCCAACTCCCACATCTGGCAGAAACATAATGATTCGAAATGCTAGAGCTATTTTCCACAAATAAGTGAAACTTTGTGTTTGCTCTTTTTAGCCAATCAAATAGTACCTGACAGGTCCAGTTATGTGCCTTGGCATGCATCACAGAAAGAGCTGGCTTAATTAAGCATTCCTTTAAAAGACCAGCATTCCTGGCCTACTTCCAGTATTTACATACAACATCAACCCATACAAAGGTGACATTGACAGGCTGCATTTTACATTGCTGAATGTAATGTGCATATCCATAAAGCTTGCACTGGTACATGTTCATGGCCCACTAAGCCAATCCAGGCCAACATTCTGCCATCTCCAAACCCGTCTCATCCAATTTGGCATGTTTAAGAGGTTGGTTAATCGCAGCTCTCCACTCTGATGAACCACAGACATTATTCTTCAGAAAAGATGTCAAATAAGATAAGTGTCAAGGGACGCAGTGTATATGAAGGAGTAAAACTTTGAAATATCTGCAAATTAGAGATCAGCAAACATTGTAGCTACATACCATGAATGGGAGACATGTGAAATACATTGACAGTTTTGGTTTTCCTCAATAACACAATAATTCATATTCATACAGTAATTATAAGCAATTTATTTCCTGGGTGGTACATTTTTTGGAATAAAGAAGCAGAATATGGCTGTAAACCTTGTCCCTGTCAGCAATCAATATCTCTTCATAATAAGAGGGTAATTTTTTGCCTAATAGAAAGATGAAAAAGTGATACATTGGTTTACTGTAAAGAAAAATATAAAAGAAATTAATAGAAACAGTTTCCACCCATCTTACCCCATGTTACCCCAACTTAAAGTGTCCTCTCTACCATCAAGACAAAGCATTAGTCAACTGCCTATTTAATATTGAACAGTACAAATTAAGTAATTTTTCCAATAGGCTTTACTTCAAATACAATTTACCATAATGATTATGATAAATTTTTTGCTGAAAGTGTTTCTAATAAGTTAATCATATAAATGTTATGTGAAGTTTAATACTTATTTTGTTGAGTGAATAAAGATTTTTTTTTAATATTATCAATATCATCATTATTTGAACTTAAGTGTCTGTTTATGAATGAATCAACTTTAAAATGTAGACTTTTGTAATGGCAACACATATGTTGTATACATACAAAGCTGACCAGGCTTTGAACAACTAGGGCCTGCCCCTATAGTATAATAAAGGCAGAGTCTCTGATTTAACCCTTTACATGCTAACATCAGCATACATATTCTCCATACTGTTCATTATACATTTCTTAAGGTGTTGATAAGGAGAATCTGGTTAACAATCAAGAACTTCTTTAGTTGGAGATCATTTCCTTTATTCTTGTGACCTTTATGTGTGTGATTTTGGGGAGATATTGCAAGGAGAAATTACATGCTAATCACTTTTAGGGGTGAAAGGGCTAGGTTTTGAAGACATTTGCAAAAATAGCAAAACCATGCACCATTCATACACGAAATAATATAAGATATCAATCAATCCCTTCATCCTTCTATCTATCTATATATATAGTAGACATACGGCCCTACATTGTATATGAGGGGAAATCCATCCAGGTGAGGCCTGCTAAAAGGTACAATTTGTATTGAAAGAATCTCCATTCCTTATGGGCACATGAAAAAAGGAGGTATTTATGCAGGAAACCTAAGCAGAAACAAAAATGCTTTCTAAGTCTTCTTTGATTACTAAATCAGACTATTCATAATTATTAGTATTATAATTACAAAACATTTCATTATTACATGTAAATTTTAATACTCTCTAAAAACAATCCTGGAGACAGAGAAGTCACATTCTCACTTCTCCACAAAACATAAATTTATTACTACTACCACTAGCACCCAGGTAATACTGAAAAATGACCATTCCACAATAGTAAATGATAGTTAAGCAGCATTCATATACTGACATGTACTTGTATATAACTTTAATGCCATCACAATAGCATCAAATACATTTTCATGCAACCTTTAACAATAGAAGAAAGAAGTAATATTACCTTTGTGAAAAAAAAAAAATATATATATATATATAATACATACCTAGTGAAGACACCTATTCTGGCATTAAAAGATGACGTATCTTCTAGAGCAGCTATAAAAGATCTTTGAAGTCCCAGGTATTCGCATCTGCAAGTTGTGCCAGTGTAAAAACAGTTGTTGGTCCAAAATGTATGTAAAGGTAAAAGAATCTATTTAAAATATTTTACTCATGGAAAGAACTGTGCAGTAGTGATATACTGTTCTTTCATGCACCAATCATTACCTTAGTTTGTAAGTAATCACAATCAATGGTCTGCTTGTGAAAATACCCTCAAATTCAGTACAGGATTTGCATGAAGGACAACATGATGGCATAGAAAGTACAAATGAAACTGGCACTCTGGCATTGAAAGGAAACTCAGAATATAGAATTAAGTAACCGATCCTCTTCCAAAACCTGGAATTCATAATCTTAAATAAAAAAATATGTTCCTATTTGCAACTATGAATACTGACTAAGGGGACATCCTCAACAGAATTGTTAAGCAACAGTTCTTCACAACATTGAAGAGTTTCTTGTAAGCCAGAGGAGGCTAACAACAAAAGAATTAAAGTGGAATCTGAATAAAACAATATCAAAATACCAGGAATCATGCATCTAGTTTTTACAAGCCAAAGTAATTTCCCCTATTATGTACAGTTATTGTATGCAACAGACTAAATAAAAAAAATCCCTGGCGGTTTTGGAACGACTGTTGCTGAACGCTTGTTACGGTTAAGCTTTGTTGATTTAGGTACTGATACACTGTGATCATCTATGTATCTCTCATTCTTCCTAATGTGGTATCCTTCTTTCATAAAAATGAGGGTAAAAGACGATTTGTAATCGCATTCAAAATTGTGATTGGCTTGTGTTAATTCTCACCTTTGCTATGAACACAACTCAAGTGGGTTTTGAGTCTTTGTTTCTTCGACAACTTTCGGCCACAAACCGTGCATTTTAGTACGATCGATTATTTTCTATTATTTCTACATAGAGTGAGCTCACATCTTTATTTATATCACCGTCAGAACATGGATCCAATGTATCCATCGTCCTGAAGCGGGGAACTGGTCGAAGAAATCAAAATAAAGTTGTGCGCTTTTCTTGGAAGCCAGCGGGTTCACTTTCCTAGCCAATGACAAGTCCTAAAAGATTCACGTGATCATGCCCGTGATCGGAAACATAGAAGACTCCATTAGCGCTCATCTTTGAATGTACTTTTCATCGGTTGATCGCTCGTATGTTAAGTTATTTCTTTTCTCAACTGTTTCGCCTAATATAACATTTCTAAAGAAAGGTTTTATTGTGGTGCGTGCGTGTTGTAAATGGAAAGAAAGTCGTTGGCGCCTTGGAGTTAAAAGAAGGGACAACAGTTGACATATTGACTGGTACAAACAAGGGTCGAGTGGCCATTGTGGTGAGTAAAAATTGCGATATTCGTTACGTGATCAAAATCTTATCGAAGAATAGATATAACGGCTTGAATGAAGCTTACATAACGCTCGGCGCAACTGAAACTAGAATAATTCTGAGAATCGAATCAGTCACTTACATGCCGCAGTTTCTTAAGCTTATGCTTTACAATGAAACTATCAGTAAGGTTTCAAGACTACTTTAGTCACGTTTTGGGAACATTCAAGATTCATAATACAAACTGTGACTAAACTCATCTTATATAAAGAAGCCCTCCTTGGTAAAAACAAAATATTGTATTCAGCCCTTTTTCAGTAAAATCTATGGGAGAAATGTACCTACTCCAATATAAAAGTCATTCAATATAACCCAGATACAAAATGGTCAAGCTTCTTGTAGACAACCTCATTCAACACTAACAGGGAAAGAGGTGAGCCCAGGAAAAAAATACAAACAGCAGCTAAGTCTGCAGTTTAGGATAACTTCATTCTAATTTATTGATACAGTTACAACAAGATTTTAATTAAAAAAATCAATTATATTTAACTGTAATTAACCCCTTTCACTCCCAAGAGTGCTAGGTCAAAATTTGAGAAGAAATCTTTGAATTTCAATGTGCAGAATCAACAAAAACAAAGAGTAAAACATAAAAGTGCTGCTTGACAGCTTACATTTGATGTTCACACATAAGAGTTTTATCCAAATAAGTTACAACCACATAAAATCAAGTCAAAGCCTGTCTCTGGGAGTGAAAGGGTTAAATACCATTTGTATCATCATCCAAAATTAAATGATTCATTTAAAGACTATAATTAGACCGATAGTATTTATTGCAATGAATATAATTTAAGATATTGTATTTTACGGAAAAGAATCAGCAGATTTTATTCACAGTTTTTGTCTAACCAAATTTAATGATTGATTAGGACTATTTTACTTGAATAGCTGCAATTGAGGATTAAATCATATGAAGTTTTCAAGAAAAGAAAAATATATCAAATTCCGTCGTAATATTACTACACGTTGATGTTATGCAATCAAAAATATTTTACACGTAAACCTTAATTAAGCTTGTAAATAAATTTCATTGAATACTTGAATTTTAGCTGGGATTTTTCAATTTTTAGTATTTATTTCATATTAGTAGCCTCAATTTTTTGCCTAAAGTTCCCAGTAATTCTCAAACATTCCTAGAAATTTGGCCGAGATGAATGTGAGGAGGCCCCTACTAAATGAATTCTCGACTTGGATGTTAATCCAGAGAGAGTAGTACATCCACTTACATTTCAAACGCAACATGGCTTGTCTTCAGGGGAAGAAGAAACCTCTATCGACGAAGAAGATTAGGAAAACCAGTCTCAAGTAGAAACTTAGACCCGCTCAGTCGCTCACGTCGTGGAAATGCTAGTGGTGCTCAAACGATAACTTTCAATAAAAATATACTTGGTCACCGATTCAATTTGAAAGGTGAAGGCCGTTTTTCCTCGGAAAAACCCCAGCTCTAGACTGATAGTTATTTACGGAAGAAGACCGTAGTGCCCACGACGGATTCATTCAGTCATTGCTAACTGAACGAAACGAATTATTGTTACAGTTCAGGAACTACGCTTCGATGTATTACTAGGCTCGAGTCATTTGGACTTAAGAAAAGCCCTGGTTGGCAGGCAACAATGAAGAAATAATCGACTTGAAGTTCATCCTTCGTATACGTAAACACCGATCGACAAAATTGATGAGAAACACTTACCTTAAATCGGAGTGTGCAGCCTTGACTTCGTCTTTTGACATGGATAACAGTGATGGTAAAGCAAGCTTAAAACGGCAGAAATCGTCAGAAACTACGACGGATACACAGGGCATGAGTAAGTTTTATTGATTTTACATGTAAAATATTCATATTTCGAAATATTTATCGTTGTAAATCGACCATATTTCGTTCCCCATACTATTCCTTATAACTTGTTCAAATTTTCAACGGTTCCTCCCGTAACTTAACACCGAGTCACACAACGCGTGACGCGTTCATGAATTCATCGTTGGCTTTTTCTCGAGACGTGAGGTAACAAGCGTTGCATTGTGGAAGTAAGGTGAGGTATTTTTATTGAGAATTTGACTGAATTTTTTTATTCCTAAGAGCAGTCTTAAATATTCCCATACAAACTCTTACAATTTCGTTATGACTCTTATTTCGCAAGATGATCATCTCACAGCTGGAGCTTGGCCGCCTGTGAAAAGACAGAAGTTTTTAGCTTTAAGTTGCAAGTGGTGTTGAAATCTTTTGGGTTAAATCCCCCTCCTCCAAAAAGGTGAAACGGAGGTGATAGGTTGTTTACCATTTTGCTCGTTAGAATGAAAATAAATTACCAACTCTAGCCAATCAAAATTAACGAAAGAATCGACAAAAAGGGCTAACCAATCAAAAGGCGATGAGCAATGTTCAGACTACTGTACATATTTTCTGGCAAAAGAGTGACGTCACGAAACACGATTGCTGTCAGGCTTGCGTAGACGTTCCCTCGCTTCCGTTTCACCTTGAGGGGAAGGGTACGGCTACATGTAGGCTTTAAACTGTTTGAAATGTTGCGACTGGTGTGAAGCAGAGCTTTCTTATACGCCAAAGAATCTCCTTTGTCGAAAAAATGCTTACATTAGAATTCACCGCCTTATAAATCAAACTTAAATCGTGCATTGAATTTTTTGTGAAAGCATCAGTACCGGATATTGGCGTCAAGTACTTGATTGGAAGACATAAATTGTTGTGGTATAATTTTTATCGTGTCCAATCAAATATGGGAGCCTGCTTAGCGAAGGATAATTTGTGTTTGCATGTTGCTACCGCGTTTCCTTGGTAATTTGCTGACTATGTCTTTAATGGCGATTGGTTTTTTTCCAAGGAGTTTGCGATCGGTGAGATAGACAGTTTACTTGGTGGACTCAGCACAGATTTAGGAAAGACAAGATATGTTTATACAATGCTTGGGAAAAGCGTACCATATTGAAAATCGGCTACAATCACGGGTCGCGACTTGGAGTTTACCACACGAGGTCTATCACCATTTCGAGCTTTAATTTATTCCATTTCAATAAAAGTTTCTTTTGAAAAAATAAAGAATAATTAAAGTGAAATTTGTATTGAATATAAAAAACCCTAACATAGCTTTCAGTTTGAAGCGAAGGTTAACAAGGACAACTTGAAGTCTTTGTTTTGGTAGTTCTTTGGGTTTGCAGGGGTTGGCAAGCCGTCCTCGCGCGTTATTTTTGTTAGCCATATTTTCTTTAATATTTTACTTTCCAGTAGCTTGTTGAAGCTTACTCCTTTTTTCTGTTTTATTTAAATATGTGATTTAAGATTCAACCATAACACAGATCCCCAGTTCAACTATTCGAAATACTTGTCACAAAGGTCAAACAGGTCAACAACGACGAGGGGTCGAACAAAGTTTGACCATTGCTTCGTCATGGCGAAGTCATATCCAAGACGGCGTGCTTCTAGCCGCGAAAGTTGTAAATGATGGCAACTTCACAGCGCCCTTGTGGCAATTACAAGGTAAACTGTTCAAAAAGACGTCTTTTCGAACTTCTGAGGAAAATCCCTTTCAATTGAGACAAATTTTCTCTAGACCGTACTTTCCCTTTAAGAGCGTGAGACAGTATGGTAAATCTTATGGTAAATCTATGCTAGTTTGCAGTTTCTATAGTTAAGATCACGATATGTAAACGCCCCATGACGGAGTTATTCAGCTTACCTTATGAATGAAAGTCGTTGTGCATTTCTTTCATGAAATTTTTTATTCAGTTTTCTCGACGAATATAATCACACTTAAACACACGTGATTAGATGAAGCTCTTTATACGTACAGTAACATTAATCATAGCGAATTCAATAAAAGGCTGAGGAAACCAATAAACGGGTGAGCAATGCCTTTGCTGTTTCATTTCCACTTTAAAAGTTTCATTCTTTTTTATTTCAGCCTTAACGTAATCAGGCGGATCACGTTGGTTTAAACGGATTTCGGCCTCAATTAACGTTTTGACCGTATCTGCGCTAAATTGGAATCTGCGGGATACTATGAGGAACGCTGCTTTCACTTTATTACTGTTTGCGTGTGGTGTTGCTAATGCTACTGAAGACCAAGACACCATTGGTAAGCACATTCATCATGAAGTATTTACTCATGCTTTGAAATCACCTTGGTAAAGTAGAAACCGAAGGCAATCAAAATGTATCTTTCTTGCGGGGATTCCGCTGCGACAGACTCAATACCTTCCTTTGCAAGAAGGTCAGGTTTGTATATATTTGGCAAGAAAAGCGAACAGGGTAGACGGATGGAAGGAGAAAAAAATTTGAAAAGGATATGAGTCGATCATCATGGCGTGATACTCTAAAAACCAGCTTCCCTCAGCTTCCAACAGTCCTGTTCCTTAAACAACGTACGAAATTTAGACTTCAACCTCACTGAATATTTTCCACTATCTCTGTGCTAAATTGGAATCTACGGGATATTTTCGTTTCGTTAGGTTTTGCCAGCGCCGTGTTACTTCTGTTTAAGAGTTTTGCTTAGAGTTGTGGCTACGCCACAAATTGTAGGTTCATTTCTATTTCATGTAGCTTTGTCGTTATTCTTGATGTTGTTATATTTGTACTTAGATATTCGTATTATTATTTATTTTCAGTCGAATCACATTTACACATCTACACATCTTTGAATCTAGCTGTTAGTCTCTCTTGGAGTTAGATTAAACGTGCATTAATGTTGTGGCGTAAAACATGTAGTACTTAGCTTCATATACGATTTAATAGATAACCCCTAAGTATTTGTATTCGTGGTTATAATGCAGAAACAGAGTTCAAGTTCGCCTTTGTTTCATTAAACATGGGATTGAAGGGAAGGGAAGGTGGATGCTACCCCTAAGGTGTTTTTTGACTTATGTAGTGGTCTGATCTTGGAAATTCACAGTCTCGTTCACCCAATCCATACTGCACCGAGGCAGATGTAAAACTTTCGTCTGTGTTCAAGGGTTTTATTCAGTTCTCCTTCTGTGTAGCTCCTTCTAATTCTTGAATGATGTATACAATTTAAAGATAAGTAATAGATCATTTTCCCTTGTTTGTCTTCTTTCTCTTTTATCAAACGGCTTCCCATAAACATTAGTTATGGTCTGCTCCAAGTATTATTTCCACGAGGAAAAACTTGACTGGAGGAGAGCCAGGGGAAAATGTAGCGATCAAGAGAATAGTTCACTAGTCTCTATGGAAACTGAAAAAGAATGGCACTTTGTCAAGAACTTAACCTTAAAACACAAGCGAAGAAAGAGGCGTTGGTTCATTGGCTTGAAAAGACTTGATGGATATCATACGTGGTGCTGGTTGAGTGAAAGCATCGCCTGCGTAAATGTGACGTCATCTGAAACATGGCGTTGGAATAAAGGAGAACCAAACAATCTTGAAAAAGAAAAATGCGCAGAGATGTTGCAAAACGGAAAGTATAACAACATAGCGTGCCAAGCAAGAAACTATTATGATGGTCCAGGATATATATGTGAAAAGCAAGTCAGTAAGTTCATGATCATGCCGAATCTATGTTTACCCAGTTAAAAATTACAGTAAGAAAAAAAAGTTGTGAACGAACTTTGATTTTGAAGCGAGTAACTCGTACTCGTATTTTCCTCTTAGATTGTTCCACTGTATCCAACAATTCAGAAAATGATGATATTTTCATTAAGAGAATCAAAAGACCTCGATCAACCCCCCCAACCTTATTTTCTTCCTAGATTGTTCCACTGTATCCAACAATTCAGAAGATGATGATATTTTCATTAAGAGAATCAAAAGACCTCGATCAACCCCCCCCCCCAACCTTGGGGAAAAAGACAGCGTTCACCTCAATTAGAACCCAATTGACGATTACTCAGAAAAAGCTGCTTTCAGAAGGTAAGATCTACTTCGACGGAAATTGACATCTAATATGACCCAACTCTATTGCGCAGTTCTTGTTGGATGTCGCACTTCCAAACTCCCCTCCCGTCCCTGCCCACCTTAATAAAGGGAAAGACTAAATGTATATTACATATCACCAGAGGGGTATGAGAGAGGAGAAACTACTCTGTTCTTTTTGGCAAATACTCTAGCCCTCCCTCGTATTTGGCAATAGCTGTGACCCTAATCATGATATGTCGTATAGAGATTCCACAGTCCTTCAAAAAGTCTAAATCAGCAGTTTGTCAAAGGCAACTTTGATGGAGATATTAAAACAAAATCAGTTGCTGGGTAGTCAGGTAATCCAAAGACACCAAAACCGAAAAAATACAGAGTGACATTTTTGTGAAAGCGATATCGCTTTGTTTGCCTTTTCCTGCTTCGCTCTCCTCGGCCTCGTTCGTATCAGCATCAGTTAATTAATTAACAATCTTTGGAATGATAAAATTTAATTCGTTATAAGAAACTTTGAAAATGGGATTTGATTTTTTCTTCTCTCTCTCTCTTTGGCAAAGAATTCAACTTGTTACCTTGTAGCAGATTCGCCATCAAAAACAAAAATTTAAAAAATAAAAAAAATAATAGTAACAATTTGATAACAGTAACAAAGATAATAATAGCAACAGTAATAAAAATAGCAATAACAATAATGATAATAACATAAAAAATGGGGAAAAAGCAAACCAAGGCATTTCTTTAATGGTAATATAGCTATACAAATTCGTAATTTATTATCATTAAGTATGTTTTCAAAATGAAATGTTGCAAGCGTAATAATACATTACATACCAGTAAAGTTCCATAGTACAGCGAATGCTTTGCCCAAAGTAATAAAAGAAATAAAAAGAAAAAAAAAACAGCTTCTTCATAACACTATAATCACTGACAGAGAAAAAAGTAGAGCAAGGCGAGGCAACTGTATCTGCACACGCGCGTATGTTTGAGAGCATAGATTGCGTGACGGGTGAAGGAGCTCGCCTCCTAGTGCGACTACGAGGCTTTTTTTTCCGGATTGAAAAAAAAGAAGGCTTTGAGTCGATTGTTATTTTACTTATTCTGTATTACGTAGGTAGTGGTAATTATTCGATAGGACTTTGCTTCGAGGTTTTTTTCGCACTGTCTTGGAAAACGCCATAACAAAGATGAATAAATTAGCATTTTGTTTTCATTTAATCAACCAATACAACAGCCCCTCTATCTACAGGACGTTAGTACGTTCCCGTATGGTGCGTCCTTACAGGATCCATACCAAGAGAACGATTTAGTCTGTGTAAAAAATTTTAAATAAATAGATGACTGAAATAACGTAAGTGTTTGGAACTTTGTTTATCAAATTTACATGCGAATCGTGGTAATTACTCATCCGTACAGAAAGATTCCCTTGATGGGTTCCGGTCCTCGTGTTTACATTCCATCGATATGATTTTGGTTAAGTGACTGAGTAAATACTTTCAAACAAGAAATCAAAATACAAAGATATAAATTTGAATGATCAAACTGTTTTAGCAGGGCGATTAGAAGATCGCTTCAAAAATGAATGCGAAACTAACCTTTGTTAATATCTATCGAGCTATCTGGAAAACCACAAGCAATATGCACCTAAGTTCATACATAAATAATAGAGAGACAAAAGAATCTTGCGTTGATTTTTTTTCCTTAATTGTGGCGTTCGGTTTTCTAGACAGTGCCTGACCCTGACGACCTCAATCCGTCGACAAAGGTTTTCGAGAACATTCCTAAAATATCTAACGCAATACACCCTGCTTGTTCGATAGAAACCAGAACACTGCCTCTCGTCTAAAGCTAAAAGAGAAGCTGACAGTAGGAATTTGCGTTGTTTTATCATTCAAAATTTCTCTTTTTCATATTCCCATTTTCTGTTGAATTCAATTTGCTTTTAATTTATTTTAAAGTTTCTCTGAGACGGGATCTCTTGTCAAACTTCCGTTGATTCCTCCCACGTCACACGTTGAGTGACCAGAAATATCTTAATTGGTCGTCCAAGTGTAACTTTCACTTTCGTGCTGTTTCAAACTTTCTCATCCAAAACGTAAGCCTAGGACGATGACTTTCGCGAGGATACATGTATGGTTCGTGCTTGTAATTGGTTTGTTGCTGCCGAGAACTGGTAAGTGAAATGTAATTGAAAATAATAATAATGTACATACGTGATTGATACTTAAAGATCAAATCTAATATCTTACGCATCCAACGCTTTAAATTGCGAAATTTACCACCAAACGACTTGCTCGCATAAAAAATGATTGGTGAATTATGTTTTGATTGTTTTTAAAGAAGAATTATCTCGCAGTTTACCTAAACACACTTCACGCTACACAACAATTATCGTTTGATTAAAAAGGAAGAAGCGGCCTCCATTATGGTAGTAGATCCATACATTTTGATCCGTTGTAACGTGTTTGCTTTAAGTTCGACTTTCTCGAGTTTGGAAAGTACATCGCCACAGCTTGCTTTATTGTTTTGAAAATGTCGTGCAACGATCCTTGTCAAAGATGGCGTGACTTATTTGCCATCGATCTAATGTGACATAAAAATTTAATCTATTTCAAATGCGAATTTTTACAATGAAAATGACTTACATACGCAGATGTTATTGACATACTGCATTTTGACTGTTAGGAAAGAAGACTTTTCACGCAGTTTGCCTTAACACAGTGCAAGCTGTACAACGATTGTCGATTGGAATGAAAAGGAAACACATGCATTTTTGATCAAATCCAACGTGTCATCCAGCAAACTCGACCAGCTTTCATTTAGTTGTCCCTATGAAGCGGGCGCCAAGAAAATCTGGATCGGACCGGATCGGAAGGGATTGGATCACATATCATGGATCGGATCATGTTAAATAAAATTAGAAATTGTGCGTGACAAGCCAAAATAAAGTCTGCGCGACATAATCAAAGGCAGGCCCCACTGGAACTCCCAGCTTCATTATGTCACGCAGACTTTATTTTGACCTGTGGTGCAAAATTTATAATTGCAATTAACCGAGTCGATCGGTGACCTGGTCCGTAATCCGATCCGGTCCGTGATCAGGCCCGTGATCCGATCCGGTCCGATCCAGATTTTGTCGAAGCCGCTTTGAAGCTAAATGTCTCGTGCTCCTCACGACAGCTTGGTTAACATGGGTTAAGAATATTGAGTGATGATTGCTCATATTCCTGGCTTGACAAAATGACGTCATGCAGAAAGCAGCGTGTGACGTAAGAGTGGGATGATACCATTTCAAGCGTGACGCGCGAAGGTTTAATGGATAAATTCGCAGTTTTGTTTTTTATCATAATTATCTTTGCGATGCTACTCTTTTTGACGAATTAGAAAGATTTGAGGGAGTATTGAATAGTACTGTACCTTTAATTGTGATCGCCCACTTTGCAAGCGGACGTCTATTTGATGTGGTTGTCCCGTACCTAGACTCTCCAAGGCCATGTGTAAAACCCTTCTTTCAGTTATACGGTAAGGTTTGGGTATGAGATGCTGGCGTGCGTATGGTGTAAGGTTATGCTATCGTCGCGATTCTTCTGCTTTTCCCTCTAAATCTTACTGACCGAGTTCTTCTTCAGACTAATGGTCCTTTTCGAATCAGTAAGTCTTGCTTAAGACTACAGATGATTAACGAACGAAAAATAAATAACAACATGGACAAATGACTACTTAATTACCTTATTGATCAATGCGTGAATAATAATGGTGATCACCCCCTAACAAGTCATGTGTACGGTTATAATGCTTGGCTTCAGAAAGTTCAATTTGTAATCCATTCTCACACACTCCCCTCCCTCCCCCTCCTGTTGTTGATTAATGATAGAACTTGAAACAACATATCTACAATTTGTTTTCTTTTTGCTTTTATGTAGATGGAGAGAGGCTTTGTTCGTGTTATAGCTTTAATAACAAGTCAAGTGGTTACGCGTGGCCACAAGCAAATGCTAATTGTAAATTCCATAAAAAACACCTCGTGGTGATGGAAGAAGAGCAAGAATGGGAATTTATCAAAAATGCGATTCAAAACCGAGAAGGTAGTAAATATGGTGAATGGATTATCGGTTTGGAGATGAATATAACAACAAGAAATTGGACTTGGGTCAATGGCAAACCTCTGACAATTAACAAATGGGAAAAGTCAAGTCCTGATCCAAATGACTTTTACGGGCTGATTCATGAGGAATTTCCACCTGGATTTACAGGGTCTTTTAGCACCGTTAAAGGAGACGTACAAAGAGGATGGATTTGCGAGAAAGAATCAGGTATTGATCAGGACCAGATAAAAGAAACGATTTTAGCTTTATCAAAAATTATTATCATGCATGAATCTGAATGAGCTACGGGCTGCTTTCCCCTCCCATTCTCACCCCTTATCTTTCCCTTTCCCACCCCTCATCTTTCCTTTCCCACCCCTTATCTTTCCCTTTCCCACCCCTTATCTTTCCTTTCCCACCCCTTATCTTTCCCTTTCCCACCCCTTATCTTTCCTTTCCCACCCCTTATCTTTCCCTTTCCCACCCCTTATCTTTCCTTTCCCACCCCTTATCTTTCCCTTTCCCACCCCTTATCTTTCCTTTCCCACCCCTTATCTTTCCTTTCCCACCCCTTATCTTTCCCTTTCCCACCCCTTATCTTTCCATTCCCACCCCTTATCTTTCCCTTTCCCACCCCTTATCTTTCCCTTTCCCACCCCTTATCTTTCCCTTTCCCACCCCTTATCTTTCCTTTCCCACCCCTTATCTTTCCCTTTCCCACCCCTTATTTTTCCCTTTCCCACCCCTTATCTTTCCCTTTCCCACCCCTTATCTTTCCCTTTCCCACCCCTTATCTTTCCTTTCCCACCCCTTATCTTTCCTTTCTCACCCCCTATCTTTCCATTTCCCACCCCTTATCTTCCCCTTTCCCGCCCCTTATCTTTACCTTTCCCACCCCTTATCTTTCCCTTTCCCACCCCTTATCTTTCCTTTCCCACCCCTTATCTTTCCTTTCCCACCCCTTATCTTTCCCTTTCCCACCCCTTTTCTTTCCTTTCCCACCCCTTATCTTTCCTTTCCCACCCCTTATCTTTCCTTTCCCATACCTTATCTTTCCTTTCCCACCCCTTATCTTTCCTTTCCCACCCCTTATCTTTCCTTTCCCACCACCTTCTCTTTCCTTTCCCACCCCTTATCTTTCCCTTTCCCACCCATTATCTTTCCTTTCCCACCCCTTATCTTTCCTTTCCCACCCCTTATCTTTCCCTTTCCCACCCCTTATCTTTCCTTTCCCATACCTTTTCGTTCCATTCGCACGCCTTTTCTTTCCATTTCGCTCCCCTTATCTTTCCTTTCCCATACCTTATCTTTCCATTCCCACCCCTTATCTTTCCTTTCCCACCCCTTATCTTTCCTTTCCCACCCCTTATCTTTCCTTTCCCATACCTTATCTTTCCATTCCCACCCCTTATCTTTCCCTTTCCCACCCCTTATCTTTCCCTTTCCCACCCCTTATCTTTCCCTTTCCCACCCCTTATCTTTCCCTTTCCCACCCCTTATCTTTCCCTTTCCCACCCCTTATCTTTCCCTTTCCCATTCCCACCCCTTATCTTTCCTTTCTCACCCCTTATCTTTCCCTTTCCCACCCTTTATCTTTCCCTTTCCCACCCCTTATCTTTCCTTTCCCACCCCTTATCTTTCCTTTCCCGACCCCTTATCTTTCCTTTCCCACCCCTTATCTTTCCTTTCCCACCCCTTATCTTTCCTTTCCCGACCCCTTATCTTTCCTTTCCCACCCCTTATCTTTCCTTTCCCACCCCTTATCTTTCCCTTTCCCACCCCTTATATTTCCCTTTCCCCCACCCTTTTTTTTCCCTTTCCCATCCCTTATCTTTCTCTTTCCCACCCCTTATCATTACCTTTCCCATCCCTTATCTTTGCCTTTCCCACCCCTTATCTTTCCCTTTCCCACCCCTTATCTTTCCTTTTCCCACCCCTTATCTTTCCCTTTCCCACCCCTTATCTTTCCTTTCCCATACCTTATCTTTCCATTCCCACCCCTTATCTTTCCCTTTCCCACCCCTTATCTTTCCTTTCCCATACCTTATCTTTCCATTCCCACCCCTTATCTTTCCTTTCCCACCCCTTATCTTTCCTTTCCCACCCCTTATCTTTCCTTTCCCATACCTTATCTTTCCATTCCCACCCCTTATCTTTCCTTTTCCCACCCCTTATCTTTCCCTTTCCCACCCCTTATCCTTCCCTTTCCCTTTCCCACCCCTTATCTTTCCCTTTCCCACCCTTTATCTTTCCCTTTCCCACCCCTTATCTTTCCTTTCCCACCCCTTATCTTTCCTTTCCCGACCCCTTATCTTTCCTTTCCCACCCCTTATCTTCCCTTTCCCGACCCCTTATCTTTCCTTTTCCCACCCCTTATCTTTCCTTTTCCCACCCCTTATCTTTCCTTTTCCCACCCCTTATCTTTCCCTTTCCCACCCCTTATCTTTCCTTTTCCCGCCTTACCTTTTCCGGAACCCGCCCATTGCGACCACCTCATACTGAAGGCTTATCATCTTCAGGGGAACAGTTCCAGTAATACCAGCCCCTTTAAAAAAGTTTTATAGATAAATTATAAGAGAACCCTCTTAGAAATGAATCGATTCATGGTTATGGGCAAGCTCACTTGTTTGCAATGCCACCCCACAAATGTCTAGCTAGTGACAGTGTCAATTGTCATGTTCCTTTAACAGACAGTTGTCAAGGAGACTGTTTCGTACATCCTGTTCCGCAAAGCACTAGTCCTCCTGGAACAAAAGCTTTTACTACAAAAGTCAGGACGTCAACAGAACAGGATATCACTGATGTATCAGGTTAATTTAAGGATATGTAAAAGGGCAACTTTCATGAAGTAATCGAAGTTTGTATGTTTCGTTTTGAAATTTTGAAAACAAATCGAAACGGTCTCTATTTGTCTCTCTTTTTTTATTGTTGGCTCGTCTTTTTTTCTGTTTTTTTATTTATCAGAGGAAAAAAGATTTGACCTCCCAGCGGTTTTCCTTATTTGTATGTTTTGTTTTTGTTTCTTAGGCTAAAATCAATATTAAAAGCCAGGATCACTATCTAGGTTTAACTATCATGATTCATGTGCATGTGAACAAAACTTTTAATACATTGATTTAAAATCTAGGGTCTTTAACAATTGTCTCCATCCTTACCACGGCGAAATCAACAGACAGAGCGAAATCAACAGACACCCCTACCACAGCGGATGACAAGAGCAGTTCTTCTCCCACAGTAATGATAGTAGGCGCATCTTTAGGAGCAGTGCTCTTCGTAGCGTTGATCATTTTCATCATAGTCATTTTATTAAGACGAAAGAAACGTCAGGGAAAAGGTAAAGAGTCTCTAGATGTTGTAAAGATGAAACTATTATTATTCCCCAAATGAAAATAGTTTCTAATGATATAATGGTTCAGATATCATTCATGCGGCGAAGCCTTTAACTGACCTTCTGTCTCTCAAAGACTATTATTTTGACTGCGAAAATAGAACTGGAGACTAACCACACAGTATAACGAAAGATCAAACAAGCCCTTTTTGTTTGTTTGTTTTCATGTTTGTTTTGTTGTTGTTGTTTTCTTTTCTCAGGAAAATGTTATTGTTCCTTGATTTCCAGATATTTATTGTATTTATTTTTGATTACATACCTGGCTTACATATGAAACTTAATATTGTTTCATATTGCCTTTACCTTCTCAGCCGTTCTTTCCTTTGTCGACGTCGTGCTTATAAGCAATGTTGAATAAAAACCAGCTTTGAATACGTAATAACTAGTTTGGCAGATGTTGAAAAAGTGGTTTCCAAATGATTATAGGTAAAAATAACACCAGTCTACACTTATGCGTCCACAATTTCAGAAAAGTCTTCGTTGTTACGTTGTTGTTGTAGCCACTGTTACTCTCCGCTTAGAAAAAACAACCGTTTATCTTTTTATTTTTAAATATCATTATCATTATTTGTTAACAAAGGAGATGGTTCCTGTGGTAAATGGTTTGTTTGTCTGTTTTTTTGTTTGTTTTTCTAAGATACAGAGAGCGTACTGCCTAAAGAGTCTTCGCCGAATATGTCAGCGCCGAAGAAGTCAGTATTTATCTTTGCTTTGTTTCTATGTTTATTTGCTTATTTAATTGTTCGAATTCGTTTGTTTATATTTTTGGGGGGTACGTTTTGAGTTTCTTACAACAGATCATTACCAAATGATAACACCAACCAGTACTTATTGAATTTGTATAGGGTAAGGTAAGTTCAGCATACTATTGCTGGAAATCCTGTCCTCTTAGCATAGCATGGAGCAATTACGAGTATTGATACTTCTCCCTTCCCTAAAGATAATCCAGTCCATAGCAGGATTACTTCTTCCCCTCCCCCCTCCTTACATTCCGTCATGTGCCTTTGTGTCCCTGTCAAACGTGGTCTCTGTGTACCAATCAATACTCCTGGATGGAGAGGGACACATCAAGGAACGTGTCTCAAACCCCTGCTAAGGACACACGTGTCTAGAATGTTTGAGACTGAAATGAATCCTCTTCCCACGCACTGCGATGATTTCAGAGCGGGGATGGCGGAGTGGTGAGAACGCTAATCTCCCACCGCTATGGCCCGGGTTCGATTCCTGGATCTGGTGATACGTGTCGGTTGCGGTTGTTGTTGGTTCTCGTCCTTGCTTCGTGGGTTTCCCTACAGAACCTCCCGTTTTGCTCTCCCGCAAAACCAACATTCTCATTTTTTTTACCTAAGCAGCGAGAACGACCAATTAGGAGAAAGCCAATATGAATCTGTGAATCAAGTTGAAGCCGCAAAGCTTCTTGGGTCACCGAACAGCAAGAATAATACTAGGCTTCAACCACCACCAGAAAATTGTGAATATGCTGTTGTCAACAAGGCAAACAAGAAGGTGAGCATTTAGCGTTAGAAGTATGGATGTAATTGAGATTCAGTGTAATTTCAAATTTTTGCTAGGACGATGGACTCTAATAAATATAGCATGTGCAGCAGATGAATGCACAGATTCTTGAACGTCTACAAGCAGATAGAATTGTGCGCATGACTAAACCTGAAGAGAGGCAGATTATGGAAAACATTGTTGACTACGTAGGGCATCTAGATATTGATGTTCGCTAGAGCGAGGCTCTTTGCGCTGAGAAGTTTGTTATATGTGGCATCAGACCAAAAAGAAAAAAAAAAAGAGATTCCATGACATAAACTTGTCGCAAGTATCACCATTAAAGGGCATTTTGATCTATGAAATTTTTTTTTTCTGTGTTGATTCAAGCGAAAGGAAGGAGACCTTGTGTACGCTAAACTCGCTGAATTTGACCATGAAACTGATGCCACCAAACCACCAAAACCACCCAGCTATGAGCCTACGGTATATGCTGATGTTGAAGTACCAGACTCCTTACAGCCAACGTATGCAAATCTTGAAACGACTGGTGTCTGAATGAAATAAATATACGCAATTTATCAGCCGAGAGGTCCGTATTGGGGAAAACTGTGCCCAAGTTCTTGGACACTGCAAGAAGCCGTACGCAAGATCCTCCGGGAAGTGCTGAAGAAAAATATATATTAAACCTGGCCACTTGTGACAAAGGTCGGTTACCTAAAAAATGACTGCTTTCCCCCACTATCTGGTAATTACCAATATAGCAGGATTGTGATTTTAATATTGATAATCCGTGATACTTGCTGGGGTTTTGATACTGAGACAGAAAAACCACAAATATGGAATTGGGTCCTATTGGCTTTCTTTTTAAAATCCAACAGTTATTTTAGCCTTCTCTATTATAAGGGTGATTTACGGGCGCACTTGACTGAAACATTATCATAAGAGACGTGTAAACTCCAACAAACAAGGTAACAAAATATTAAATTAAATAAGCGACGAACGAACAAATTAAACCCCAATAAGTTTTAGGTGTCTTGGATTTCAACAATATACTGCCTTATAGCACCGACTTGTTCTGGAAATTTTAAAATCCCATTTAAAAGGTCGTCAAAATAATTACGCCTCGATCGCCTAATCGGGCTAAAATGATCAATTAAGAAGAAGTCACATCATTAAGTAAGCTGCACCACTAGAGAATTTGTTCATGTTTAGCGCGCTGCTATGTATATGTTACATATTCTCCAGCCGGTTTTTTTCGTGCAATTTATGGTACAAATGTCCATATTGAACAGACTTGCGAAGACTCAACGAGAGTGCATGAATATTTTGTAGGAGTAGCCTATAGAGTAGGCGTAATTTTGGCGAGCGAGTGCTCAATATCATTCTTAACGGAAATTATGGCCGCCATCTTTGATTTTAATGGCAGCGGGAGCCTGGGTAAAGAAATAAATTTTTACAAAGGGGGCGGTCGACGGTCAACAATAAGGAGAGGGGTAGGGGTGGAGAAGTGCCCCTACCCCTGCCGTCTACTCCAACTCCAAATCAAATATGGCTGGTCGGATAAATGATCGCGAGCATATGACGTTAACTCGCACTAATAAGACGCCTGCACTGCAGGTTATTGTAGAAGTGAAAAGTTCAGGCACCGTTTAACATCATACAAGCTGTTTGATAAAATTTAAATAAATCCAACCGGATTTTCATTACTCCTGACTGACATGCAACTTAAGAAACTTTTCTCGTGTTATCCCTTTATCCCGCGTGGTTTATTACACTGGTAAACCGACAGTGTAGTTTATTCCTTAGATAGTGCGTTGAGTATTAAAACGCGCTTGTATCTGCGTTGTTGCTTTTTATCTCTTTTCTTTTTTGTAATGGCGAGGAAATAAAGGAAAAACAAAAACAAAATCCCGTTTTCGTCGCGAAACTTTTCCCTGAATCCAAATGGGCTGCGAAACAATTTTAAGTTGAAAAGGGAAGCACAAAACCTAAGATTTATTTTCTGGGTATTATTTCTATTTTCCTGATTAGGTTCAATAGCAACTGTGCTTTTGATAAGCCAAAATAATAGTTTGCAATAAAAAGTGCAGAACTGTCCGTTATTGTTACCACTATATTCTCCCCCTTCCCCTCACTTCTAGCGGCGTTATTTGCATATGTATCCCATAATATTAATATTCGTAGGCGACATAACAGGCTATCTATTTAGGGTAAAAACTATTCAAAATATCGCAACGTAACGAACTCGCTAATGGCCTGGGTAGAGGTTCTCTCGTGTCCAACCACCCCTTCCCCCCTCCCCCCTAACTTCTCATTATATACTTCCCTATCAACGCAAAACAACGGATGTAATTGCACAAGACACACTCTGTAGTAATTCTGTCTTAAAACCTTTCATATATTATAGAACAGATTTCCTTCACTGTGTTTGAAACTCATCTAAGTTACTTCTAAAGGAAACAAAGAAGTTGAACTACGAAAGACACAACTGATAAAACTGCCATGCTACGAATACTTAATAAAGTCAATTTAGTCAGACCCTGTGATAAAACCTGAATGGAGCTTGTTCATTGATAAAGCTTTCTAACTAATCACATCACCTGGCTTAAAAAGGTCATTGGAAAATGAAATTTAGTATGACGTTCTTCGGTTTCAACATTACGGGAAGTTCAAATATCTCATTTTATTCCCGTAGAGTTGTGACTGAAAAAGAGGAACAATGTTAATTTTGAAAGAAAACACGTTTTTGGCAAATTTAAGATGGCTGTGAAGTCATTTTAATTCGTGCAGGATTTATAAGTTTGTGTTCGGTAAAACTAATGAAAAAAAGAAAGAATGAATTGATAAATGCTTGAGATGAAATAGGTATTTCTGACCTTATCTAACTTATACAGTACCGGTAATCAAGCATGCAGAAAGACTTCCTTGAAGGGTTCCAGCACCGTGTATTTCTTATAAAAAGTGATTTAGAAAATACATACAAATTGTGGCATCAAAATTAAAGATATTGATTTGAATGATCAAATAGTTTTATCCACACGATTACCTTATCGGTTTAGAATCCATCCGAAACCAACTGCAGCTAAAATATATCACGCTATCTAAAAGGCCACAGACCATATGCACATAAGTTCATACTTGAATAATAGAGAGAGGGAGGAAGAAGGATGGAGGAAAAATAATCTTAAGATGATTTTTTTATTTTCCTTTTTTGGTGGCGTAAAGTTTCTTAGACAATGCCTGACCCTGACGACCTCAATCCCGCCGGCAAAGCATTTCGAGAACATTCCAGAAATATCCAACACAATACACCCCTGGTTTACTTGAATTTAAAAATCCTTTAATAATCTAAGGCTAAAGAGAAAAGCTAACATTAATCCTTTTTTTTTCTCATTCTAAATTTTTTGATTAGCATTTTCCTTGAAGCGTGGTCTCTTGCCAAACTTCCGCTGTTTCCTCCCAAGTCACACCTTGACTGACCGGAAATTACGTCGAAATCTTAATTAGTCGTTCAAGCGTAACTTTCTCTTTCGTGGCGTAATAAACATCCTCATCCAAAGCTTTGAACGATGGATTTAGTGAAGGTGTATATATTGATACTTCTCGGAGTTGATTTGTTACTGTCGAGAACAGGTAAATGAGAGAGGAATATTTGATAATTCTAAAGTTCATGAAGTGCAAGTACTTAATCGAATGTCGAGTTTAATTATTTGGTTACTCGAGATCGTGGCGTTTTAGATTTATTATGAACGTCAGACTGACCCAGCACTTTACTTTCGAGTTGAATCAATAGAAAATGAATTATTGAGTAAAACATATCAGGATAGAATATGTTTGTTTGATTTCGACAAAGGTTTTTTAGGACTTGCAAGCCGAGCGACGGACGAGGATGAAATAATTTGCAACGAGAAGGAAGTGGCAGTTTGCGTGTTTAACCATTGATGATCAAATTTATGTATACTGTATAATGTTGGTTTAGTAATCATGTTAAATAACCCAACATCCTCCGCTAGCTTTCATCCAGTTGTAGCTATAAAGCTGTTTGCTTTGTATTCATCGCGACAGTACGCTGATCTTCATGCAGTTGCGAAACGATTGTAATATATAGCGTGACTAACGTGCCGATGACGTCACGGTAAACTGCACATGACATACAATGTGTAACGCAAACTAGGCGTGTTGCATGGGAAAATTAATGGATTTATACATTGTACTGACTTTTACTTTATTCATTGTTTTTAGTATATTGCACTGCTTGTTTTGTTTAAATGAAAACCATGTGAATTAAAACGATTTGAGAGAGTCTTAGATAATCTAACTTTTAGCGCCTATCTTTCTTGCGGATGTGGGTTAATTTAAAGAAGGTTGAAATATGGTCGCTATTCCTTAGATCCTTCTTCTGAGTAAGTTGAGTCCGCTTCAGAGGGGGGGATGATGATAATGATAATAAAGATTTTCTCCAAGAAAACTCAAATATAATTTTCTGCTCGTAACAGTTAACCTAGTAAACAGTCCGTTCTCTTGTAGACACCTAAAAACACACTTCACTTTCACTAATTATTAGTCTAACTTCTATGTAATTGTGTTATTCTAGATGGAGAGAGGCTATGTTCGTGTTATACCTTCAGTAAAAGACAATGGTCATGGCCAAATGCAAGGGACTCCTGTAAATCCAACAATAAAACACTCGTAGTGATGGAATCAGAGCAGGAATGGCAATTTATTACAAATGAGATTCAAAATAAAACAGGCAACCCAAGATAATGAATGGTTTATAGGCTTGGAAAAAAATTCAACAACAAAGAGATGGACTTGGATCAATGGTAAATCTGTGACTATTGACAAATGGTATAAGGAGGGCAACAATCCTGACCCAGCTGACTCTTACGGGATGATTCATAAGGAATATCCAAAGGGATCCAAAGGATCATTTAGTACCTTTAAAGGCGACGTACGAAGAGGATGGATTTGCGAGGAAGAAACAGGTATTGATCAGTACCAGCACGAGTAGAATATTTATTTAATCAAACGCTGTTGTTATACACGAGTTTGAATTTTCTATAGGCTAACCTCACCCTCCCTTCCCTGTCCTTTATCTTTCATATCCCCACCCTACTCTTTCCGAAGGTCGCCAATGGTGACCACCTTACCACTGATAGTCCATCACCATCAGGGGAACAGACTCCGTAATCCTAGCCGCATATTTACTTAAAGCCTTCTGAACTATAGGGAAGTGACATAGAAAATTTAACATTTATTCGAGGCATTGAGCTAGCTTGAGAAACAATACACTTCCTTGTTATCTGGATATCACTCGAGAAATCTATAGTGGCAGTGACAGTAGTTATGTTCTTGAACAGCTACCTGTAAAGGAATTTGTTTCGTCCACCCTGTTCTCACCAGCACAAGTCCTTCTGGAACATCAACTGAGACAAAAACTGTTACCACACAAGGTAAGACGTCAACTAAACAGGATATCACTGCTGTACTAGGCAAAATCATCGATCGATTGTTCATTTGAGGATAATTACGTAAAAGAGCAATTCCCACTGATGTATAACGAAGTTTGTTTGTTTTGTTTTAAATTATTTTTGTTTTGTTTCGATTTGCTTTTGTCTTTTTTTTTGGTTTGTTTGTTTGTTTGTTTTTTTCGTTTCGTCTGTTCGTCTGTTTTTTTAGCAAAGCAAATAGTTTTCCTCGTTTGAAGGTTTCTTTTTCGTTTGTAAGCTTGAAGGTTGACAGTCAGTAAAGTTAGGATGAGGGCGGTCTAAATTGTACAGTGTTAACAATCAGGACCACTATTTAGGATAAGTAAAAGACGGTTTAATGTCAATTATTAATGCTTTAATTCTAGGGTCTTCAACAACTGTCTCCACCCCTACTACGGCGAAATCAACAGACGAAGCGAAATCAACACACAAAGTCATCATGGATGACAGCAGCAGCTCTTCCCCCTCAGTAATAATAGTAGCCGCATCTTTAGGAGCAGTGCTTTTCGTGGCGTTGATCATTCTTATTGCAGTCATAATACTGAGGCGAAAAAAACGTCAGGGAAAAGGTAGAGAGTCTCCAAGCGTTGTAAGGATTAAACCATTATTATTATTTCACACATGAAAAACTTTGTCATGATATGATGATTTAGAACCTCTTCCTACGAGGAGGCCAATTACTGTACTTCTGCCTCTCGGTGAAAATCACTGACGCTGTCAAAATGTCATTTTTCAAATGTTATTTTCTTTTGATTGAATCCTTGGCTTATGAAGTCGAATATTGCTGCAGTACCAAAGTGACGTACATTTATATGCCTGGAATGGAAATTGATTTCTCTTACCTTATATCAAAAGTTCATAACTGGTTAATTCCTGACTCTTCTTTTCTTTGTCATCTCGGTGCTCATAAAAGATATTGAATTGAAACCAGCTTTGAATACGTAGTAAGTAGTTTAACAAATGTTGAAACAATAGGTTTCACGATGATCACAGGTAAAACACAAAAAAAGTGATGTAGGGTACACTTATATGTCCATGATATCAAAAACATTCTTTCTTTGTCGCTGTAGCCACTTATACTGTTTGCTAAGAAAAATAAATGTGGTGTGAAATAAGGTAATGTTTCCTTATTTTTTCAGATGAAGAAAGTGCTCCACCGAAGAAGTCAGCGCTGAAGAGGTCAGTATTTCTTGTTTGATTGTTTATTTGTTTTTCGTTTATTTGTTTTTGTTTTTGTTTTTTGTTTGTTTTTTTTTCGAATGTTTCGAGTTTCTTACAACACATTATTGCCAAATGATAAAGCCGGCTGGTAGTTACTGAATTATACAGGGTAAGGTAAGCTCAGCATAACAGCTTTTGCTGGAATTCCCATCCTTTCGTAGCATGGAGCAATCACGAGTATTGCTACTTTTCCCTTCCTTAAATAGAATGCCAGTCCATTGCAGGGTAACCCCTCCCCCCTTATATTTCGTCAGTTATCCTTGTTAAACGAGGTCTGTAGATACCAGTCAATACTCCTGGATGGAGAGAGCTATTGGAAGAGCTGAGTCTAAACCCTTAGCAAGGAGTTGTGTAAACATCATTAAACAAAATAACCTGCAATGGAAATGATTCTCAGAATGATACTCAAACGGTACTCATCACTGTTGTTTATAAACAAGACTACTCCACCACCCCTCCCCCCTCTCCCCTTTTTTTATTTTTTTTTTTTTTTTTTTTTTTTTTTTTTTACCTCCGAGCATAACTGAAAATGATGAAGTATAAATTAGTTCTAAATTAATCAGATATTTTTTCTGTTATTAAAGCAGTGAAAAAGACCAATTAGGAGAGAGCCAGTATGCATCTGTAAATCCAGTTGAAGCCGCAAAGCTTCTTGGGTCAGCAAACACCACCCCCGATATGAGTGAGACTAGGCGCGAACCACCACCAGAAAATTGTGAATATGCCGTTGTCAACAAGGCAAACAAGAAGGTGAGCATTTAGCTTAAAACTTTGAAACGTAATTGAGATTTCCACAAGAGCGATGGACTCTAATAAACGAGACATGTACAGCAGATGAACGAATAGATTCATGTATGTGTACAAGCGCATTGGAAAGAATTGTGCTCATGAAAAACATGATAAACATTCTCATCTAAGTAGGGAATCTAAATATTGATGTTGGTTAGATCGAGGCTCATTGCATTGAAATTCTGTTACATGTGTCGTCAGACAGAAAAAGAAAAAAAGGGGATCACCGCTATATCATACACTTGTCCGTAGCATTACCGCCTGGTTGCGCATATTTATTGATTATTCTTGTTACTTTTATTCAAGCGAAAGGAGGCAGACCTTGTGTACGCTCAACTTGCTGAATTTGACCATGAAACTGACTCTGCAAAGCCACCAAAACCACCCAGCTATGAGCCCACGGTATACGCTGATGTTGAAGAAATGCCTCCTGAGTTGCCTGGTAGAGAGGATCCAGACTGCTCACAGCCAACGTACGCGAATCTTGAAACGACTGGCGTCTGAATGGAAAAAAAATGTAATAAATTTATGTTGAGATGGTGGTGTTGGTTTGTACACATCTAGCTGTTGATGTCCAGTTTAGAATGATATATACAAATACACTTAAATAAGGTTTTCGCTACAAGGTATCAAGGAAAATACGAGATATAATGTTCTATCTTATAAATTACTAAGGATAAAGAGATCTTCTATTAACATTTTCTGGCATAAATGTGAAGGGTTTATGTTAAGAGGTTGTATGAGACAAATTTCTGTCTCTTACCTAGCTTATAGAAGTAAGGATAACTTGCAGTCTGCAACTTGCAACTTGAACGTAATGATATATTGAATTTGTCGTTAATAATTGTTTTTTCCAAAAATAGCGTCGGACACAAGTTGGCGCCGATTTACCAATGTCTTGCAATCGAGAGAAAATAGATATCTTCCTTCATTGGCTGTTCTATCTTAGTGACTGAACCGATAGGAGTTTTATAAAAAGTGTTGTGTGTGTATTTAGTATTTTATCAAGAGAGATGAAAGAAGAGAAAAACAGAGGTTATAAATAAATGATGAGCTAAGTGAGATTCAAGAATTTGTTGTGTATGAACACCACACAAGGAACTGTTATGGCTGCTGCCTCATTAAATCTATATCGCACACGCCCGGATGCTTCGTTGCTGTTTTACGCAGTTTTGAATGGCTTGTGACCCCAACAGATCAGACTTGAACGAAATTCGAACCTATGAATTACCTGCGTTACTGACGAAGCTTTCGTTTAGATAGGAACGATTTCTTTCCATATTTAGGGTCCAGTCCTTGTTCCTCTTCTTCAGAGAGGAGCGTGGGCTCATTTCCCGAACAGCAATTGGCTATCAACACTAGTGTGTCTCGCAAGACGCTCCAAAGCTCCGTCCTCCGTCAGACGGTAACAAAAAGGATAAACGGCATCAAAGTGGATTTGAAGAGATCTTTTATATGAGTTCGCCTAACGTGCTAGGATAGTTACCGGGGCAATGTTTAAGAAAATATACGACATTTTTTAAAAACATGTTTCGACAGTTCTTCTGTATATTTTGTTAAATTCGTGGCGTATCTTCTGCTATCCAGACCTTTTAGCAATTTATGCGAGTGGAAAATTCCACCCCGGCAACAGAACTGGGTTTTTCAAACCAATCACTCTTAATACGAGAACTCATTTCTCTGCGGTTACCAAGATGAAAGAAACGCGATCTTTTGATTTCGTAATTGCCAACCATGTTCCGGTGTTCACGATTTAAGGAAAAATTGGCCATCGCAACTGCCAAAATATCTGTCACGAAAAAAGAACGAGACTTGAATAACCATGTTAGCTTGCCTTTGCTGATCATCACAAAGGAGAGAGAAGCGAGGCAAAACCTCATAACTCGGCAGGTGAGCCAGGTTCGCTGAACTCAGACAAAGAGACCCCTAAAGTTTTATACTACTTTCTTTATCAACATTTACAATAATATTCACATGACACTATTAGCGTAACACATGTCCAGCGTTTTAATTTATAAGAAGATCTCATCGGTGAGACGGAAGTTTTTGGTTCTATCCATCTGTTTCCGTCGCGTAAGTGAATGATACTTAATACCCTCGTGTTCCCTCAGTTTAGACATATTTAGCTCAAAACACCAGGAAAATTTAAAAATTGATCTGCTGACAGTCGCAAGTCCTTTGTCATAAGAGTCGAAATGGAAAATGAAAACAAACTTGATACAGGAATGTGTGACTCGAAACTACGTAATCAAAGAGGATACCCACCCTATCCGGACGTCATTAATTCGATTAAAACCACTTCTTCAGAACGGTTTATCATTTATATCCTTTATTCCATTGGTTTTTATTTTGTATTTCTTGATATCTATATTCCCCGCTTCTCAATGAGAGCTTGTATCTATATTAGTGGATAACTTCAGCTAGTCGTTCCCACTAATCCTCGCATGTGCTAACTCGCTCTATTTTTGGGACTGATGACGCTTCAGTGAACAGGACATTAAACTTGATCTACTACCACGCCTTCGTATTAGACAGGAAGACGTGTGTAGCCTAAAGCGCTCGGTGGTTTTCAGAGTATTTCATATTCGGTGCATTTGGTTATCCTAAAATTCTAAATCTCTTTCTCAGAATGGATCTTTTCACATATTTTCGTATGTTTCTGGTCTGGACTCTTGGACTTAACTTTCATCGGCAAAGCGCACAAGTAGCTGGTAAAGTATGATAGTGACGCAGTAGATAAGCATTAATATTATCTCTGTGATGTGCTGAAGAAATATTTTGTTGCTGAAACGCTTTGTCAAATTGAAAGGCTTTCAAATAGAAGGAAATTCTAACTTGAAGCTGTAAACTTCTACCCTTCAATGAAGTAAGCTCCTTCGGTAGCTTTGTTCTTAAGAACTCATGATGTAGACATGGCTTGCCTGAGGGGAAAGTGCCATAAATATAATTCAACGAACAGTTTGTATTTGACACGAATAATTCCTATGAAACAGTTAGCTTAAGTATTACACGCCAAGAAAACTGTGTATACATAACAATCACTCTGTTTTACTTTATTAAGTATTGTCATGATCAATTTTGTTAACTCATACACAGGATAAATGTAATACGCTTTGTCATGGCAATCAGTAAATATCGATGAAAAAATGAATGCGTATCATGGCATTATATGTATTATGCCATGATCTCTATGGCTGATTGCAAACGAGAAAATAATATTAAACAACATTTAAGAGCAGGAATCTTGATGTTATCGTAGTTAAAGCCCTATAAAGGGAGAGTAAAATGAAGTAAATTACCCTATTCATCTATATCATATGGGTGCAATTTTTTCCCCTTAAATACGTGACAAGCTTTCCTTCTATATCCTCATTGGCGTTCGATGAGTGTATCACTTGTTTAAAAATTTTGGATGTTAACCAAGTATCAGCAAATTCTGTGCCCTTTTTTGGCGGTCTTTAAAAAGTGTTTTCGCTTTCGTTTTTGCTGTTGAGTGTTTCCGGAAGCTGGTATTTATCAGTGTTTTGATCTTTTTAGTTTGATTGATTGATTGATAAATTTATTTACCCACGGTAAAACATTCTTTCAGCATAATTTGCAAATAAATTATCTTATTCGGCTCGGCTAATCTAAATAAAAAATAAGATAAACCTTCATGTCATATCCCAACGCTGTTTTTCAAGGATGCCGTCTATCATTCGAAGCTGTGATGACGTGGTTTGCGTTTAGTAACCCCATAACATTTAGAAAGTGGCAGTCTCAGGACGTTTCTCGTTGTATGTTTCTTGTAGGGCAAAATACGCCACAAGAAAGTTTGGTTACAACCAATTTCAGCATTGTGCTATTGCCTTCATCAAGCAGAACTCGCCCTGTTCTTCTAAGCCCTACTGCGACGCAAGGTAATTGTAACCAAGTAAGGTAAACTCGTCACGTAACGAGTAACAGCTACCCTGAAGCACGTTCATTGCTGTGCCAAGTTGTTTTATGATCGTTATGTCAAGGAAAAGATAAACAAACCAACAAACAAACAAACACGCAAAACACATTAAAACAAACCGGTAGCATGTGAAAAAGGTTCAGTAGAGAAGGTCGTGGAAGAGAGTAAGTAACAAGAAGTGAAATTTTACTCCCATACTTCATTTTTATTTTGTTTTGCCTTTGTTTTGTTTTTGTTTACTATTGTTTTGTTTTGTTTTGGTTTTTTGTTTTGCTTTTTTTGTCTTGTTTAGTTTGCTTTTGTTTTTGTTTTGTTTTGTTTTGTTTTGTTTTGTTTTGTTGTTGTTGTTGTTGTTGTTGTTGTTGTTTTGTTGTTGTTTTGTTGTTGTTTTGTTTTGTTTTTGTTTTGCTTTTGTTTTGTATTTTTTTGCTTTTGTTTTGCTTTTGTTTTGCTTCTTTCTGCAACCTGCTACCTTGCTTTACTCCGATTCTATTTTCCATCCACTGGACGATGCACGAGAATATCAACAGTTGATATTCTCTTGGCCAACTCAAATGCATGGAATATCCTTAGATTGGGACTATTCAAAATACATTTTGTGTTACAGGACAACAAAACAGAAGTACTAAGTCTCCATATCCACAACAGTCGCATCAGTCATGGGCGACAAGTTCAACAGAGATTACAAGTTATTTGCATAGCAGTGTAAAAACTGTGCTGACTTCTCCAACAGCTTCCAGATACATGCCCCCGACTAGTGCGCCGTCGTCGCTAGTTCTTGTAACATCAAGTAGGTATTTCATTCCTCGTTCCTACTCCCTATTCCACTTCTAGAAGTGATAAACATATAACTTCTCCCTATAAAGTTCATAAATTACCCCAAAAGGAGGCAATGAGAGTGCTCAAACAAATCAGCTAGGTGGAGGTTGTTTTCCAAACACCAAATTCCCATAACTAGTTTACAAGGGAATTTGTAGAGGCTAAAGGAGAAAATAAACAATGCGATCGTGGCGGTTAAAGAGTCAATCCCCCATACTTTTTACTTTCACGATGATATCTCTCATAACTTACTCCCTGGTAGCCTCTGATGAGAGCACTTATTTGAGACTGGGGAGAGCAGGTTATCGCCAATATGCAAGTCAGCCGTAGCGTCATAAAAAATATATATATATTTCTGTGAAAAGACATCTTCAGCGTGGTTATGGGAATAGGCCTGTTTTGACCTCACAATCTAAACAATTTCCGCGGGATTAAAGTAATTTATAGTAAAACAAATATTTCTTAGGGGCGTCTCAGCAAAATATGCCAATTTTTTTTTCAGTTTCTTTGCTTAATTCATCGATTTGCAAGTTTAACAGATGTTGAGTAAACGGATAACTATCAATGTAAAATTTCTCTCAGAGAAAACTTAAGACCATATTCTCTTGCAATTGTAGGAAGCTGGTCCTACAATTTTTCACCAAAACGAAAACCTTTTGTACTACAATATGAAATGTCATTTGGTACAAAAATAACTTGCTGATTGAAATATTGACGTACACTTCCGTTTGGACGCGCCCGTCTGTGACGCGATTGGTCAATGGAAGAATAGTCACTTTGGTCACGTGTACAAATAATCACTTCCTGTTCCTTTCTGAGTAACTTTAGGATGACTGTGAACCGACAGTCAAGGCGCAAACTGTAAGCGAACATGACTTTCGTAATTCGCCAGATGCCCCAATTACAAACTGTTTTATGCCTGATCTTCTTCACAGTTCACAAGGATGCAGGTAAAATGGTTCGTTTTGTTTGAAAGTCTAAACAATCTGTTTATTATAACGCTTCTCTCGTTCTGGCATGGCGCTATCGTAGAACTCTGAATATACATCGATCGCACCGAAGCGTTTTCCATTTCGGTATTTATGCTATTGTACGAAAAAACTTCTTCCATCTTCGAATATTTCTTCTACCACATGGTCTAATAACTCAAACTTATATCTAAGCCTCATACAATTGTTAAAAATGCTTGGATGAAAATGTTAAGTGAATATGTCAAATGTATACTTCAGCATTCGGTATTGTTTGAAATCTTGAATATTGCAAATTTGATTGGTACAATATTTGTGGCGATGTTACAAGATAAGATCGCCCTTGACAGAAAATGTTTATTTTAGAAGTTGCATATTGGACATATGTTCATTTGTTCCCTGAGTCGGGAGCGATTTTGGAAAAAATAGATAGATCCAGCATACTCTAGTGTCCGTAAACTATCGAACGAGCCAAGATATTTAGATGTATCTCGTGCGGTTTCAATTGTGCATAGATGTAAGCTTGTACATTTGCCACAGGCTTTTGTGTTTCGCTTGAAACTTTCTCTTTTAACGAGACTTTGGCGAAGCAAGGAGAAGGGATATATACGCCATTAAATCAAACTGAAAGTTAATACTTGCCCGTGGGCAGATCGCCAAGACATGGTGAATTTTTTTTTTAACCGATGAGACCATATGTGCACGTAAACCGCCTTTGTTTTCGAAATTGGCTCACAACCGCAGGCGAACTTTCAAATTAGGGAACATCGATAGTGAGATGAAATGGAAAATATGTTTGCGTTGGATGTAATATTTTCCTTTCGAAGGCAGTGCTGTGTTCAAGTTTAAATTATCTTTACGTATTGTCATGGTTATTCAAGATTGCATGATTGTTCTTTTCACGGAAATTTTGGCGACTCCATCATCCATGTAATGAACTTGGTGTTATTAACAGAGGTAATCTCGTCTGAATTTTCCGAGAGTAATGTTTTCAGGGTTTGAAAAATAATTTTAATAAACGAATCCAGTTCGACAATTGTTTAAGCACTTAAAGCCCTGAACAAAGTGTCCAAGGAAAGAAATCGGATAGCTAAATTTGGACAAGAGTTCATTTTGTTTGTTAGAAAATAGAGTGGCGATTGTTAATGATAATGTAATTGTCGCCAGTTATTTGTATTGAATGGGTTCTCTGAATGTGAACAAGAACAGGGTAACTGTATTGATTCCATTTAGTGTCTTTATTCAATTAAGTTCCCCTTTATGATAAACTATCTAAAAATATGTTTTTTCTAACAAGCACCCTTATTCGGATAAGTGCCCTTATACCAATTTACCTCCAAGTCCAAAAAGTGGTTCACTCTCCTTTTATTGCTCTCTACTGAGCCTCACTACTAAATCATTGATCTTCCTCGCAGTCCATCAACCATTATGTCAAAACTTTGTTTCACAGATTCTGTTGTTTCTCAAAACAGAAATAGGTGCCCTGTTCCTAATAAGGGCCCTATTTTGAATAAGCACCCTCCCTTATTTTACCAAAATTAAAAAAAAGCACACTGCATTAAATTGAATCATTACAGTTGAAATCTTGAACTCCTATGAGTGACCAAAACAAAATTTCTCTTTACATTATTAATACAATGTCAAGCAGGAAAGTGATGAGAATTTAAAAAAAGGACATCTACTCTGGGACCATTAGTTCATCCAACCCCAAATTCATCGAACCAACATCATGAGAATTGACTATAGCAGATAGTAAGGAGAATTAGAACTTTGGACTGAAAGGGTTATAAGACAAGAGGAAATTTTCCACCTCTTTACCCCAGTATATAAAAGCCACTCACTGTGCAATGTGCAAAATGTCTTATAACAAATGTCAAATAAACTCTGACATAGTATTTGGTAAAATAAATTTTTGATCAAGGTGAAGTAGTTTGTGTTAGAATTTACTTACACTCCTTCAAACTCAGTATAGATGTTTTATCAGCATGGAGGTTTTCTTTATCAGAGCTCTTATTGCTGTAATGATTATAATTCACAATACTTTTTAGATCTGTGATTACTGGTTCTTATCTAAAAAGGGATAAGCTATATGAACTGACAATGCATTTTTAATGATAGAATAATTTGTTTGCATGTCCTTTGAATTTTCATGTCAGCCTTTCTGTATTTCCCTGTTATCAAGGTCCAGCAAGTATCAACATACACAAGTCTGCATAAATACTAGTGACCTAATTTGTACTTTTAGATGGAGAACTGTTATAAATTCTTAAGAACTTTATTTATCTGTGCCTATAGTACTAAAAATGGAACAAACAAGCTGTGGTGGAGAATCTTGATTACCTAATTCCCCTATATTTCAGTAACGGAGAAATGATATTATGCAAAGGGTCCTTCCTCTTGATCTAGGTTAAGATTGTAGCTATAAATTTGTGTTAATTTCAAACCCTTGACATGGTTTTCAGATGTTTTCCAAAATTAAATACTGAGATTTAAATTAAACTTTGGACATTGGAGCACATTCAGTTTTTGTCACCTTACTCCCATTATCCTCTGAATAATACTCTTAGTCTTAAGCGGTATTTTGATTTTTTCTTCTACTTGATGAAGTGAAAATAACCACATGAAAAGTATAATATTAGGATGCAAATCTGCAGCAATCCTTAGCCCTTTGCACCCCAATATTGGCATTCAAATTCTCCACACTGTTCCTTTTTCATTTCCTATGGCGCTGACAAGGAGAATAATTATGTGTGACAATCAGAAGCTCCCTAATTTGGTGATCATTTCCTTTATTATGAAACTGAAATAGGAAAAAAGAAGCTAGTCACTCTTAGGGGATAAATCTGGTGAAAAATTCCTTAGAACCAAACCAAACAGTGGTGTAACTGTTTTGTGTAACACAGTTGAACCTCAATTATCTGGATTTGTTGGGACTAGACGAAACAGTCTGTGGGATAATTGAGATATGAATATTAATGAGGAACAAAAACTGATAAAATTAAGAAAGCAACATTTAATTGTGAAACAAAGCATTTACAAATCGTTTGGAAAAAAAAATATGGTCTACATCTTCAGTGTCTGTTACGAATACACATATTTATTTACAATAATAATTCATGAAAATTGGCCTAAAATGTTGAAATGTTGAAGTAAGTCAGCTTGTCTCAAAAAGAAAAACCTTGTGAGCATTGAGAGTTATAAGCAACACAAACTTGCCTTTACTTCACTTTTCATTGCTGTTTTTTTTTTTTTTTTTTTTTTTTTTTTAATGAAAGGAATATGGCTACGGATCTTGGTCATGACCAATAAATATTTATAACAAAATTGAGACCAGAGAAAAAGTCTGCATAATTGAGAAATCCAGATAATTGAGGTTCGTCTGTACATCATCTTTTTACCTCATCAACAAAAGAAATGTGATGATATGGAATAAACTTCCACATGCATCCTCACAGAATGAAATGATGTTGACCCATGAGTATCAACTTGATTCAAAGGGAAATGTATTCATTAACTTTTTTTGAATACATACTAGGTTTTTTTTTTCATAGGATTCTTGTTATACAGCTAAGGAAATGTAAATTTTTATTGGATTCTTGTTTTTTTTTTTTTATACACCATGACATACTGGTTATATTAATGGAAGTTGAGAATTCCTGTGAACCTAAAAATTCTATATAAATGTTTTTTTACAGGTACACAAGCTTCCAGTTCAGGTATGATAATGCACACTGACATGTTATACTTTGTATGAACTGGTCACTTCTTGCTCTCTGATGGGTCATGGCCTATTAGCTTTCAAAGTACAGCAATTTTTGTTCTTTTCTTGTTCAAAATCATTTACAAAATCATTCTCTTCTAACTTAGCTGGTGTGGATATTTAGAATAGTCCATTTTACAGTTACATGCTTGGTTGCCAAGCCTCTGAACAGTAGTGAGGCTAAGGGTGACCTTGTTATGATACAAACATTGCTGTTTTTCAAATGTAAATTACTTTGTTATCATGCTAGCTAGATACTGGTCTCTATCACAATTAGGTTACCTTCGGCTTCTCTCCAAATCAAAGCCTTGGCAACTAAGTACACTACTGTAAAATGACCTATTGACAGGGAAAAATGAAAAAAACAGTGATCAAGAGCTGTCAGCATCTTTCTCTTCATTGCATTTAAACAAAAGCAAAAAAAAGAAAAGGAAGAAAATCTTTTCATTTTTTCACAGTGTGAGCTGTAGATATTTAATACCAGCAATTTTAAATGTATCAAATGTTGATTAAAGTGTTCCACTTTTCGCTATTATTTATATCATATCTATGTACAGATCTACTTAGAGGAGAAGCAAGGTAGTATAAGTTAGGTTTATCTATCTGGGTGAGCTCCTTGTGCATAAAGGCAAATTATTTAATGATCCACTTTAGAAACTGAAGTTAACATGATTTTCATTAATGCCTCATTAGGTTGTCCCACACCTGATCTTGGTATGGCAAGAGATATTATTCCAAACAGTGATATCACAGCATCATCAGAAAATAATTCTGATTCATCTCCTTACTATGCACGGTTAAGCAACAGCAAAGCATGGCTTCCTGATCCCAATGATAATGATCCATGGATAAAAGTGAACTTACAGTTTTCAAGAAATATCACTGCGATTGCCACACAAGGCTTTTCTGGCTCTTATGTCAATCGCTATTATGTAAGTTACAGTTCTGATGGAAACAAGTGGAAAAACTATACAGAGCAAGGAAAAGTTAAGGTACCAGCTGAATAATATTATATAATTCCTTTTATACCTGCCTACCTGCCTGGTTATTTGATCTCTTCTATTTTTAGTGGGCTGGTGGGTTTCTCCTTTTTGTAATGGGGCTGCTGGGAGCTGACTGAGGAGGGGGTGGGGGGGGGGGGGTTGGAAGGGGCAGTGTAGGTATGGTGAAGTGCACACAGGTGTTAAGGTGTGAGCTAAGGTTCTGTCACTAATTGCTTATCTTTGTGATGCATAAAAATTAAGTTTGCAGTTATCAACAAGTAATTATTTTTTTGATTTATTTCTTGTTTCAGGTGTTTCAAGCCAATGTAGATGATACTACAACCAAAACAGTTCTTTTCAAACCTTCTTTAATAGCTCAGTACATAAGATTGCATCCCACAAACTGCTCCAACACTTGTGCTCTCAGATTTGAGCTTTATGGCTGTAATTTGACCACAGGTGAGGGAGAATATTGCAAGCTGTTGTAATATACATTGATGGCGTCAAATTAAAAAGGGAATATGAGGGAATGTTATTATTGCCATTTAATAAGTAATTTATTTCTAATATCCATATTATTTTATCACATCTATTTTTTAATTTTTTTAGGCTTGCCTGGTCAGCCATCCTCACTCTCTACAAAGTCTGTGTCATCAACCAAAATTGTAATCTCATGGAGTGCTCCTACAGATGAAGGGGATGGAATAACAGGGTACTCTGTTAAGTGGCAGGCTGCTGGAGAATCCAAAATTTACCAAAAAGAAGTTACAGGGAACAGATCTGTGACACTGGATAAGCTAACACCCTACACATGGTATGACATCCATGTGAGAGCAGAAAGTCATAATGGGGATGGCCCTTGGTCAGTTCCACTGAAAGTGAGAACAAATGAGTCAAGTGAGTTATAAAATTACCCATCAACATGTAAAATAATTTCTATAACAAGGTTAACACGGGTTACTCAACCATTTGACCCCAAAGAGGGATAAGCTTTTTATTTCTCCCACAATATCACCCCTGAATTAAACATGAAGGTCATGAGAATAAAAGAAATGATCACCAATTATAGAAGCTCTTGATTGTTAGACAAATTCTCCTTGTCGGCACCTAAGGAAATGCATAAAGAACAGTATGGAGAATATGCATACTGATGTTAGGGTGTTAAGGTGTGTTCACTCCCACAATCTTATTTTGTAATTCTCATTACTTCTTCCATTCAATTTTTATCATGTTAGTTCTGTGAATTTGGTATTGGATCAATGAATAGTCCCCTAAGTGATACTCCTCTTTATCCTCTCCACTTGTCTTCAGTATTGTATTTATATCGAAAGGAGAATTTCTTTCCTGGTTACCTATGGGAGTTGAAGTGTTAGCCCTTTAACCCCTAAGAGTGACTAATATCTTATTTCTCCTCACAAATATCACCCCTGAATCACACCCTTAGGTTATGAGAATAATGGAAATGATCAGTAGAAGCTCTGGATCGTTAAGCTAATTCTCCTTGTCAGCACCTTAGGAAATGTATAGAGAACAGTGTGGAGAATATGCATACTGATGTTTGGGTGTAAAGGGTTAATATGTGTGGTTAGTTCTTTTCCCTTGTAGTAGCCTAACAAATTGAGCACACAATGGTTTTTCATATTTATGTACAAAGTTTGGTAGCAGACCAGTAGGTTTCTTGTTCAGAAGTTAGTTTATTTGATTTATGGAAAATTTAGGTGTGGGAATTGAGTTGTCCACATGTACTTAGGAACTTAGAGACTCTTATGGGCACTGTGCATACAAGTGTGCATGTATGTATGTTGCCACATTGAAAAGCTGCAAATTCATAAATGTATTATGTACTTGTATGGTGTGACATGAAGTGTCTTATACATGTAAGAAAGTAGGCAAGACATTTCATGGAAAGTGCATGTTCCTTATAGATACATGTACTGACAATCCTGATTTAAAAGTGGTACACATGCAGTAGGTCCTGATTTCACATTGCATTCGCCACATGGCTTTTATAAAATGTTTTGACCTGAATACCATCTTTCCCAGAAAAAGTGTCCTTGTTCTATTAAGTGCCCTCTGTGAATAAGACCCTCCTCCCCCCCTCCTCAGTTCATAATGTCAAACAAGCTCCCATCTTAAACAAGCTCCCCTCATCTTCCCTCACTTTCTTAAATAGTAAAGACTCCAGGAAAACCTGTTTCTATTGCCACTTTACTTGTAACTTTTAAAGCTTCAATTACAGTAGAATCAGTCACTAATTAATCTGCATTTAACCCTTTAACTCCCATGAGAGACCAAGACATAATTTCTCCGTACAATATCAATACAATATCAACCAGATAATTAGTTGATCCAATACTAAATTCTCTGAACTAACATTGTAAGAACAGTATGGTTGATAGTAGGGAGAACGACAAATTTGATCTGGGAGTTAAAGGGTTAACTTTAAATATGTTGTTGTTTCTTTTCTTGATATTGTTGCTCTTCTTTTTGATGACAGTTGCACTTGTTTGATTATTTTCAAAGCTCCCACTGCTGCTCCAGGAAACTTTAAAGTCAGTTCTAGTTCCTCTCTTTCATTGGACATATCGTGGGATGCCATTCCTGAAAAAGAACAGAATGGAGAGCTGTTGGGTTACTATATTTACTACAAGGTAAATGGATCTGCAGTAGAGTATAACAAGAATGTTGGACCGGATAAACTTTCAGATAAACTTACAGAACTTGAGTTTACAACCTATGTTGTTCGAATGGCTGGGTACACTGTTGCTGGTGTTGGTTCGTCTACTAAAGATGTGAGCATACAGCCAAATGAAGGAGGTAAGGGAGCTATTTTTTACAACTTTTTGCAAACAATTTGGTTAAAAATATTTTTTATTGGTTAGATTAGCTGGAAAATGTTATGATTGTTATAAGTTTTGCTTCTTGCTGTTTGAAACTAGTTTAATTTTTCAAATCTACTTTTTAACAAACAACAACAACAACAAAAAACACTTTGATATGAACATGAATATAATTACATAATTTATATATGTCAAGCATAGTTTTGGTCTTAAACTGTTATTTTAGCTTGAATACATGCAGTATTCAAATTAGACTACTGAAATGAAATGTTATATTTGACTTGTTCCAGCTCCTACAGCTCCTAGGAATTTCAAATTGACTGTTGAGTCATCCACAGCGATTAAAGCGTCGTGGAGTGCGCCCTTGAAGCTTAATGGTGTCTTCAAACGTTACGTGGTGAGGTATGGTTTATCAAAAGATAGCATGAATACACAGGTGTATCCCACAAACACAGAGTACTTACTGACCCTACTGGATGAGTTCTCTACTTACTATGTTCAAGTCCACGCTGAAACGGCTGTTTCTGGGTTTGCCTCCAGTATTCTTTCGGCAGAGACAAAAGAAGATGGTTAGTGGAGTTATAGGTTGTTGTTATTGTTGTTGTTGTTGTTGTTGTTTATTTTTGCTTTGGTTTTCGTTCATCAATGTCTGCAGGTGGCAGCCACATGTAGCATCCAAATAACTTACAAGTACCACGCGATACTTTCAATGTTTGCGTCACTTCATGTTAAAGGTGTTTATTGTTTTAGGTTAACAAATGTATTCTCCACGGATGACGTACTGAATGTAAAGAAATGCAATAGATCTTTAGAACCAAAGCATGAGCATACCTAGAAGATAATGGGTTCATGACTATTAGCTATTTGCCTTTGAGAATGGTGACATGTCAAAAATACGTCATGTTTAATATCGGTCATCGATCTTCTTAGATACAACATTCTAAGTTTAACGAAGATGTTAGCTGACATAGATCTTCTGATTCTTTTATTCTGACTTGCAACTACAGCTCCCAGTTCCGCTCCAGTCATTAACAAACAAGAGACAAAGGCCGAGGATGCGCACACCATAAGAGTCAAATGGAATGAAATTAAAAAAGAGGATCAAAACGGCCGCATATTGGGATATGAGGTTTCATACAAAGAAAATGGAACAGAAAAAGTGTTAAGTTTTAATGCAACAAATACAAACACAATAATCACGCGCTTGAAGCCATTTACGTCATACTGCATCCAAGTTCGAGGGTTTACAAGTGTAGGAAAGTCACCACCGAGCCCTTGCACAGATGTCCAGACATTGGATAAAGGTATGCCATCATTGAATTTAGTTTGATTCATTATCATCCTTGAATTAAGGAATTATGATTTGAGAGGTTTATTCTTCGGGGAAATAAAAGACGACGACAACAATAGAAAAAAAATAGCTAAATAACTGAGTGAGGCTTTGATCGGTTTAAACTACACTCAATTTCTGATAAAAAACGTCTGTTTCTGTTTTTCCAATAGTTGTTTTTCTTGAGGTGCTCGTGGCACATTAAACTCTCTAATCAAAAATAGCCTAAAATCTGTTGAGCTTTTCTTTTTTCTAGATCTTAATATTTTTTGTTGTTTTATATTTACTTTACTTTGTTTGTTTGTTTTTCTTTTTTCTTCACTGTGTTTATTTAAGCCACTGAGTAATTACCAACCACTCAAACTTATTCAAATTTTGTACTGTTATTCATTTTAAAAGGTCCAAGCCATCCGCTCAATGTTAAAGTTCAGGCCGTTTCTTCTGTTTCAATTATTGTAACGTGGGAGGAACCAGCTCACCCTAATGGAGTCATAGGAGAGTATATAATATTGTATGGAACCAGCAAGGACGTACAAAGTTATGAGCAAAAAGTGACTGGAAGCACGCGTAAACGTATTGTAGACGGCTTGAACAAATATACGACTTACTATGTGAAAGTCAGGGGTCGTACATCGAAACCGGGAAATGCTTCTGAAGTATTCAATGTCACAACTTTCGAAGATAGTAAGTAAATATTAATGATTGATGGTTTTCAAGTGTTACTTGTATTCCGGGAAACTAGATTTTTCATGTTTTAGAACGTCGGACTACCGTTCTGGAGGTCGTGGGTTCAAGTGCCAGACATTTATTTGCTGTAAGAAACAGTTGGGAAGAATTAATTTTGAATTAAAAGAGAGAAGATGCAGCGACTACTGGAATGGTCAATTATAACAATGACTTATGATGAATTATGATGAATTGTATTATTGATTCCATGATAATCTCGAAGTGGTTGATGACAATGAATGTTGGAAATAGTTCATGGCTCGTGAAAAGCTCAGCGGTTGCCTTTGCTTTGTGATTTACATGCTTTTCTCATTCTCATCTTCTTACGATCGTATTTGCACTAAAATAACTATAGAATGGGAACTCCGTCGCTTAAATAACTGACTGCATGATCACTTGTTCGATGGATTGGCGGTTGATTATTTTTGTTTATTCTATTGTTAGTTTAATTTATTTCCTTTTTGCATCCTAGGGCCTGGACCGCCAAAGGAGTTTAGGGCTCAGGTTGTAACAGCTACTGATGTTCATCTTACATGGAAGGAGCCTGATAATTCTAATGGAATTGTAAGGTTCTATTACATAAAGATCTACAATACTAAAACCGGCTTACAGGTCGGAAACGTACGCAACCAGAGCGCTGACGAGGAGTCAGACATGCAGCAACACAGAAGGCTGATACGAGGTCTCAAGTATTATACAGACTACACGTTCACAATCCAGGCCGTTACAATTAAACCTGGGGAAATGGCTAACGCCACAGCAAGAACAGAGGAAGGAGGTATAGTCCTTACCTTTTCACATTAAACGGAGCTGGTCGAAGATTTTCTCTCTTCTCTTCTTTTCTCAATAAATGAAACCATTTGTACGGGTAATCACTTGATTTCGAGAGCAATTTGGAATAAACAAGCAGGAGTAAATTTTTTCAAAGACTAAAAAAATTGCACGAACCTACGCATTCGTGTAATTTACGGGTTATCCTGTTTTTCATTTACGGGTATCTTGTTGATTTACAAAAACCGTTATACGCCTCTAAACACCGTAACTTACTGGCTGGTATCGCTGTTTGTAACGTTTGAGATAAATTTTGGTTCTAACAGCTTGGAAGGACTTCATCTAGTTATTTCAAGGTTCGCACACGCGCAGATGTTCTACCCTTCCATTGACACCAATAATTGATCTAGGTCTGTTCCGCGAATGGTACACGCATGGGAACACTAACACTTCAAGTATTTTCACACCGATTACAATTTAACTCCTCTACAAGCGTTCCGTATCTTCGTCATACAATTTTTTGATCTCAAAGCAATTGTTATGATTTTTTGTAGTCCCAAGTCAGCCCAGAGATGTCACTACGAAATTTGACAAAGGTGGAATTTCTGTTACATGGAAGGATCCCCAGGACCACAACGGAATTATCACGAAGTACTCGGTGAGCTACGCTGCAAAAATCCGTTCAATATCAAACCTATCAAAAATTTATTCAGGCGAACTAATGGTCTCGAAGCGTGCAAGTTTACATTTCAGTCTTGGCTGAAAATTATCTTGTAATCTTGTAAGATATTTTTTACAAGTCAAGTGAGACCCTAAACAACAGCCACAACTACAACAAAGATAGGCTAGGGCGTGAAATTGCGCCTAATACAGGCGCCAATGCGACTAAATGTTTCACTTTGGCGACCAAATCCTGAAAATTAGTCGCCAAATTGGCGACTAGAATACTTCATCTTAATCTTACCTTAGAATTAAATGGATTTGCAAAGACAAATTAAATCCGCGGCAAACTTCCTGGTTAAGTTGGTTTCCAAAACGCAGCACATGCGTCTCGATCGATAACCAGACACAATCTTGGATTTACGTGAGCTTGAACGTTGAATATCATTCATTCTAGCGTCCACTTTGTAGCATATTAAAGATCTTTTTTTTTAACTTAATTTTAGAGGGTCTATCTAGAACGCTGACAGCACAAAAAGAGGTTTTGTTTGTCTTTGGAAATGGCGACCAACTTTTTTCGAACTGGCTACCACTTTGAAAAATTTAGGAGCCAAGTGGCTATCAGAAAAAAAAAAAAAAAAAATTCACGCCCTGTAGGCCCAAAATAAATCAGCCGATTTTCGTAAATTTTGCATGAGATATTGCCACATTGCGTTATTTGAGTGTCTGATTTTGTTTGCTTTGCTTTTTTGTCTCGTTTTGTTTTTGTTTAGTGTTTGTTTCGCTGTGAATTTGTTCATTTGGTAGTTTTTTCGAGCTTGGTTAAAATGTGTGATGACTATTCTGCTAGAATGCATTTTGTCATGCTCATGTAATCCAAAGCTTCAATTTTTGAGGGATAATGCCCTAGTGATGAGCACGCTTTGGAGGTTTATGGTTCTATCATCAGCTCCCGTTGTGTTATGTTCTTTTCAGTAATGACACATGTAGGCTTTCAAATTAAAAAAACCCGTAAGAAAAGGAAGGAACCACTGCCCATTTCCTACCATCGGAACCCTGAAGTTTAAGTGTGTAAATTTTCTGTGAATTCAGAACAAATTTTCCCCTTCTCATTACCACTGCATTTGTTTGTCTTTCTCTGAGATGTTGTATCTTCCTCAATATTCAGGTATACTTTGAGGGTAAAAGAGCATATAACACTTCCTTTCAACATAACCATGAAATAGTTTTAGACGAAACCACTCGGAGCACTGAGATATTAGTGGAAAAGTTGAAGCCTGGTACACAATATAGTGTTTATGTGAAAGCAAAAACAGCCAAAGGGTATGGAGCCAAAAGTGATTCTGCGTTGGTGGAGACACCATCAAAACGTATGTGAAAATGTTTTGTTTGTTGGTGTGAAAATGTTGGAACTGTAGTTAGTTTGATAATTCGAATGGGGTCAGCAAGCAACTCGCTCAATCTTTGAGTAGTGGTTAAAGAATGACACAAGCAGGCGTAAGGACGGATGGGCAGATAGACAGACAGATAGACAGATTAACAGAGATATAGCTATGCAGACATATAGATAAACAAACAGATAGATAGACAGATACATTGATAGACAGACAGAAAGTCAGGTAGACAGAAAGATCGTTAGACAGACGGATCGACGGACAATACGCAAAAGTAAAGATTTGTACATTGCTTAGGATGTGTAAATTGGGCTACTAGTTTGTTCATTTCTTTAGATGACCAAAGGTCCGGTTTAATCTTTAATCTTTTTTCTCATGTCATCTGAAAGGATCTCAGTGATGACATATTTTTGCATTTTTTTAACTTTTGTTCTCTTGTTTACAGAACCTCCTCCGCCCAAACTCCCCCAAGTTGTCGAAGCTGACGTTACAACAACAACAATTACGATTTCTTTATCGCCATCCGATGACACTAACGGAGAGATCATGTGAGTGCTAAGGAATCCGTATGTAAGAGTGGCTTTTGTAATTTTACTTCCGGCCATTATTGTATCGCCATCACAGGGTTTTCAACGGAGAACAGAGGGGGATCAGTCGTCACTAACAGATTATAAAGAGGGTGTTTAGAAAAGTTGACAGCCAATAAGGAAGGGAGAAGGGGAGGCAGAGCCTCATGGGGGATAATGACCGGTCTCAACTGGAAAACAAAGCAAAAGTGAAAATTATGACGACGACTGCGTTCATTGGGGGGGGGGGGGGGGGGGGATTTCTCTTATTGCAGAAAAATTCAGTACTCAGAGTTTTTTTTGTTTTGTTTTGTTTTGTTTTTTTTCCCCAACTATACCTTTGTCGTTAAATGAATAACATCATCTTTCATTCTGTAATTGGTAAAAAGTTCATCAGTCTTCCTCCTAAATAAGGACATTCTCGGAAAATCCATTAGTCTAAGAAGTTGGATATGTAGATAGAGGGTTGAACATATTGAACACTGGTCAAACTTCGCTGCAAATACTATGAAAAATTAATAATCTAGAAATATTTACCTTCACGACTGAAGGTATGTAATTTTATAAACAAATTTGTTTGCGTCTTTGACACAAAAACTTTATTTTCCAACAATATTTCCGGGCGACACTGCCGAGTTAATGGTAACATCATTTGTCTCTTTTTTATTTAAACGCCAAACTTACTTGTTTATTATTACTACTTTACATTAAAACTGACCTTTTTGAAACATTTCCCCATTCAGTCGGCATGAGATCATTGTAGAAATGCTCGGATCAGCCAGAGCTCGTCGTGAAACATCCCCCCTCCCGGAGAAAATATACGGCTTCGAGGAAGCGCAAACAAATGGCGATCGTTTCTACATTGCGGCCGTGTTTGAAAGACGAAAACTGCCCGTGGAGTTTGTTCTTGGAAATGGGAAGACATACGGCGGTTATGAGAATGCTCCTCTTAAGCCAGGGACGCGTTACAAGGTGTATGTAAGAGGAGTCACAGAACATAACGGGGTAAGTTTTCAAGGTTTCATTTGACATTTCAATACCTTACCTTTGATGTCTCTTTTTGTCGCAGTCTAGCCGTATCTCAATAACTGGTGGTTTTATTATTATTATTATTTGTACAGAAATGGCTTATAGGAAAAGCAGCTGCAATCAGTCTGCCGGAAACTGGTTTGTACTTTGGTTATAATGTCTTTTGTTTTGGTTTATTGGTCATATCGTTTGTGTTGATATTGGGTTGTACACTGTCTATGTCGGGAGCGACCATGCACCCAATTCGGCATTTTTGACGGTCACTGTTTTGTATTATGGTGCCTATACCGATTACCACGCCAATTCTAGAATGATTCTAAACCTAGGCTTGAGCCACGTAGAAGCATTTAGATAACAATAGAGAAATTGTTGCTACATGTTTTGCAGAGGAGTTGCCAGTCGCTAAAAAGGGTGACAACATCGTTGGTGTAGTCGCTGGTGTTCTGGGAGCGCTGATACTTATCGTGATTGCCATCATAGCATTTCTTCTGTATCAAAGGTAATAACCAGATTAACAAAAAAAAAACAATAATTCCAATGATCACTGAGTGAAATGCGTCAAGCGACCCACAGTTTAAAAGTTGCCGCTATCAAAAGAGGTTTGCGCTGAATGGTTGCACCGGTTGCTATGCAATATGAATATTTCTTTCTTGAATTCTGTGGTCAAGAAGATAACATACCAACGGCTTTTGCTTTGAATCGTAGACCATGATATTCATTTTAAAAATTACTTATGCCGCTCATTATCTAGTTTAGTTAAGTTAAGGAGGCAATGAGCAGCTTAGTGCGAAAGTGCTAGCTGCAAATAACGTCGTCGAAGAGGAGGCAGTAGACCGAAAATTCCTGAAAACTTACCGGCTTGGATATCTTTCGCGAAATTCGGAAAATCTTAGCACCGGAATCATTAAATCTGGAGATATTGCGCGTGGAAATTTAGCATAGTATTACGTATTCCACGCCCTTCAGAATTCTGCAACATATTTATGAGTGAAAATAGCTTCTTTTTTTAATTTCCTTTTCCTTTTTTTCTTTTTTCTTTTTTTTCTTCTTTTAAACCAGATCCAACAGGCCACCCAATGCCAACCTTGATGTGGAAAGTCAGAAAAAACAAAAAAGAAAGCGAAAGGAGTTTGAGCTGAAGCGCTCCAGTACGTAAAACACAAACAAACAAACAAGAAAGCATTGTTTTACTCTTACGCTTTTCAATGTGAGATGAAAAATAAGGAAATAGCAAAGAAAAAGCTTTTTTTGTCGCCTCCTCGCTGAAATGAGCATTTCCTGCTTTTTGTGGGGATGCGAGTGTAATTATGAAATTCCAGTTGTGTTAAGATGTGAGATTCTCTGAGCACGTCAAGTATATCATGAGAAAGGTGGAGTCCTCCACTGAATTGGTCGAGTAACACGACTGTTCAGTTATTACATCATTAAAAAAAAGAATAACGATAAAATAAAAGAGCTAAGAACAACTACTTTGAGCATATTTTCAAAGCAACCGATGCTGGATTTGCTTGTCCTGAGCCGTTTTCAGTGAGGTACTCTCTTTGTCGCCTAAGCATGCCTTTATTTTAAAAGATGTTGAGAAATTCCTTCTAACTCTTTTTTTTTTAAGTTCGTTGGACCACAAGCGTAACAACATTCTATAGGGTTTTAGAGTTGGTAACTTCTATTGCAGGTACAAAGAAGAAATTGCTTGCAGCTCCAGGCGAGGTCATCAACGATGCGGATCATCCACCCGTACTTGTGGATCAGCTTGCAAAGCATGTAGCAAAGTTACACAAGTCCGATGATCGTGGATACATGATTGAATACAATGTAATCATAATTATTTTTTCTCCCATATCTCCTTGTCGCCTGAAAGCAATAAGAGCCAATCCATACTTTGAATTAAAGTCTACGCTCTCTGTTTTCACTTCACCGTAACCCTTTATTTGCCTCCTCGTCATGCTGCTTCTTCTTGCAACCTCTTATATGAGTCGTCGTCATCATCATCGTCAACCAGTCGCCAACAGGAATACCCGTCTATAATGTTGTGAAGTTGGTGTTCTTACGAAAGGCTTACACCATTGCCATGGTCGTTATCGTCCGCCTCACTATCATCGCCGTCCTCTTAATCAGGGATTATTAGCTTCATCCTTATTCTCATGTAGTCCTTCTCTTCCATCTTTATTTACCGGCTATGACTTGTTTTTCTTTTTCATAGAAACTTGACAGTGGCCAGGAGTACGCCTGTGACGCGGGCTTAATGACAGAAAATAAGGCTAAGAACAGATATGGCAACATTATTGCGTGTAAGTGCAAAGTATATCACCTACTACTATAACAGTAGGATTTTAAGCAAACTGGTGCTAGCCGGACTGAATTTTCATGCATCGTTATATCTTCCTTTCAGCGGTGTTTCTTTGTTTTTTCGTTTGTTTCTGACTCATTACCTACCAGCCAGGAACTTTTCTTGTTTTACACAGATGATCATTCTAGAGTCGTCCTGACCCCAATCGAAGGAGAGCCTGGCTCAGACTATATCAACGCTACAAGAGTTGATGTGAGTGAGACTTTGCCTATGATAACATATGCTAGTAAAACTTAAAATAGTATCAAGGGGGCATGAATTCGTAATTCGTTGAAACCCGAGTTTTTTTCAGCCATTTCTTTTAGAATTTCATATCTCCTAACGCTTTTTTTTTGTGGCTCATTTTAGCTCTTTGGCACTGGTAACTAACTTCAAAGCTGCACCTGTACGTGACTTCTTTAATCAATTTCCTTCCCCCCCCCTCCCCCCTCCTCCCCTGGAACAATTTGTATTTCATTTATATTTTATTTTGATCGATTGATTTTTTTTCCATTTTTTTTATTTATTTACTTTTTTTAACATTTCCTGTTTGTTTGTTTGTTTGTCAATGTCCAGGGATACAACAAACCCAATGCATACGTTGCCTGTCAAGGTACGGGATGTTTCTTTGTTTGATTGTTTCTTTTTCAATGTTCAATAATTCTTGATATTGATTAAATAATGAAGAACCAAAATGGCCTATGGAAGGTCTCGCCAATCTCTTTTGGATTATCTCAGATCTTTCCACTCAGTAATACATGTTACTTTAGTTTGGGTCAATGAATGTTTTCCTTTCTTAATCCACGATGATGAAAAATTTTCCGGCCCTTTGACGCATTTTTACGGTTGGTCATTAGGTCCAGTGCCTCCAACCTTTGACGACTTTTGGCGTATGGTCTGGGAACAGCAGTCTTCCACAATAGTTATGCTGACTAATCTACAAGAGAGACATAAGGTATGTGGAAGAGTTATTTCCATGAAATTGTAGAGTCTTTTCGCAAAAAAATTAATTTCTTCTCATAAAGGAGATGTCAGAAAGTATTAATGACCCGGCATTTCATTAAGAAGATCACATCTTAATGTCCGCCTAAACTAAGCAGATCGTACTTTCATATTTTCAAATTCTACAGCATTTAGCGACATTAGTGATACTATTGCCTTACGCATGATGCCCTCTTAGTTTATCTCCACCTTCACTTCAGGCATCCTCAGCAAATTTCCAGTGTAACTCATTTTAACTTATTGAAGGGTATAACAAGGGACCAATCGAGAGTTTGTGCCTTGATTTAGAATTCGCTTCGATTTCTCTGATCAAGGCTCGAACACGGTCTGTTTTTCTTTTTTCTTTTTTTTTTTTTCACTTCTGTTTCGTTTCGTTTAGTTTTTTTTATTTTTTTATTTTTTTTATTTGTTTGTTTGTTGTTGTTGTTGTTGTTGTTGTTTTTATTTTGTTGTGTTTTGTTTTGCTTTGTTTTTTTTTCCGGATTCCATCTATTAAATTTAATACATGAAGATTATTTGGGTAAGACTCTTTTACCCCGGTGTGTCTCACCCGGTTTCCTCTCCATTATCTCCTTAGTTGAAGTGTCACAAATACTGGCCGGATGAGACCCAAGACTACGGTGACATATCTGTAATGCTTGTCAGGTCAGAGCATTACTCCGATTATAACATCAGAACATTTAACGTCAAACGGGTCAGTATCGATGTTAAGTTAACCTGATTTCAAATTCAAACTCACTGCTTGGTATCGTGATCATTATGCACTGAACTTCTCTTTTGTTCTGTATTTTTTAGGAAAGTGAAAAAGAGGAGAGAGAAGTTAAACAGTTTCACTTTACTGTGTGGCCAGATCATGGAGTACCTGAATATCCAACTGCCTTGCTGGCCTTTCGAAGACGAGTCAGAGCTTATAACCCGGCTGATGCTGGACCTCCCATTGTGCACTGCAGGTATGATGTCTGCCAGTTTAAGGCTCTTTTCTGACTGTTTGTCTGTCAGTTGGCCTGTCTGTCTGTAAATCCGTCCATCCGTTCGTACACTTAGATTTGAATGACGTACTGTCGTCCCCACATTCAGTGTTTTTGTATTTGTCTGTTTGGAGGTTGGCGCATCATTGTCTGTCCTCTTAAATTCTACTTATGTATTTTGCTTGGCTATGGCTCTTTCTCATGTTTATAGTTGTCTAATTTTTCTAGTGCTGGAGTTGGTAGAACAGGTACTTTCATCGTTATCGATACCATGTTGGACAGAATCAAAGCAGAAGGAACAATAGACATTTTCAACTTTGTGGCTTACTTGCGAACACGTAGAACAGCCATGGTTCAAACTGAGGTGAGTATTGTTGCTATATTTGGTTTTTTTGTTGTTGTCGTTGTTGTTCTTGATTTGAATTTCTTGGTTTTGTTCATAGAATTTTACGAAGCGCACAGATATATGTAAACGTCAGTCACGTTCAACACTCGTCAATACCTATGTGCAGTACGCAGCAGGGTTGAGTTACATGCTTTTCCTTCTGACAACATAGAACATGTTACAATCGTTGTTACTTTTCCTTATGGTCTTAGTTCAATATTTGTTGTTTTAATTTTCCTCTAGGAACAATACACATTCTGCCATGACGCTATTCTAGAAGCAGTTCAGTGTGGTAACACTCAAATCTACGCTCACGACCTAAGGATCACCCTTGCTCGGATGAGTGACGTGGATGCAGAGACAAAGATAACTCGCTTTGAGTCTGAGTTCAAGGTAACAAAACCTTGTTACTGTAAAAGTTTGGGAAAGAAGTGGGCGCTATAATTATTTTTTTCTTTCCTCAGAGCCCACAAAATTAAGTCACCTCGCGATTAGCGATGCATCCTGTAGACTTTAATGCTAAAATACCCCTCGAGCGTCAATCCATGGGGGTTTTTGGCTCCCTGAGACATCTTTGTTGGTTCTCATGTAGTGTAGTCGTGATTCTTTCGAAGTAAACTTAATTTGACACTAATATTCGAAGGCTGAAGTAATCCTATGTGACAGTAACATCACCCAAAGTATGGTCACGTAGCTCCTTATTATAATTTCTGCCTTTCAAGGCAGTGTGATATATAGAATCCTGAAATTCTGGTGGCTCGAACCACAACCTTGTTGAGCCACTCTAAATCAAATGAATTCTTAAAAAAGTTATATGGCAATCGACCAGACTGGAGAGGAAGTCAAATGTCGAACTCACATACTACTAGGCTGACGTTCTACTTGTATGTCAGGTCCTCACCTCAGTAGAGACTGGCTGCAAATGTATTCTCACTTCTTTCGTTCCGTAATTGTTTTATTTCCTGTTTGTTTCAGAGACTCAACAAAGTAAGTCCAGTTCTTCACAAAGGGCACTGCACTGTGGCGTCATATCCAGAGAATAGGGAGAAAAACAGATCACCTGACATCTTAGCTCGTGAGTTGGATTTTAGTTTTAATGAAAAGATGTGTTTTCATCCTTACATGTTGTTAATCGTTTGGTATAGATTTTAGCAGAAGCATGAAAGTGATCCATTTGTTATTAAGTGATTTCTTTTTGTAATAGTTCATGTATAATAAATAACGGAACAAGCTCGCTCCTCTTTCCCAGAAATACCAACTTTTCCTTTCAATTTTGTCTTTACGCAGCTGACTGCTATCGAGTGGTGCTTACAGCAATTGACGACAACGAATCCACGTCTTACATAAATGCTGTTCACATTTCGGTGAGTGATCCTCCTCTTACTTCCAATGTCCATCTACATATACCAGTCATGTATCGATGTTTCATGGTAAATAATGCATAATACACCGTAAAGCAGTTCTTAATTTCTATTCTCTGACTGTATCTTTCTCTTTCTCCTTAGGGCTACAAGCAGCAACATGCTTTTGTTGTCACGCAACATCCACTTTCGTCCACCGTGACAGACTTTTGGCGCATGCTCTGTGAGCAAGAGAGTTGCTGTGTCGTGTGGTTTGATTCAAAGGAGCAAGAAGGGGTAATGGATATGTTTATGATAAGAGTGATATTTTTTTTTTCTTTGATTTGTCACATTCAAACACTTTTGCTTTTGCTTTTCCTTTGATCATAAAATTTTATAATCGAACAGAAACAGTAACAAAGAAAATGAAAATTTATGATTTTGCTAAACAGCTGATCCGCATCCAGAGTCTATGTTTGCTAAAAGAGATAAGTATTGCCTATTTTAAAGAACAAATTTCAGTTCTTAAGACGAACACTTTGCCCATTCAGGATTTCCCAGAATTCTGGCCAGATTCAGAAACTGATGCCAAGACTTATGATGACATGTTGACCGTCCAGCGATTGGCTGCGAACAGCAGCAGTGTGGATAACTTGAAGGCAACTTTTGATCAAAGTGAAATCACTGAGAAGACATTTAAAGCCACTGACCTGAGAGTGAGTATGGATAGCGTACACCGACACACTTCAAACTCTTAGATTCGTTTCTTGTGTGAACTGTCTTTCAATTTTAAGGGACTACGATCTTTCTTGTCATTCTACTTAAAAAAAAAAAAACGCTCTTGCTTTTATACTCTCAGACACCAGAAAAGAGTCTGCGTATAAAGATTTTTCAATACAGCGGATGGGTGAATGAAAATGAAGAACCCCCTGCGGCCGGTCTGATCACTTTGATAGCAAAGGTTGAGAAATGGCAGCAACATTCTGGGAATGGACCCATCACAGTTGTTTGCAGGTTAGTAGGAGTATACATTCACTTTCACATTCACATTCGTACTTGATGATTTGCTACAGGTTGAGATCGGCTAAGCGCACGACCGCTGCACCATTTACTGATGCCTGTAACATAGGAAGTTCTTAAAGTTACAACTTTTATCTTGTTAACATTAATTTCTTTCTTGACATTCAGTGACGGTCTGGGTCGGAGTGGAACTTTTTGTGCATTGTACTCAGTACTGGAACGTTTGAAGATTGAACAGGTCGTTGATGTGTTTCAGGCCATCAAGGCCATGCGAATTCCTCGGCCGGGACTGGTGAAGACGGCGGTAAGTCTTTGACCATCTTAAATTCAGTAAATTTGATGTGTGTGTATATATATATATATTTTTTTTTTTTCTCTCTTTCTTTATTTTGGTGTCTGGGAATATACCATAATCTTCCATGTGGTGGTGGACAATGATCACCTGATCACGACTTTTTACTCTTTTTCTCTAGGGAGAATATAAATTCATCCATTACGCCATCCAGGATTACTTGTCAGCGTTTGATGACTATGCAAACTTCAAGCCTTGAAAACGTTGTTAAACGGTTTGCCAGGGAAAAAGGATATGTTAAACTCGAAGAACTGCGAAAACAAATCCGAAGGACCAAGGCTAGTTAATGCGGCAGCGATGATCGGTGGTCCCGCGAAATACTTTTTAGGATTAGGAAATTATTAACTAGAAGAATACTTATAACCAGAATATAACGTAAAATTCTTAGGACCTTGGGACGAAGAATGGTTTGGTTGTTGTCTAGGAGAACCAGTATTCAGATCTTTGAAGTGGAAGGGGTTGATTTGTCTAAGCTTCCCATCAGGATTAGATAGAAAAAGAGAGAATTTGTGCGATTTTTTTGCTTTTTTTTAGTTATTTTTAGTACAAAGTCACGGAAACGAAAATTTACTATTGCAATGTCAGATATACTCAACAGATGCGCCAATTTGCAGAAGTGAATTTTTGCGTGTCGCACAGTAACCTATTTTGAAATTCATAATTTTTATTGTGCTTCCCTAATTAGTGAATTGGAAAACGTCTGTCCAACGCCAGTCTGGTTCCAATAGTGATAAAATCTAGACTAACCGATGAGAAACACTATTTTAACCAAACATGTCTATCACTGGATAGTCAATCGTGGAATAGACGGTGAAATTTTTGGAACCTAGTAACTTCGCTTGTTAACCTCTTGCAAAGCATGTTCTATATCTCTGGTTTTATAAAACTGATTATGTTTAAGTGATAAAAAATTGCTTTCAGAAGAGATTATTTATGGAAATAACCTCCTACGTTCAATTTGTGTAATTTGTGAATTTAAACTTTTATAATTTAGAAGACTACAAATGTCTTTAACTAAAAGTGACGATGGAAATTTTGTCGCGACTGTAGTGTCTGGGCATTTAAAGCAAATTTAAATTGAGTCACAAGGGTAATCCAGGATTGCTTTGGTATTGCTCTTCTTCGTTATGTGATTGGCCAAGAAAACTCGCGCCACTTATTCAACCAATGAGATTAAAAACAAAAACCAATCGCAAGTGGGTCACTCTCGTTTTCCCGCGCTTCAGGCAGTTTGCTTGTCTATACTTCGAGTTCTCATCGACTCCTTGTGATACTTTCTTTGTTATGATTGGCTGTTGTGGTTGCTTTCGTATTGGTTATGCGACATTCAATTGAAAATTGCTTTACTGCTCATCGACGTGAAGTTAAAACAAGTTAATATTGCTTAAAAAAAAGAGGAAAATCAATAGGTAAGCATAAATTTAATTGGTAACTTATGAGTACTACATGTAGAACTATAGTTCTTATATGTATATACAATTTTTCTTTTTTTACGGGAGAAGTTCATCGTAACATTAAATATATTAAATAGTGGTTTATAGAGATTATTTTATAATGAGGCTCTTGTAGGAAATATGTACGAGTTGAGGTGTTTGCATGCGAGTAAGTTTTTGCGAAGCGTCAACTGAAAGCAACGAATTCAGTGACATGTGAAGAGATTACTTTAGAAACATGATTAGTCCTCATAGAATTTTTTTTTTCCAAATCTAACTGTATTTAATATAGATTTATGTGAAAATGTATTTGTAATTACATAATGACAGCCGATCCAAACATAGGTTTGGTTATTATTTTTCTATTAGGACTTGACTGGAGAAATAGATAAAATCAAGGCTGTAGTGAAGATTTTATGTCCCTGACGTATATTGGTAAGATTTTACATTAATAAGAATGAAGTACATTGCCCTTCAGTTGTGAAACTGTAACTGCTTCGGGAGGGCGAAATAAAGAGTGTTTGATTTAATGATGACCTTTTAAAAATTGATAATAAAATTTGCGTTTGATCATTTGGATCATTATTGTATAAAAACAAACATTTTACAACATCACCATAGTGGGTGCGCAATTTTTTGCTTTGTTTTGTTTTGTTTTGTTTTTTCTTTTTAATTTGTTCATCATGGGACAGATCAATATGGTAATTGGCTATGGTGGACGCTCTCCATGTGGCTCCGCTTATTTCGTTTCTCCTGACGCTTTCTTTTTGCAAACGTGTTTCTGAAAAGCCCAAGAAATGATAGTATCTATCAGAGGCCTTCATTTGCAAATGGTCTCGGCCGCTACATTTCCAAGGATGAGTCTCCGAAAGTTCGACAAATCTGGAAACTGAAATCGATGCTCCGCCATCACTATTCTACCAGAAAATATCTATTAATTATTTTCCTTTTAATATCTAACGACATTCAACTGAGCCCTTGGCCTCTCGATTCCTCGACTCTCAAATCTTGCAGTCTAAATGCACGTAGTATTATCAACAAGAGAACTGAGCTGCAAGCTACGGTCGCCTATAACCAAAACATGGCTGAACCCAGATATAATGGATTAAGAAATCCTGTCATCTGACTATAATATCTACCGAAAAGATCGCTTAGATCGCCAGAAGCTATGGGCACCATGTTCATTCTCTTCGCGACAGTAATAATCCTAAACGTTGCTGGACTTTCATAAAATCTAAGAAGAAATCACGATCTGTTCCACCTGAATTATCTCTGGAGAACCAAAAGACTCAAAACAGCTGCGATAAGTACAGCAATTTAACAACTTCTTCTCATCGGTTTTTACAGAGAGTCCTTGTATTCCTGAGAAGTTACGTGACGATCTTCAAACCTTTACTGATCAAGTTATTCCAAGTCTACTTTGCTCTAAATCTGAGATCGAGAAATTACTCAATGGTTTAAACGTTACAAAAGCTCAAGGTCCGAATGAGATATAACCCGCGTATGCTTCGCGAGGTTGCACCAGACTGTTACAAAGTTAAATGTACGATTTAGAAAAGAAATCTGCCTATAAATGATGTCTCCATCAGACACATTATAATACAACGCAAGGGATTTGAATACCACCATGAAGTAACTGCGAGCAGCAGCATTTTCACAATTTTTGCTGGAAGAGGATTAAAAATGTTTAGTTCTGCCTTTCTAGAGATGTTCTTTGGAACAGAAAGCGAGTTCCTTCGAATGCAAAAATGACATTAGCTTATGTTGCGGTGTTGAAAATTATTTACGTGCATCTACGACAAAAAGAGTCCAGGTCTGTCAGGGTGCAAAATATTTTTTTTGCCTTCCAACTGTAATATGGTGGTTTGCGCAAATGTAATCAACAGAACCAAAATCCAAAACTCCACAGAATAGTATATCGCTCATACCAGCAGGAATTGTACTGGTAGGCACTTATCCTTCTTAGTTCTGACCAGTTTAGTTTAGCTCCTTCGATCATTCCTCCTCATCGGACTACCATCAATTGCCGTTTGGAGCCGCAGATCGTAAGGCCTCGCGTGGCCCCGTCGTAGCGCATGTTACAATCCTTTATGTTCTCGTCTGACGTACTTCGCATCCTTACCGGCTAGACTCTCAACCTTAGCCTTAATTCATTCTCTCCGATTGTTCTGGTGATCCTGATTTTGCATTTAATCATAACCATTACAATTTCCTCAAACGTGATTGGTGCATTAGCTTCTTTACTTTTCACTAATCATTCCGTAGAGCTGTTGTCAGACAGTTGACTGTTATTGGACTCCTGTAATCGGACAGTTGGAGTAGTCATTCATACAAAGTCCACTCAGCTTAATCCACCAATCACAGAGTTGATTAAAATAGCCATAGCAACAATCACCTATCCTAAAAAAAGTTGAAGAATTTCCAAAATTATTATTATTTTTTTTTTTTTTTATTTTTTTTTTTTAATTTTTTTAACTTTAGACATTGTCTCTACCAGAGATCTTTGACCTAAATTTATTTGTTGTTTTCGGAAATTATAACAATTGCGATTAACTGGTAACAGGACGTTTCGTCGTCCAATTCTGTCTGTAATCATACTCGTGACAGACAAATTGGGCTCCCACTTCGCGGCCGTCCAATTTTGTCAATCACTCGTATGATTACAGACCGAGTTGGACTTTACTCGGTCCTAAAAACATTATAAACATGATGCTGCGTTAATGAAGGCGTGTTCCTCGGTTCTAGTGTTCTGAACTTTTGGAACAGACAGAAGTAGTTACTTAGAAGAGTGAATACAATGAATAGAGGCTGGTTAAGGACTCGAAAACAATAAAGAGGAATCTCATTTGATCTCTGAATTCGATCCGGTTTTATCCAGGTTTTGTCGACGTCTGATTGAGATTTACAAATCAAATACAGCTTTCAGACAAAGTATTCATCTTTTCTTCAATTGATTTAGTTTTCGACCGATTATCTGTCAATCCAATTTGTTTGCCAGTTATGACAGCCCGGCTTTCTGTCATCATTTCAGCTTTACAATGTTTTTTAAAGTTCCCAGCGTTTTAATATCCGATCTGAGTGCTTTACGAATAGGAAACTATTCTTAGAAAGCAGCTCTTGAAGCATCCTCTTTGTTGCACCAACCGATTTAAAGTTTAATGCACTAGAATACGTAACCAATTAATTGACTGGATTACTTATGAAAGCTTTATTTCCGAAAAGAAAGGAGACAAAGATGAGAGAAAAGAAAGAAAAAAATTATACCTTTTCGTCCCAGCTAAGAAAGTAATATACAGCTAAAGCAAAAGTGAAAGGAAAAATTAAAGTATTCGATAATATAAACCCCTGGAACAAATTGTATATGAAATGCAATGAACTCAAAAAGCGTAGACTTTGACAGTTTACATAAATGAAGTACTTCCTTTGTTTCTTATCCAAGCTTTTTAAACCCCGAAAACTGAGGTGAAAAGAGCTGTCAACTTTCAATGGTTTTGGGAAATTAAAATTCAACACAGCTGTCCGGAACGTTTAACAGCGAATTACTTTTTTACGCTTGTTTACGTAATAACTTTTTTCAAAGCTCTTACTTAGCATCAATTGTCGACTGTGCTGCAAGAATGTCCTTCACAAGTGCAAACTATTCCCTGGCACAACAGCAAGAGCTTGAAGCTGTCCAAGGACATCAGATGATTCCCCTTCCGTCCGCAATCTTATTTACATGTCTAGCGCCTTTGACAGTTTTGGGCAACGGCCTATTGCTCCTAATATTTACCAAGAACACAGTTTCACTTCTTCGCACCCCGTCAAACTTTTTTATTTTCAGTATGGCTTTTGCGAACTTTCTTACTGGAGCCGTCCTTCAACCGCTGTTGGCGTACCGCTATTACTACCTCTATCTCAGCAAGGGGCCTCTGCTGATGACATTAAGGAAAGTAATGTCGGCCTTTTCCATCGTTACAATGAACGTGTCTATAATTAGCGTATGCGCCTTTTCTTGGGACAGCTTCCTGGCTTTGTCACAGCCCATAAAACACCGGAATTGGATGACTGTTCGACGTGCTAAAGTACTAATTTTCTGTACGTGGGTTTATCAGATAGGGTTTGCTTCAATGCTGTTCACAAGAATACCATTGCCTTTGGTCCTAAAAACTGATCTGTACGTGAACACGACTTTGGTGGCGTCACTCTTACTCCTATCCTACTTTTTCCTCTACAAGGCCTTCAAAAAACGTGAAAGAAGAAGGGCGTGTTCATTCGGTAATTCGAATTTGCAGCTTCGTCATTTCAGAGTGATTAGGAGGGGTACAAGTATGGAAAAACGTATGCGTAAAATTATCTTTTTGTTTACACTGGTGACCACCATCCCAATTATTCCTGTAACTGTGGTGTGGTATGTGACGGGGCATTGTGTTAGGTGTCAGCGGTATCAGCCTCTTGTACTGACAGAAAAAGTGCTTAATCAACTAGTTTTCGTCAAGTTCGTTCTCGATCCCTTTGTGTACGCATGGCGATTGGAAAGATACCGCAGAGCGTTGAAGAAAATGTTATGTTACATTCAATGATTTGAGGTGTAATATTTTATGATAGTTAAAGTTACCATCAGCTTAATGATGAAAAATAGTTCTAAACCTTTTATTCGACAATTGCAAATTGACGGGAATGAGATTTCAGGTGTACCACCGGGCCCCTTACGGTGCAGTCTTATTTTTGAACTGACGTTGTTGCTAGTGGTTACGGCTATAGTTTTAAATGATAAAATCAGGTATTAAATCTTAACACAATACGTAGTAAACTTTTGTTAAATGGTTTAGAACCGAGAGACACAACTTGTTCATAGAGATTTGTTTGCCTCGTTGCTCTGTTCATGTGCATAATTCTATACACCGGCTAGAGACAAGCATCCCTTTAGAAAGTTTGGGACAATCATCACGACTCAATTAAAACATTTTGGTTTGTTATTTTCTTTTCAAAACATACTAGTTGCTTGTCTAATTCTGTGATGGGTTACCTTTGCTCAGCTCCAATTACCTGCAGAGTGTACAATTTATTTTCTTTGCATGTTTACCCAGAAGCTTGTTATCTGTCACAACATATCAGTACTAGGATCATTCTGTATTTTACAAACAATAGCAATTTGCAATTAAGTTATGCACAAACGGCTTCTCTTTTATCTATAGCAGAGCGAATTTTAACTGTGAAGTTTGTATAGAGTACACTGGAGGTCCTCCTACTGAGAATAAAGTTGTTGGCAACTATTAGTTAATCATAAAATCCACGACACGTATTAACAATGGCGCACTGGAAGTATAATTAACTTGGCCACCCCGTTGTGGGAATGGATCGAAATTTTCCCTATATGTATAACTTAATTATCTTTATTTCAAAAACCGAAGGTGGTTGTCAATGAAATCGAAAAACTTTATTACCAATATTTTTCAAAATACCACGCGGCTATTCATTTCAAAGCCAGACAATATCATATTTTTATTTATTACTTGTTAATTATTCAAGGACGAAATCCCATTATTTCCAAGTTAACCGAATGTTATACTCGAGAGTGTATATACATCAGTTCTATTTACAGACCTGTATAGAGAGTAGATATTTTTTGAACTGTGGTTTTATGTAATGACCGATATCGCTGTTCCATTTTTACAAACTGCTTTCCCAAGGAAAAAGTTGGTGATTGCAAATCTCCCTTGTTACGTTTTCCTTCCTTTTTTTCTTTGTCTGTTTGTTTGTTTTTTTTTTTGCTTATGGTGGATTGTTAACACGGCATCGATGTTGTTAATGCGGGATTAGGCTGAAACCTCATTTAAAGAGAGGGGCCCCAAAATTGAATATATTAGACTGTTTAGAAGTTTTTTGGCGGGTGCAAGGATCTCTTTATAGATTTGTAAAGATTTTTTTGAACTGCGATATGGAACGATTTTACGAAATGACCGATCTCGCTATTTCATTTTGATCTGGTCAAGGAAAAAGTTGGTGATCGAAAATTTCCCGTGCAAAGTTTTACTTCCAATTTTTGTTTTGTTTGTTTGTTCGCTTATTGCTTGTTGCTCGGACGGCATTGATGTTGTTAGTGCGGGATTAGGCTGAAGTTTTTTCGGCGGGTGCAAGGATCAATTTATTTTCACTCTTCAAGTCGAGGGATAATTTTACTCTCTGTCTATTGCTTAGCGTGTTATCTTACTGTGCGTATTCATTAACTTTCTTTTTTTCCGGTGCACGCTCATAATTGACAGGTATTTCACCCACGACTTAATAATTTCTTCTCCAAGTTAAACGGTTCATAGTCTTAAACATGGTTCTTCGAGGATTAATCAACCATGAAGTTTGTATAGAATTAACTAGAAGCCCTGCGACTGAGAATAGTGTTGTTGGCAACTGACGGTATATCATAAAAACCATGACACGAAATTAAAAATAGCTCACTGAAAGTATAATCACACTGGCTAAGCCGTTGAGGGAATAAATCGAAATTCTCCCTATACGTAGAACTTAATTATTTCTATTTCAAAAGCCGAAGGTGGTTGTCAATGAAGTCGAAAGACTATTACCAATATTTTTCAAATACCACGCAGCTACTCATTACAAAGCTGGACAATATCATATTTTTATTCACTACTAGTTAATTATTCATGACGGAATCCCATTATTTTAAGTTAACCAGATGTTATACTCGAGGCTGTAAGAATGCTGGTCTTCGCTCTTTCATGTCGCACTTAGGTGAGTATAAGTCGATTTTTAACTCCATTAAATTGCTTTAATCTCTCACATAAATGATTTTTTCGTAGTGAATAATGCTTGGATTTTCAAATGATTTTGGAATACGAGTCTGCCACACCGACGAATTGGGGCTGAGAACAATTTCAAACATTCTGAATTTAACTAAATTTAAATGCAGACTAGCTATGTTGTGTCATTTTTTTATGTGATAGAAAACTGAAGAATTGAAGAAATCATTCTTGTTGCCAGAACACTATGGCCGTATATCATATACCTCTGAGCCTATTTCATATATATTGGTTGTTTGATTTGAACAGGACTGAACGGTTGTGCATTAACCAGGGCACGAGTGATGATCGCAGCTTATATTACGATGCAGAAAGTTTACATTAACATTCAAGGATTATTTCATTTTGTCTTTGCGTAATAAACGTAGGGAAAAAAATAATGAGTGTTCAATAAGAAAACCAGTATTCATGGAAACTAAGGTCCCATGAAAATATATCAGTTTACAGAATTCTATTTAGTAATAGAGTGTAGTCATGTAGATTTTTTTTGAACTGCAATATATGGAACGATTTTACGAAATTATCTGGTCAAGGAAAAAGTTGGTGATCGAAAATTTCCCTTGCTAAATTTACCTCCATTTTTTTGTTGTTATTCTTTTTTTGTTCGCTTATTGCTTATTGTTCGGACGGCATTGATGTTGTTAGTGTGGGATTAGGCTGAAACCTTATTCGTGGGAAGGGACCTCGAAATTGAATATAGGCTGTTTCGAAGTTTTTTGGACGGGTGAATGGATCACTCTATTTTCACCCTTCAAGTCGAGGGATATTTTACTCTCTGTCTATTGCTTAGCGTGTTATCTTACTATGCACATTCATTAAATTTCTCTTTTTCCCAGTGTAGGCCCATAATTGACCGATATTTCACCCACGACTTAGTTATTTCTTCTCCAAGTTAAACGGTTCATAGCCTTAAACATGGTTCTTCGTGGATTAATTAACCATGAAGTTTGTATAGAGTGAACTAGAGGCCCTACTACTGAGAATGAAGTTGTTGGCAACTAACAGTATATTATAAAAAAACTATGACACGAAATTTATAATAGCTCTCTGGAAATATGATCACTCTATGGGTGATTCTCCCCATACATAGAATATAATTATCTCTATTTCAAAAGGTGCCGGTGGTTGTCAATAAAATGGAAAGACTCTATTACTTATATTTTCAAAACACCACGCAGCTACTCATTACAAAACCAGACAATATCATATTTTTATTCACTACTCATTAATTATTCATGCATGATAAACGTAGGGAGGAAATGAAAGTGTTCAAATGAGAAAACCGATATTTATTCAAAAGTGACGTCCCAATCTATCAAGGTCTAGGTCTATCTACCTCGCTGTGGGAATGGATCGAAATTTTCCCCATACATATAAATTTAATTATCTCTATTTCAAAAGCCGATAGTGGTTATCAATGATATCGAAAGACTCTATTACCCATTTTTTTTTTCAAAATAACACGAAGCTACTCCTTACTAAAGCCATACAATGTCATATTTTTATTCACTACTCGTTAATTATTCAGGGACGGAATCCTATTATTTCCAAGTTAACCAGATGTTATACTCGAGGCTGTAAGAATGCTGGTTTTCGCCCTCGTATGTCGCACTTAGGTGAGCATAAGTTGATTTTTAACTCCATTAAACTGCTTAAATATCTCACATAAATTATTTTTCGTAGTGACCAATGCTTGGATTTTCAAACGATTCTGGAATACGTGTCTACCGCACCGACGGATTGGGGCTGAGAACAAGTTTTATTCATTCTGAATTTAACTAAATTTAAATGCAGGCTAGCCATGTTGAGTCATTTTTTCATGTGACATGATATGACAGTCTTTTTGCCAGAACACTATGGCCGTATATCATACACCTATGAGCCTATTTCAGATTTACCGGTTGTTTGATTTGAACAGGACTGAACGGTTGTGCATTAACCAGGGCACGAGTGATGATCGCGGCCAGTTTTACGATGCAGAAAGTGTACACTGACACTGATGGATTATTTCATTTTGTCTTTGCATTATAAACTTAGGATAGAAATAAATGTGTGTCAATAAGAAAGCCAATATTCTCTGAAAAATGAAGTCTTTAGAAAATATATCAGTTTACAGAATTCTATTTCGTTAGACAGTAGTCTTGTAGATTTTCTTTGAACTGAGATGAGAAACGGTTTTACGTAATGGACATAGACTGTCCAGCCAAGGAAAATGTTGGTGAGCGCAAATGTCATTTCTTATGTTTTCCTTCTATTCTTATCTTTTATTATTTTTTTTTTCGTTGCTTATTGGTGATTGTTCACGCGCCATCCATGTTTTTAATGGAATTAATGTGGGATTAGGCTGAAACCTCATTTGAGGAAACGGGCCTTGAAATTGAATATGGACTGTTTCTAGGTTTTTCGGCGGGTGCAAGGATCACTTTATTTTCTCTCTTCGAGTCGTGGGATAATTTTTACTCTCTGACTATTTCTTAGCGTGTTATCTGCAAACAGAACTGAACAGTTGTGCATTAACCAGGGCACGAGTGATGATTGCGACTTATTATACCATGCAGATAGTTTACACTGACATTGAAGGATTAATCCATTTTTTCCTTTGCATAATAAACGAAAGGAGGATAAAAATGTGTCCAAATAAGAAAATGGACATTCATTGAAAAAATATATAATATACAACAAAATATACCAGTTTACAGAATTCTATTTATAGACCGTTATAGAGAGTAGTCATGTAAATATTTTCTAAATTGTGATATGGAACGCTTTTACGAAATGACCGATATCTTTGTTCCATTTCTACATAGACTGTCTAGCCAAGGAAAAAGTTGGTGATCGCAAATGTCCCCTGTTAGGTTTTCCTTCCCTTAAACATGGTTCTCCGTGGATATATCCTCGAATTAAGAGCCAAGATATCAGTTCTGGTTCTTTTCATACTGTTAAATAAGATATTCGCTACCGCAAACCCCAGTGACAACCAAATCCACAAAGAAGTGGCATTTTACAGAATACGAAGCACATCACTAGTGGGCAACATTACCTTTATCAAGCCCGTGAAGCGAGAAATGGACTGTGCTCTCAAGTGTCTGCGAAACTATCCACAAAGTTGCCTTTCATTCAACTTTGGAAGGGATTCGATCCATAAGACGTTTACCTGCGAACTCAGTAATTCTGAAAGGATCTTGGAGCCAAATAGGATGCAAAGCAGAACAGGGTTTGATTATCTTGGAGTGGAAAAGGGGGTAAGTAAATTCATATATTTTTTTTTTTGATTAAGAGAATTTCGAAGATGGAACTATCCAGTTTGCCAAGGCTCATCTATAATATTTAAACTTCGCGCACAAACGTTCACTTGGTGCAGGGGATCAGGTCAATTTTATCTTGACAGAACAAACGTCCTCCGAAACTCCAGGCGATAAACAATGAGCGGTCCTAATAGGCAAAATACATTTCTATTCAAAGTATCTGTCCAAGTTCTTCCCATGCTTGACATTCCCATGCAGAAATGGAGGATCGTGCGAGAATGGTCCGGAGCTAACGATGTTTTCGTGCAGCTGTCCCCTGGAGATTAAAGTGCTTCCTTATATTGACAACAAATGTAACGTTGGTAAGTACGATGTTAATAACAATAATAATAATAATAATAATGATAATAATAGTGATAATAATACTACTACTACTACTAATAATAATAGTAATGATCACAATAATGATAATAAAGATAACAACAATTATATTAACTAACCACTCCCCTAGTGGGGCTTTACAGGGCCAATACAAACAAATTAAAATAAACATTGGGGAAAAAAAGTAGTATTTACAAAATCCCATGTGGCCGGAAACAGACCAGTTAGCTACGTGCAATGCACAGCCAAGAAATTGAACTCGGGAGAGCAGAAAACATATCCAGAGAGGAGCAGGGTGGAGCTTGAACCCCGGACCACCAGATTACAAGCCCAGTGAACTATCCACACCGCCACCCAACTCACTGCAACTGATGTAAATGGGTCTGCAATGCCTACGTTTGTCTGGTGAAAAATTAAATGAATATTTTATTAAATGACTACGTGCTTACAGCTGTGCTGCGTTTTAGTCTATTCGGAAAAAATATAATGAATAGATATAAATGAAAATAGCAATATTGATATCAGCGCAATATAAGTAATATTAGATTATTATATTATAAATGGATGTAGGAGCGTACCAAAATAGTTTTCAAGGAATTTGTTTGATAATCTAGTTAACAATAGACTATGAGTTTCGAAGCAAATTCATGCACGGGAGGGTTTCTCAACTACTAGTATTCGGAAGCAAAACTAAAACAAATTATGACTTCCGAATAACAAAATTTTGCAAATATTTAAGCAATTGCAAATATAATTTTAATATGAAATCCGTTTTTGGAAATTTTGGAACAAATTAAACGCTCGGCTTTTAACACGAGGATTTCCGACTTATCACGGCAGATCTTGCGAAAAAATATCGACGTGGCTACGCCACGTCACTGGCTTCGCATTCTTCTGACATTAATATCACGTGATGATCGCTTTCTTCATGTACTACAGTAACCTTCACAGAAACCGTAACAGCATTGCGTCATTTCTTGTCCTATATGTAGCACTTACGCAATCTCTTACCGCTCCTTCTAGTTGCTTCGCACTTGACACAAATAATTCTGTTTATTCTATTTAATATTTTCTACCTCGTGGAGAAAATTATCTAGCCCGAACAAAGCAAAGCAACAAAGCCACCTCCAGACTTCCAGTCTGAACCATCAGACAAATTTTAGGTAATATTTCTCTGCCCACTGATGAGTCCCTCCGTTGACATTCTGACAACAAAGGTAACTTGCAACGATTTATCAAGTATTTGACACTTTATTCTTTGCCCTTTTATCTCAAAACAGTCTCGCTAAGCGGTTTCTATCAAAGGATGAGTAATTCATCCGTATTTGACAAGCCTACTCAAGGTTTTTGGGGTTGCCTTCCTATTTGTTCAGTTTTTATCCCTAAATTTGTTATGGCTTCAAGACTATGATTACTTTTAATCTGATTTTATAACTTTTTTTACGCTGAAACACCATGACAATTAAAATGAACATATCTGCAAATTCAATTTAGTGAAAAGCATAGCGTGCTGTGTCATTACACTCGTGCCCGTCCGTTCACCTTCGTCTACGTTTTCCTTTGGAGGGTCACATATTACAATAACACTAGCGCAACTTCTACACTGGAAAATGCAACACAGGGACGAGGTGGCCATGGAGGATAAGACGTTGACTAGACGTTGTTTGTTGTTGCATTATTTTTCTTTTTTCCAAACCTTACTTATTTATTTACTTATTATTTTAGTTTGTTGTTGTTGTTTTTTTTTTATTTGTTGACAATTTGTTTGTTTTGCTCGGCTTTTGTTTAGTTATTTGTCTCTTTTCCAGATACCAATAATATGACGATTTACTATAAACCTGAGGCTAAAGGCGTCTTCCATGCAGCGGTGACAAGCAAAAGATATCAGCTAAATTATTACGAGGCCCAAAGGCTCTGTGAAATAAACAGAGCCACTCTCGCTACATACGACCAGCTGTTTGCAGCATGGGAAGTCGGTCTTGAATTGTGCCTGTAAGTTCTGTCTGAAAGCTTTGGCTTTTTCGTTTTATACGTACGTTTTCATTTTAGTCATCAATGCTATTAGCACTCTCACCTAACTCCAACTGCTGCCTATGATAAATAAAATGGAATATCTGACATATTATAGTTATTTGTGGGGAAGTTGCAGAAATATTTTAGGTAGAAAAATTGCCAGCAATTGAATAGGAAACGAAAATAAACAAACCGGCGGAATTTTACTGGCTTAATTTCCTATTTTCTGCTTGTATTCTGTCTGAAATAAAATTATTTTTCTCTCTACTAAATGCCTAACCTCCGCAATGTGTACGTAATCATCATCTTAGTGTCAGTGGAAGTGACGAGGATGCACCATTACTCAGTGTTGTTTCGTCTAGACTCAGTCAAGTTACTCCTTTCATTGCTATTGCTCAACTGAATTTTATTAAAGAATCAAAAAGCTATATTCACAATACAATACTAGGAATCAGTAATACTACTTTTACATAGGAATGTACTTTTACAATCATGTACCGATCGTGTCTTACAGGATTTAGCGTGACTATAGTAACGCTTAGGTAACGCAATACACTACACTCAGAATGATTAATTGACAAACATAGTTCCTTAATCGTTCATTATGTTGCAGATACGGATGGCTTAATGATGGAACCCGACGCTATCCAATGCAAAAAGTACATGATAAGTGTGGAAAGAAGTTAGGCATCGTAGGAAGCAATACACCTCAAAACAAAAGTAAAAAGAGCAATGCTTGGTGCTGGAAAGGTTGACAATTGGTAGTTGACAAACTCTGGACAGTCTTCAGCGTTACATGATTCAAGAAAACTAGTTCAAGAAATATTAATTAACTGTTATGTTTGCCTGTGAGTTTTAACGTTTGCAAGAAGAACTCAATCTCGTGCTGTCGACATAGTCTTCCTACTTCGTGTTTTTCTTTTCTATTTATCCCTGACGTGTCTCCATTCCCTTTGTATTCTAGAGGTCTTTCCGGACAGCTTAAATTGTTGTCTTTCAAAATGATGACTTACAGTAGCTTATTCAGTAAATAAAAAATTGGTACGAGGGCAAGATCTGCATATTGTTTTTCGCGCGTTTCAATCGGCGAGCTCCAAGTCGATTAGCA